ATATCTTTTTAATGGCCATACTTATTAAGATAAAGATAATAACTTAATCAAATCTGGAAATGTGTGAATTTTTCTACATTTTTTTTGATTTACCTTATGTTATTCCTCTACTAATTAACTAAACAAACCAAAAAATGTGTACAAATACGTAAGTTCTGGACTTATATCAATTTAAATCTAATCTTTATTTAATTTTGAATATTCTAATTAATATTAATTAACAAAATATGAAACCTAATCTTCAGTAAGTATTAAATTGTCAATGATAGGTTCAGAAGTTTATGATGTTACATCACTGAAGCTTTAATCTGAATTTTGAGTTGCAATAATATCTGAAGTGACCAGATTTAAACTTACAATTAGGTTGCTATAAGTATTTTCTTAAAGATTTTATAAAGTTAAAGTTTAATTTTATGGAATATACGAAGAATTAAAAATTAAAATTATTCTTAAAAAATCTAGTAACTTTGATTTATAGTAATTACCCAAAGATTAACTATCACATTATTTTAGTACCATTTATAAAATGATTGGAATCTCTCTTTAACTATAAATTAAAGGTTTATTATTAGCAAATAATGCTTTGAAGAAATCAATCATTCCAATGTTATATTATAAATGAGGATACATGACTTCTTTATATTTAGATAAGGCTATTTTATTTTCCATATGATTCCATATTATTAGAGTAAGATATTCATAACATGCATGCAAAAGTTTCCAATAAATTTCTGATAAAGTAGGAACAAAGATTTTAATATAATTTAAAATAGGAATATGTAATTCCTAAGCTATCAATAAAGATTGATGAAGTCGATAGTTAAGTTCTCTTTCATGGTATATAATTCTAGATTTATTATCAGGATAATAATCTTCATAACTTTAAGCGACCTATTATTTGGTTTTGTCAAAGTCTTTTTTCAAGTATTTATTTAATCTTTATAAATTTTAAATAAGACCTGCTTTCTAAGCTTCTTATTAAGTTACATTCCAAATTATATTTTATTTTTAATATGTTGGACTATTTTCATTATATAATTCTATAAAATAAGAATCAGTTAAAATATCAAATTTATTAAAAATTAGAGAACTTAATTCTGATAATTCTAATGTTTTTCCTGAAACTACAATAATAATTTTTTCAAAATTAGAGATTAATTCTTTCCTTTATCCATAAGCTCTTTTTAATATTTCAAGAGAATACTTTGGCAATAATGGATTTTCATAAAATGATAATTCAGCAAAAATTAATTCAAAATATTCAACATCAGACAATGATCTTTTTTATAATAATTATTTCAATTTTGAAATCCAATTTTATGGATCGTAAAATATCTTTTCTTCTTCAGTAGATTTTTTTTTAAGTTTATCCGCAATAGATTTTGTATTTGGTTTTGTACTATCATTTTTAAATAAAGTTTTTATTTTAGTTGCTGATTTTATATTTTTACTACTTCCTTATTATTTTTATTCAATGTTTTCAATAATCTTTAATTCAATTGAAAGATTCTTTAAAAGTTTAGCAGCTTCAAAAACTCTCAAATTTGCTTCAAAATCAAAAATTTTTTAAATTATTTCACAAGCTAATTACTTACAAGAAATTTTAACACTATTTGATTCAGATAATCTTGTAGCTTTAAGTTTTTGTTCAAAAAAACTCTGAACATAAGTACCCTATTAACTAGACAGCATTGAATTTTCTTTTTCGTTACCAAAAGAGAATTCATTTATACTACTACAAATTTAATACATATAATTTAAAATCTGTTCAATTTAATCTAAATTGATATAAAACCCTAAATCTAATTAGCATCCAATAATTTTCAATATTTCTTAAAGTGTTCTTTAAAATTCAATATTTTTCCAACAAATTTTATTTTTCTCTAATTATGATAAAACAAATAGATTAAATTCTTATAATGAATGATTTTAATCTATAATATTCATAGATTTTGGATAATCATCATCTAAGGCAGAAAATATCTGTACTCTTTTAATTCGTTTAACTTTTTCAAATGGAACATTATCTATATAAGCATATCTAATTAATTTTAATATAGGTCTCATTATGCTAAATCTTGAATTTTTTTCTGCTTCTATAAGAATCTTTAATAAAATTTATAAGGGAAAATTGTCATCAACATATTTTTTTGCTTACTTATTCCTTTTCATACAAATGTCCCCTAATAAATCAAAATAACTTTGAAAATAATTCCACTATTAAAATAAATCAATTTTTTAGCTTTCTCTATAAAATTCTTCAAATGTTCTAAATTTATTAATTTTTTAGATTGGACATAAGACTTACAATTATTATTGTTCATCAATTTTAAATTAAAAACAAAAATCTAATTTTATAAATATAATATACCAAATCCAATTTTGAGAAAAAATTATTAAAGTACTAATGATTGATTATCTTTGACAGGTTAACCATTAGAGACACAAATGGAACTTAAGATTTTTAAATATTTTTCATGAGGAACTTGAGATCCAATAATTTCAATAATCCTGATAACTAGGTTTTAGTTTAAAAATTTTTTAATGGCTAAGACATTGTTATCTAATATTTCTGATAAAAATTTTTGAATATAAGGTTCACTCACCATGATGTATTAATGAAGATACATTTCCATCCATTAAGATGCATAGGTTTTGTTTATATTATTATTTTATATTAATTTAGTAAGTAATGAATAAGTTTCTGAGAATAAAGTTTTAATAAGTTATTTCTGATGCTTCCAAAATAAAAGCTTTTTGGTTCCAGATTTATAACATAAGGAATATAAGATTTCAATTAAAATTTCTATATAATACAATTCTTTCATAATAATTTATCTTCTTGAATTAACAAAAGCATCAATTTCTTCATCTTTTTCTTCGTCTATTTCTAAATTAATAATAAATTTGCTAAGACCTGCTAACAATTTTTCTATCTATTTAATTTATTCTAGATTAGCCATAGAAGCAAAATATTAATGATTGATTTTAAGAGCCCCTGAAAAGTTTATTAAATACTCTAAAGCTGAGAAAGCTTAAACAAGTTCAGTTTTATAATTGTTATCTACTCTTTTAATAATAAAAGCATCTGTAGTTTTTTTTCCCTTAAATGCAGTTTTAAATAAATTTTCTACAACTTTAGTATGCTAATTAAAAAAACCTCCAAGAGAACTAATATCTTTAATTTAACCAAAAGATTATAAAGTTTAATGTTAATTAATTTTGATTAATGTTAATATGTTGTCATCATGAACTAAATTAACATATGAACCATCAAGAAAATCTTAGTCATGATTATTAGCTAATTATAAATCAATATGAGTTCCAATATCATCAATAAAAGCTTAAATACAATCATCATCATCTAACCTTTCTGCACATTTTATAAGCTTACCAGTTAAATAATGTCTAAGTAATATTGTCTTATATATATATTTATTTCTTTTTTATTATGTTAACTATCCAACATGTGGACTAGCACCATTTTAAGAAGGTCTACTTGAAGATTAAAGAGTACCAGGTAAACCAATTATTGAAAGTGGTAAAGATACTTTTGAAACTAATATTGATGGAAGTCTTGTTATTACTGGCTTAGATTAGAATGAAGGTATTGTTTATTAAGGCTTTTATTCATTTTTTTCTTATATAAAAGTTATTTCCCATAAACAATCAATCGGAACTTAAGCTTTTTCATCAATTAATTTAAGTGCTAATGAATTCTTTTTCAAATCAATACAAAGATATGAATTATTTTATGTAAAATTAAAGATACAAATATCTCTATCTTATAATAAGTTTTGTGGTTAAATATATTCATCATATGATTAATATTAATCTATTTTCCAACTACTTGTTGAATTATGACTTATTATTAATTCGTATCTATGAGATTCATATGAAAGCCCTTTTAGTTCTGGTCTTAAATCAGATTATGGAGGTTTGTGATCTAATTAAACAGGAGCTTTTAAACTCTTTTCTAACCAAAATTTTGATGAATCTGATAATATTTTTACTTATTCTTTAGTTTATATTGGTCTGCCTGTTTTTTAATGACTTTTACAAGCTTCCAATTTAAAAATTATATTGCTTGATAAATAAGGTTAAAGTTTTATTTTAAAAGAGTCACTTCTTTAATCACTGCATTCATCTGAAGAGACTAAATAATATCCAGATTCAATATGCTTAAAAATAGCTTCCGCTCTATTCTTATATAATCAGATACCCAAAATATAGTTCTTCATTCATTTTATTTTCAATCATTGCTAAATATTAATCTTTTTCTGATTTTACTCTATATAACAATCCTTTATTTTTTGCCCTTTATTGTTTAATATTTATTACTTCATTTTATAATACTCATCATGAATTTCAAAACTCCCTCTTGGTAAAAGTTAAAATAAACCTTCTCTAAAATTATTCAAATCATTCAGATCTTCGTAAGTTTGATAATACACCGCTTTATCGAAGAATCTAAACTTTATTCTATACTTTTATACCCTTTCGCTGAGATGAATCCTTATCCTCCACTATCAGTTTTTCCTTGGATACGTACTATGGAACCATATTTTAAATTTTATTATGGTTTCATATAAAATTAATATTATAATCATATTCTGTCAAAAAATTTAATCAAATTCATCAATTTTACTATAAACCTTTATAGATATTATAAGTTCTACAATTATTTATGTTCTAATCTTCTATTATATTGATATTGTCTCTTATTACAAAAATATAATAATTACTTAAAATTTATTATAAAATTTAATTATATTACAAAATCATTAGCATTTCAAAAATATCCATGATGCATTATTTAAATTATTCTTGATACTTAAACAAATTGATTTCTACAACATTGGAAGCTCCAATAATTTTGCCTTCTTTTTAAAAGTCATGAAGAATAGAAAAATTTACACTTTTTATATTCTATGAAGAAAATATAATTAAATATTAGTTGAACTCTAAAAATACAGTATTTGTTGTTGGAGCAATAAGATATGGTAAAAGTTAGTTTTTAAAAAATGTTTGCAAAAAATTCAATAGTTATACCCACAACTTTTTAGTCTTTTTTGGAATAAATGATGAATGATATAATTCAATATATTTCTGATCAAAAATTGATTACAATTAAAGAGATATTATAAATTCCATTAAGGCAATATTTGACTTAATACTAAGAAATTTATTTTAATTAATTTATTAGAAATTTATTATCAGAAAATATCAAAAAGGAAATATTAGTAACAGTTAATTAAGAAAATTAATTATCGAAATTAGATTGGGATTAAAAAGAACTTGAATTTTGAGGGAAGAAGATGTAAAATAAATATAAATGAATTAATTTTTCTAATTCTTTAAATGTTGAAAATAGTTTTTTATTATTAGCAAAATTAACACCAAAATAAAGAGAGCTTTTGGTAGTTTAAATCATAAGATCAATCTTATTTAATAAATTAAAAATGATATACATTTAAATTAACTAAAGTGTAGCTAAATAATAAATAGATTTTCTTTATGAAAATTGATTTTAAGAACATATAAACCTTTATGGAAGAAGAAATCATTATTCTTTTAGGTATTAATCCAAAAAATAGCAAATTTTTTAATGGAGATATGATAGAAATGATGAATTTAGAATTAAATACAGTAATTGTTCTAAGACCTTTATGATATTAATCAAGAATAGAAGGAATATTAATATAGAAGAGTTTCGAGATTAATTTAGAAAGTTAATTGAATAAATTTAAGAATTTCTTTAAGGTTCATTTTAAATATGGCATTAATTGACAAACTAATATGATGAATTTGAATTTGAGAAATGGTTTGAATAGTCCAGGAACTTGGAATACAAAAAAATCCAATTTTTTAATGAATTTAACATTAATACATAAAGAAATAAGCAATTAACTTGATAATAATCATGTAGATGTTAATATTTATAAAAAGATGAATACTTTGCATCATTTTAAAGGTAAAATATTTACAGGAAATTACTATGCAAATTTATTATTGATTAAAAATTCAGGTATTTATGTATCATAATAGGAAAACGTTTTGTATCATTTTAAATATATTTCTCATTTATACTTTACTATTAAATATGATAAAATATTTTATGGTTTATATTTACAAAGAAGATAAATTATAAAAATAAAATAAGATTAAAATAAATATTGCTTTGTCTTCAGAAAAATAAGATACTCTGCATTTAAAGAATAGAGAAGAATATTTGAAGCAAATTATCTATGAACCTAGGAAATTTACATATGATGACAAAAATCATGAATATTACGTGTGAAGAATAATTGAAATTATCAACTTATAAAATAATTATTTATTGATATTAAGATCTAAGATTTATTAGTTATGATAATAATATGAAACTAATCTAATAAGCCTACTCGAAATTTACTAATAATGTTAGGTATATTTATTTAACAAACATAAAATTAATTAATAAAAATTATGTATGAAAATGATAATACAGATACAGCTGACAGTCATCATAAAGTAAATAATTATTAAATAAAGAATGAGGAATTGATTGAAGAGTTATAAAAGTACTGGCGATTAGTGATATCTCATATGGGTTAAGACTACTAACATTTGTTAAAATTGTCAAGTGATTCAGATGCATTAGAAATAGTTTAATCATTAGCTATTTTAGAAGATATTAGATATAATGATTAAAAAGTTCCATAAAATCAAGATATTCAAAATGAAATAATGGAATTTAAATAATAAATTTCTAACTAAAAAAATGATCTGGAAGCTAAAACATAACTTATTCATCAATTATTACATAAATAAACATAATTATAAGAGTAGAATCAAGAAATGCTTCTTAAATTGATATAAAAAGAAGAGGAAAATTCCAGTAAAATAGCTTAACTCTAAAAAGAAATAAAAGATAATAACAACAAAATTCAGACTCGAATACCATCATAATTATAATCAGCCCGTTAACCATTTTAATAGTTTAGTTAATCGACTAAAAGTTCTCCGTAACCAAGAGAATTTCGTCAACTAAGCAATTATTATTAAACAACATTAAGTAAATTAATAAAAGTTTCTGGTACTCATAATAATACAATTAAAAATAATAGCAATATTGTTTTTTAATGAAGAAATGCTTTTGATTGCTATAAAATTTTTCTTCTGATAAATATATTGTCTCAAATGAATTAGAAAATAAACGATCAATCTAATTTAATATTTTTAAAATCTCCTTTTTTATTTGGCATTTCGATAGGTCGAAACTCCATATTTTCTGTTGGAGGTCTAATACCCTAGAATTAGTTTGATAAAATAATACTTTATTAGATTATTTAGTACCAATAGCAGTTTTCTTATTATTAAATTCTCTCCATTTATTAACTCTATCATCTCTTGTTTTTTCCCATTCTTCTTCAGTTAGAATTTTATATTATTCTAACATTTTTCTTCTTTCATATTCATCTAATTTATATCTCTTTTATGATTATTCTAATCTCATAAGATGTTATTTTCTATCTTCTATTTCACTAAATAAATTCTTGCATTATTTTTAAAAATCACTTTCAAATGTATCAGCTTAAATAATTGAATAACAATATACGCGGTAATTGAGCAACTCCAGTTTTTTCTCTTCTTTTATTTTCTCTAAGTCTTTCAAATTCAGTTTTTTCTCTAGCTTCTCTCATAATTCTTATATAAACTTTTCTTTTTTCAGATTCCATTAAAGTTTTATATGCTTAATCAACTATTTGCCAACAATCTTTTGCTCTTGGATCTTGACATTTATCTGGATGTAATAATTTTGAGAAAGAATTAAACATTTTTTTAATATCTTCATCTGTTGCTTCCATGCCCAAATACAAAACATCAAAAGGATTATAAAATGTTTCTGATGATAATCTTTCTAATTCTTCATCAACTTTTAGAACCTTTTTAAGAATAGGTTAAAATGGATTTTTGAGGGCTTGATTGATTTCTTATTATTACATAAATTATTAATAAATTATTTAACGGATGATTTCATTTATGGTAATGTCCAACATGCTTTCAGAACAATTAAAAACTTAATATAAGAGTAAATCAGTCTATTGGAGATAGGAAAAAGAAAAACTACTACAAACTTTTCAGCCAAGATAAAATAATCAATAATCCTAATAAAGATCAAGAACTAGTGAAAGGAAAAGTATAATACGTAATTTAGTAGATTCACTTTATAATCAAGGAACTCCTGAAAAAAATAAATCTATTTATTATCATTTCTAATCCTAAATTGCTTAATAATAGCATCATTAATAATAATGTTAAAGTTCTACAAAAAAACAATAGACTGAAGAATTGACCTTGTCTACAATTATCAATAAATATTAAAGATAAGTTGAAAATTGTAATTAAAAATAAATAGTTCATGATCCTATTGCAGAATAGATCATAGAATCATTTCAGGAACTTAAAAAGAGATCTGTAAAAAAGTAAGATATATAAAAATGTTAATCTGAATAAAAAATTATTGAAAATAGTGCACATAAATAAAATATTTTCAGTAGAATTAATTAAATTAGAGAATTTATCGATTAATAATTAGGAACTAATGCAGATGAATCAAATAAAGAAATTAAATATGAAAGTTAATATTAATCTGATGTTGATTAAAGTTCTGGTAATTTAAGAAACAAATCAGTTGAATTTAAATAATTCTTAGATTAAAGAGTAAGTATTGGAAGAGATTCTACAAATAATAGATTAAATCATAGGATAAATAAATTACGTTCAATAAGAAGTTGCTCAACCTTAGATGTAGGAATATAAGTTTCAATATTAGATGAAAATTTAGTTCAACTAAATTCTTAAAGATTATTATAAGAAAATTATTAATCATTAAATGCTTAAAATAATTCTTAAAATTATTCAGAAAATTACAACCAACAAAGAAGTGATAGAACCAATAATACAAGACGAAAAAATTAAGAAAAATATTTAGTTTAAGATACAATATAATAAACCTCTCCTTTATAATCATAATATCCTTATTATTAAGTAGAATAATCGGTTACATCAGAATATTAATTATAGTAATAATGTTAAAATGAAGATTCTATGTAGAAGTCTAGAAATTCAGAAAGAATGAGCAGAAAAAGTGAATTCTTATAAAAAGCAAGATATTCAACTAATGTTAATGATGAAAATAAAGATAGATTTTCTGTAAATATTGAAGAAATCAAGAAAGAAAGATTATCCGAAAATGAAAGATTTTCAGTGACATCAAATGAAATAGAGGGTAAAGATGGAATCTTGGCTAATTTAGATTTTAATAAAGAAAGGTATTCAAATAAATCAAATGAATAATATAACTAAAATAAAGATAGGAATTCAATTAAATCTAATTTTGAGGATGATCATAAAGATAAATTAATATTGAAATTGAATAAGCCTGATGCAATACCTTCAATTTATCTTAAATGTACAACTAATAATAAGGAAAATGTAGGAGAACCTTTTACTTACATAACAAAAACAAATAGATAAGAATAAGAAATTAAATTTGGAGAACGTTGTGAAAATAAATAAAGCACTATTGAAATTCCAAAAATAATTTAAGCTTTAAATTTTGAAAATATTGATTTAAGTAAGCCTTGTTCTGGTACTCAAATTTCTGTAGACACAAATAGATTCTAGCTTGAAATTTAATAAATTATAGAAAAATAAAATGAAACATAAGATGTCTAATTGAAATAAAATGAACCAATATATGCCCAATAAGAATTTGCTTTGACGAGCAATAGATCTTAATTATCTGTTCCAATTACAGAACCAACTTAGATTTAATAAAATTATTAGACAAACACAAATTTTATAAGAGTTGAAGAAGAAATTGAAGCAGGATAACCTGATATTAGAATAATTGAAAATGCTACAGGTATTACTGAATGCAATTTATAATATTCAGAAGATACAGCAAATTTAAGAATTCCTACTTAGATTAGTAATAATGAAGAAGCCAAATTTAAACCAGATTCATATGTAACATGTGAAATTTAATTCCAATAAATCAAATAAGATTATCAATAGTTAAATTAATTATAATCAACTCAATCAAACTAGATGAATTAATCTTCTTTTGAATAATGGTTATCATAAACTGATTAAAACAAGAAGATTTTTAATTTTAATTGTTAATCCTAATATTTTTAAAAAGAAAAATGTGATCATAGTACTTAAATAAATAAAAGTGATTCAGATTCAGATGAAGAAATTTAATTTATAAAGAAAAAATAATAGAAATGTCTATTTAATTAAGGAGTAACATTATTAGTTAGAAAAATTACTTCAATTTTAAAAATAAGACAAATCAAATCATTTTATGAAATTAAAGAATATTCTCTCCATTAATCTCAATAATAATAATAACAATAATCATAATAATTTAAATCTTCTTTACATACTTATCATTCTCCAATAGAGTCATAATATTCATCATAGTTTTGTTCATAATAATAATCATTAACATCTCTTCCTATTCCTTCAACTTAAACAAAATAATCTTAAATTGATTAAATTCCTTAAGCAGTAAAAGAATAAGCAGCATAAGAAAAAATATCAAATCTATTAAAAACAATAATGGAAGAAACTGGATCGGATACTTTAAGAATGTTGAAGAATAAATCAAATATATCACCGGTTGCTAAAAATTAAGAAAAAAACAGATTAAATAGTAGCCATAATTCTAAATTAAAAATTTCAAAGAAATGTTCGGCAGCTTCTATTTTAACATCAATTTAATCTCCAGTATAAGAAATAAATGATAGAATAAAAGTAAATTTTATCTAAGAGATGGGATTAGAATCACCAACTTAAAAACATACTGAACATGCAGAATTACATGATTGCAGTAAATATAGATGATTTTATTTTAGGTCCAATTGCTGAGCCAATGGAATTTTAAGATGTATCAGTATTGATGAAATAAAAGAGAGAAATGAAATAAATTGTAGATTCTAATAATGGAAGCAATATAATAAATAATAGTTACAATGATTAAAGACATTGCTAGATTTTGTCTCATCATATTGCAATTTAGAAAGCAAAGATTGCAAAAAGATTTTAGTAAATTCATTATAAAACAGCTGGATAATAATAATCTAGGAAAGAAAATTATTAAATTTGATTATCAATTTTTATTAAATTTTATATATGAGATAACAATTATAACTTACAGGAGACAGTACTTTATCTTAATCAACAATGTAGAGAAGAAATTCAAATAAGAAACAGAAATCTCCAATATAAGGAAGAAGATTATTCTTAAGTCATGTAATATAGACTCCATAAAGTTTATAATAAGTATAAACTCAACAATAATAATAATAAGAATATTAATAGCATATAATATAGGGAAGATCACATAGTTAATCAAATGTAGTATTTTAAGAAGAAGTACCTTAGAAATGGCCAATAATACAATTACCATTTTTAAAGAATACTCAACCAACAATATTTTTTTAATATCCTCCAGTTTGTGAGGATAAGAGACCTTTAGTGAATGCAAGACCTATGACAGAAGAAGAGGTTAAAAAATATTAATTAACATGCAGAGTATTGGGTTCTGCTCCTTATAAATGTGTATTGACATCTTTTGATTGGGCAGGATTTAAAAGAATCGATGAAGATGATGATGAAGATGAAGAATGGAATGTATAATGGGGAATAGGTAATAAATCAACTTTGAGAAATATGAATAGATATTAAAAAATCAATCATTTTCCAGGATGTTGGAATATGGGTAGAAAAGATCTATTATGGTTAAATTTAAGTAAATTTAAAAGAAAATACCCAAAAGAATATAATTTTATTCCAAACACATACTTATTATAATATGATTATGACAGATTTATGATGGCATAAGATTCTGCTTAAAAGGATACTCTTTGGATTAAAAAGCCTTGTGCAGATTCAAGAGGTCGAGGTATAACAATGGTCAGTAAGAAATCAAAGGTTAAAAAAGATAAAAACTTTTTAATAATGGATTATATTTACAATCCTCATTTAATTAATGGATATAAATATGATTTACGAGTCTATGTATTAATATCATGTTTTGATCCACTTAGAGTATATATGTATAAGGATGGTTTGGTAAGATTTGCAACCCAAAAATACTCTACAAATTCTAAAGATCTTACAAAAAGATATATACATTTGACAAACTTTGCAGTTAACAAATTATCACCTAATTTTGTTAAGAATTAAAATACATAAAAAGATGATGAAGGTTCTAAATGGTCTCATTAAGCCTATAGAAAGAAATTAGATGAATTAGGAATCAATTCAAGAGAATTATTTATGAGAATTCAAGATGTAGTTCTAAAAACTTGTATTGCAACAGAACCATTTATGTTAGATAGTAACGCAAAATCTCTAGAACATAGAAATGGATATTTTGAATTATATGGATTTGATGTTCTTATTGATGAAAATCTAAAACCTTGGGTTCTAGAAGTCAATGTTTCACCTTCTCTTAATTCTAGTTCTCCTCTTGATAAAAAGATCAAGACTTCTTTAATATCTGATGTTTTACATCTTGTTGGGGTACCTCTCTGGGATAAAAAGAATTATAAAATTGGTTCTCCTCCTAAATACAATCAACGGAACATCAAAGATATACCAAATATAAATTCTTCTAATTGTTTAAATAAATTATCACAAAATGATGTTAGTATGCTTATTCATACTATCGAAGAAGCAAAAAGAAGAGGAAAGAACTTCTCTTGTATATTTCCAAATCCTAAAACTATTCATTAATATATGGATCTTTTTGAATTTCCTAGATTTAATAATAAACTTGTCGAACGCTTTTATTAAGACAAATGCAATTGGCTATCTAGATTTAATTGATTATAATATAAATTTCATTTTGTTATCTATTGAATCAATATTTTATCAAGTCAAAAACACTCGAACACATTCATTCATTTTAAATGTCTACTTTGTTATTATGCAATGCACTTATCCATTCTATTACTGACTCATCTACTGTAATGATTTTTAACTATAAACTTAATTATTTGGTAACATCATAGGTGGATTATTTTCATCCATCAATTCTCCTGATATTCTACAAATCCAAGTTGACCCTAATTTCTATGTTGTTAATAAATCCTTTGAAAGTTCTTACATTTATTTATTACAAATAGGACATCTATTCACCTATTAATAATTAGTTTAAGCACAATATTATGTTTTTAATGTTGTTATTCCACACTTTAAATAACTTAAAAGAGGAGATTCTTTTGGAAAACAATAAACATCATATAATTCTTGTTTAAATTACCTAACCAATTACTCCCATCTTTTCTCATCAAAGTATTATTAATATTAAGCAGGCATTATCTCCTATTTTATAAATAGTAAGCATCCCATTGCTTTTTATATGCTCTCCTAATTCATACTAAATTGATAATCTCTTATATAATTCAAAGCTAAATCTGCATCTTATTTCAAATATTCAATATACTATTAAAACACTAAATCGTTCTGAAATGTACTATTCAACTTTTTTAATTTACTAGAATTTTATTGATACCATTTAAAAGCTAACTTAATTGATTTGCATTTTAGATCTTTAATAATAGTATTAGCCTCAATTATGATTTCTTATTCAAAACTTGTTACATTCTTTTTATAATACTTTTTATAATACTTCAATTTTGTAGGATTATATCAATTTTTATGCTGTTTTTAAGTAGCCTTCTCTTAATAAATTGTCAATTAGGGATCTTTGTAATTTTATTTCATTTCCGCATTCTTCACATTTTAATCTTTAAAGATAAGATTCTAAATATTTTTTTTCATGTTCTTAGTTTACTTAAAGTGCATTTTTAATTGCTTTAATTTTCTCTATCACTTAATCAGCCTTCTCTTATGAATTAATATGGGCAATTTAACTTAATGTGATTGTAAGATCATGTTCTAATTATTTTCTTGTGGTCTTAAATTCTAAAAATTTATGGTTATTCTTACATTTAACAATAACTTCAAAAGGTAATCTAATAAAAGGATAATCAATTGATTATTCGATAGTTAAAGACATTTTATATTTTATTTAAATAACTAAAAGATTATAAGATAAATTTAGTCATTATGATGTGTATTTATAATATATAAAATTATATTCAAAAGAAATAATCAATTCACTTTTTTAATATGATTACTAATTCTAACTATAATGATAAAACAAACAATTATAAGCTCTTATTTTTATTATTGTTTTTTTTTTTAAGAAAGAAATTATTACTAATTCGAAAGCAAACTGTTTAACAAAGCCTCTATGATAAGATAAAATTGCAAAGTACTCGTTTATTTAAATATTCGATAAATTATTTACTGCTACTCCTAAATTATGTAATTTAATTGATCAAAGTTTATGAAATATTTGATCATATATACTATTAAAGAGAGTTCAAAAAAATGATCAATGAATAATGATTAAATTATTAGACAAGATATAATTCCAATAAAAAAATATCTATAATAGAATAAATCAGGAACATTAAAAAGATTTAACAAGATATGGACTCTTAAATCTAGAATTTTAAAGAGTAATTTAAAGAAGAATGGTTTCATCTGTACTAAATGTTAAGGAAATTTTAGGACTTATTTCCTCTCTTAATTTATTTTTCAATAAATGTAATAAGGAAAACATATGGAAGTTATGATAGTTAATGTATAAACTATCATTTTTTTATTTCCTTATGCGAGTGCTAGAAATTAAATAATTAATAGAAATACAGCTAAATGTTAAAATTTGTTAAAATTGGAGAAATTATAAAATTCTCTTCAAAACAAATTATTTTAGATTACTAATAATAAATAAAGTTTAAATTTTATATTGTTTGATTTCCTCATAAGATTCTTTTTTTTATTATTTACTCATAAATTATTGAACAGAGAAAGAATATTTGTTTATTAGAGTTTTGAATAACTGTTTGAACTATAAGAAAGTCTTAGAATTAAGATTAAAATATTTTAGTACTAAATATGGCTATGATTATTTAACCAATAGTTTATGATTGTGGTAAATAATTATATTTGAACTTAATGAACCGAGAACCACAATTTATTACAATATCTTAAAGATACTATCAAAAGGAGCTTCAACTAATGGTATAAATTCGGTATTTAAATATATTTGATTTTAAGGAGAAAACTTACTTTTTGGGGTGTTACTAATGATCAAGAGGTAAAATTAATGTTAGAGAGTAAATGAGAATTTAATGAATCACACAAGAATTATATATAATTAATAAAATTATAGAATTAATATTAAAATTTAATATGAGCGCTAAAAAGAATACAAATCAATTTGAAGAGGATTCAGAGGATTTTGAAGAGTAATAAACTAAAAAGAAAATAAAGAAAAATGAAGAGCAAAAGAAAAGTGATGATAAGAATGATGAAGAATTTGAGATTGACTCAGAGTAAGAGGAAGATGAAGAAATTGAAGATGATGGTAATTAATTTAAGAAATAAAATTAGGAATCTAAACTTCTTCTCATTCTAGTATAGATTTATAGGCTTATCTAGAAAAAAGAGATTAAATTCCAGATGAAGATGATGATGAAGATGAGGAAGAAGACAATTAATTAAAACAAAAGAAATAAACTTAAAAAAAATAATAATAAAAAGTATCTAAAAAACAATAAGATGATGATGATGATGAAGATGATGATGATGATGATGATGATGATGATATTGAAGATGATGAAGATGAAGAAGAAGTTGATGAAAGTGATGATGAACCCCCTAAAAAGAAATAAAAAGTTTAATAATAATAATAATAACAAATAAAAAAATAAAGATGATTTTTTCATACAGTTTATTTAGTATGTTTTATTAATTATTTTTTGGTTAATATAATCAATCCTTGGAAATTATTAGTTAAATATTTATTTGTTAATAATCATTCATATTAATTCAATAACTATTATTAAATAGCATAGTGTTTAATATTCTACTATTCATCTACTTCCCTTAATCTTTGTTAATAATTAGTTCGCAAATGATTAGGTACAATATGTTCTACTCCACCTCTTTATTCACCAGTTAATATATTAAAGCCAGTATTGCCTCTAGTATCTAAATTATGTGCTCTAACAAATTATCGAACTTTAGCCTTGTCATCATATTATCTCAATAAATTGCCTTATTCACTGTTATCATATTTTAAAGTAATTGGATTATAAGCAAGTCTAATAAATAAATTTTATGTGCTACCCATTTGAATTTCTTTTACCTTATGTTAATTATTATGTATGACTCATTAATTATACTTAATCTTTAGTTTCTATTTTTTCTTAATAATCCCATTTTCTAGTTTCTCTATCTAATCCCTCTATTCTCTTTCTCTCAATGATTTTTTCTCTTTACCAAACTTCATGTTCTCTTTACTTTTTGTCTGCTACTGCAAAATCCTTATCAAATCTTTCATTTTCTAGAATTAATCTATTAATACCAGGAACATACAACGTAGATTAAGGAGGTGCTTAATGTATCAATGTTCCAACTCCTAATCCTCTAGCTTCAAATCCAACTATTTTTTGTTATATATATTTAAATAACCTCTAAGATCAATCCTACTCTTTTCTATTCTATCTTTATCTCGTAAAGCTTCCTAATTATCTATTATAATTTGTATACTCTTTCTTGTCTTGTTCTTGGTTATATGTTAATCATTAATATAATAAATTATTAACGAATAACATATGGGAGGATCTTGCTGTAAAGATGAAAATATTGAAACTAATAAAGAAATTAGAAATGCCACTAATAAACCTATATTCTCACATGCTGAAAACTTACCTCCAAGAAACATACACAATAAATCAAATCAAGAAATTAGAACTCAACTTTTGTAACCAACAATTCCAATTCAAAATGATCAAATTCAAATACCAATTATTCATAATGGCCTAGTCAAAGAAATGTTACTTAAATTAGGTGAATATCAAATACCATAATCTATTACTAATGAAGGTCTAGATGTTACATCTCCAATATAATTACCTGATGATTCTATCTATGTTGGAGGCTTAAAAAATAACTTATTTTAAGGATATGGAGAAATCTATTGGGATGATGGTACTCATTATTGTGGATAATTTAATAAAGGTACAAAATCTGGAAATGGTAGATTAATTTATGCTGATGGAGATGCATATGTATATAAACTTAATTTAATAAGGAAGGTGAGTGGTTGGATGATTAGTAACATGGAAAAGGAAAGTATTGGTATTCTGATGGAGGACTTTATGATGGAAGATTCTTATATGATTTAAAAGTAAATTTTATTTCTTATTACCTTTAGCATGGCTAAGGTAAAGAAATCTTATCTAATGGAGAAACTTATGAAGGAGATTTCAACAATGGAACAAGACATGGTAAAGGAAAATTAATTATGACTGATGCTGTCTTTGAAGGTTAATTTGATAACGGATAAATGATTGATGGAGAATATAGATGGAATGATGGAAGAAAATATAAAGGGTAAATTCAAGGAACAAAAATGCATGGTCATGGAGAATTTTGGTTTCCTGATGGAAGATATTACAAAGGTATATTGATTTTAATATTATTAGGTGATTGGGTTGATGATTAAAAATAAGGATAAGGAGAATTTCACTATTCTGATGGTTCTATGTTTGTAGGGGAATGGAAGAATAATAAATAGAATGGATAAGGGAAGTTTGTTGATTAAAATGGACAAATTATAAATGGCATTTGGGTTGATGGCATTAAGACTAAATGATTCAATAATTATGTCCTTATTATTTAACCATTATAAAAAATATTTATTTATTATGATGAAATATTAATGATCAAAAAAAAGAATCTATTATAAACAATCAGTTTAATTTGGATTATTTTAAAATAAATTCAATATCTTCTCTTTGGTGTATCATAAATTCTACTTTAAACTAAATTAATTTCATCTTCTAAAGTTCTTTCTCTTTATTTTCTTTATATTTCAGCTTCTAATTCTAATTTTTATATTCTTTCTTAGCTTCTTTATCTTTCATATTCTAAATCTCTTTCTATTTTCTCTAATTCTCTACTTCTCTCTATACTTCTACGTTAATTTTCTAATTGTAAAATTCTTAATTCAGCTTCTCTAATTTATTCTACTTTTTCTCTGCTCTATCTCATCTCTTGTATCATTCTTACTTATTCTCTACTACTTCTTAAAGCTTCAATCTAATTTATTAACTCTCTACTCTTTTTCAACTCCTATATTCTTTCTTAACTTCTTTTTAAATCCATCTCTTCTTTTTCTCTTTTTTATTATTCTAACCTCTCTTAATAATTTCTTAATTCTTCCATTCTTTTTCTTTATTATTAAAGCTCTTCAATTCTTTCTCTAGATCTCTTTAGTTCCTACATTTTCTCGTTATTTTTCCTTTCATTTTCCAATTATTAAAGTTTTTCTCTACTCTTTCTTAAATCTTCAAGACGTTCCCTACTTTTCTTTAATTCTTCAATCTAAAACTATCTTTCTCTACTTTTTTTCAATTCATTTAATTCTTCTATTTTTTATCTGCTAATTCTTAACTCTTCCAACTAATTTAATCTTTCACGACTCTTTTTTAAATCATCTAATCTTTCTCTACTTTTTTTTAATTCCTCCAATCTCTCTCTACTATTTTATAAATCTTCTTATTATTCTCTACTTTTTTTTAACTCCTCCAATCTCTCTCTACTTTTTTTGAGATCTTCTAGTCTTTCACGACTTTCTTGTAATTTTTCCAATTATTCAACTTTTTCTCTGCTTTTTCTAAGATCTTCTTATTATAAGTAATATTCTCTGCTTTTTTTAAGATCTTCCTCTCTTAATCTACTTTTCCTGAGATTATTAATTTCTTCTTTTTCTAATTCTAATTGAATAATTCTTTCTCTACTCTTTCTTAATTCATCTACAAATTACTTTTCTTATGAAAAATAATCTGGAGTAAATGTTATTGCTTAAAGCAATTCAGAATAATTTATCTTTCCATCTAAATCTTAATCTACAACTCTAAAAAAAGCAAGCAAATCATCAGAAGATAATTTAACTCCATTTGAATTTAAGAACTCTTTAAGTCTAAAGAATTTATAAAATTATCTTACGTTTCAATTGTAATATATCCTAAAAATTCTTTATCTATACATCTAAATGCATCAAGAGATGTAAAATCTGCACTATTTGATAAAATTTCTTGAGAAGTTAAAATTGAGCTAAACAAAATAAGTAAAAATATACTTATAATTTTAAATTTCTTAGTAAAAGACTCTTGAAAGCCCCCATTCTACTTCTGTAGGTAATAACATATTTTTTTCTAAAGAGTAGGATTCTCTTAGGGATGCAGTTTATCTCAATCTTGAGTCCTCTTTTGGTAATATTGCCTTAACAAAACTAGACTCATAAGAACATTGCTTTACTCTGGATAAGTGATTCTACCATCTCTATTCTAATCTAATTTCTTCATTAAATATTCAGCTTATGCTTATGATGCATTTATTTTATTGTCTATTAAAAAATCAACCAAATCCGAAGTAGTTAATTCTCCAGTTCTCATTTAATCTAACCTTTTAAAAGCTGTGTAAGGTTCAAATTTTTCCTGTTTAGCCAATGCTTATCTATTTTTTTCTGTTTCTTTCTCTGCTTCTGCAATAGTATTTATTAAATTTGCTAATCGTAATTAAGTCTTTTAAGAAAGGTACATGATAAAATAAAATTTATTATACTTAAAATAAAATTAAATACTTTATAGATAAATAAGATAATAGAGATCAATCTAATAATAAATTAATGAAATTCATTAGGTATTAATTCTCTAAAACTGTTAAACAGCGTTCTTTATCATTAATTTATTTGTCTATTTAGGATTTTTAAATATGAAGATTATCTTTAACAATGATATATATTATCTATGTTTTGTAACTTCATTTATAGTAGAAAATTACTTTAATAATTCCTGAAAGAGTTTAACTCTAATGGAAAGTGCAATTTAGAAAGGAAATATACAATTTTTCACAGTAGTCTTACAATAAATGGTTATTTAAGACCCTTGAATATTGATAAATTATTTGTAAATTACATCTCATTAGTTTAATGGTTAAGGCATTTTTAGATCTATTATATTATAAATAATATAATAGATGTCATCAATTATTTTTTGCATAATTTAATTATTTATAATACCGTTAATAATTTGATTATGAAATCTCAACCATTGTAGTAAATTAACTTAAATACGAAGCATCAGAAAAAAAAGAGTATTAATGGGAGAAATATATATGAAATTGGTGGTAAATATAATTTTAATTAAAGGAACCTAATTTGTTGTAGATGAGCGCTATGAATGTCATAAACAAATAGGACATGGTGCTTATGGAGTTGTTTGTTCAGGAGTTGATTTGACTAAAAACAAAAAGGTTGCAATAAAAAAGGTATTAAAATTTTGTATAATTAGATTTAAAATGCATTTGAAGATCTTATAGATGCAAAAAGAATTGTGAGAGAAATAAAGTTACTTTAGTTTTTTTAACATGAAAATGTTATTAGTTTAGTTGATATATTAAAACCAGAATCAAGGACAGGATATAATGATATTTATATAATAACTGAACTGATGGAAACTGATTTACATAGAGTAATCTATTCTAGATAAGAATTAACTGATGAACATATCTAATATTTTATGTATTAAACACTTAGAGGATTACTCTATATTCATTCAGCAAATGTAATGCATAGAGATTTGAAGCCAAGTAATATTTTAGTCAATAAAAATTGTGATTTGAAAATATGCGATTTGGGTTTAGCTAGAGGTTTTGAAATAGAAGATGAAAATAAAACAGAGTAATTTATACTAAATTATATTTTTAGATATGTAGTTACAAGGTGGTATCGTGCTCCTGAAGTAATTCTATAAGCTTCTGAATATACAAAAGCAATAGATATATGGAGTGTTGGATGTATTTTTGCAGAGCTTCTTGGACGTACTCCTTTATTTCCAGGAAAAGACTATTTAGAACAAATATAAAGAATAATTGCTGTTTTAGGAACACCATCTAATGATGAAATGAAATATATTACAAATGAAGGTGCTATCAAATATATTAAGTAATTGATTTTATTGAATTTAAAGATCTTTACCTAAGAGAACTAAATAGAATTTCAGTACATTATTTTAAAAAGTTAATCCAACATGTTTAGATCTTTTATCTAAAATGTTAACTTTTAGTCCTTTTTAAAGATACTCTGTAGAATAATGTTTGAATCATCCATATTTTGATGGATTGCATTCTAAAGATGATGAACCTATATGTGATTCTGTTTTTGATTGGTCTTGGGATAAAATGGAATTAAAAAAAGAAATATTATAATCTGCTGTATACGATGAAGCAACTTAATGGTAATAAAAACATAAAGGGAATTCTAAAAAATTTTGAGCTATAATTACTTTTTAAGCATCAAAATATTTAATAAATATTCTTTTTTATTTACTTAAACAAAGAGTTGTAAAAGTCTTTAAATATTATATTATAATATAGTGAAGATTATAGATTTATATTGATAAATATTAAAAAATCTAATAAAAGTTTAATATATAAGTAATTAATTTAATTATTGAATAAAGAAAAAGTAATGTAATCCAAAAGTTATGACCGATAAAAAATATTGAATATAGAAACAAGTGTTGGATTGACAAAAGAGTAGTATGAAAAAAAATATTTATTTCATCGTTTAAAAGAGAGATTTTTACATAGCTCTGATTTATCATTAGAGACAATCACTCCTGAAGGACATGAAAATATTTATATTCCAATGGATATTTAAACTCCAACTTAAGCTGATGGTCTTAGTTATGAAGATGAATAAGCCTTAAGAATGCATGGAGCTTAAATATGTTTTCAAGCATGCAATCATTTAAAATTACCATTAACAACAGCCATAACAAGTTTAGTGATTTATCATAGATTTTTCGCAAAGTATATAGATATAATTAAGTATAGAAATTCATTTGTAGATTATGATTATCGTGAAATATCAATGGCTTCATTATATTTAGCAGGCAAAGTAGAAGAAACAGTGTTAAAAACTTGGTATATAGCAAGTACATTTAGCTCTGTATTTTAAAAATAAAAATAAACACCATTGTAATAATAATAGAGATATAAAAATAGGGATATTATAATAAAATAGGAAAAGTTAATTTTGAGGGAACTTGGATTTGAATTATTTAGAGTTTCAGATCATCCGCATAAGTTCATAGAATCATTTTATCATTTTATTAAGGTCGATAAGCAGGTAGCTCAAAAGGCATGGTGTTACTTGAACGACTCATATATGACTGATTTATGTGTACATTTTCCACCTTAAGTTATTGCAGCAGGAGCATTGTATTTAGCATTGAGAATCTGTAATCATCCTATGCCTACTTAACCATGGTGGATATTATTAGAAGCTACTTTAGATTAAATTGAGTAAGTAGCTGCTACTATTTATAATATTTATGAATTCGAAAAAATTGATTTTCGATAAGCGAGAAGAATATTAGCTAAAGCAAATAGAATTGCTTATGTTATTTAACATAGTGAAATCTATGGTATTCCTGAAAAAATTGAAAAACCTTTAGATAATAATATTAAACAAATATCTTAATCATAATAATCATAATTATCATCTTAAGATTAATAATAATAAAATAATAAATCAGAATAATAATTAAAATCACCTGTTGATAAAAAAAGTATTAAAAAAAAAAGTAGATCTAATGAAAAAAAAAGTAAAGATAAAAAAAACAAATCTGAAAAAAAGAAAAAGAAAGATAAAGATAAAAAGAAAGAAAAAAAAGATAAGAAAAAGAAGTAAATATATAATTACTATATTATTAGAAGTAGATCAAGGAGTAAATCGAATGATAAAAAATAATCGAAAAAAGATAAAAAAAAAGATAAATTTAAAAAAGATTAGGAAGGTTTAGATAAACTTTTAAAAAAAGATTCAGAGATAATAGTCTAACAAGACAAAAATTAGAATGAATCCAAAATGGAAATTGAGACAACAAATGATTCCAATAACAATATAAAAAGCATCAATAATAATATCTAGTAATCAAGTGCAGGTAACGAATTAAAAAGTGATGACTAATTGTGCCTTCCTATTGTTGAATAGACAAATAATGAACCCTATCCTTAAGCATAACATGTTATTAATGACGTTTAGTAGCCACAATAATTGCATGATGAAAAAGAATAATTGAAAGTGTAATTGCCTTTATCGAGTAAATAGGATTTGATAGCTTCAATAAAAGCAATTCTAAAAACTTAATAATTATAGAAGGAGAAGGAGAAAGAAAAAGATTAAGATAAAAATGAAGATAAAGAAAAAAAAGAAGATAACTCTCCAGATGAATATGATTTAGAAGAAGTTGAATAATTAAAAGCACTTAAATTAAAAAGTAGTTTTATATTAATTATTTAGTGTTAGCGAAAAAGCGAAACGATTTATGAGCTCTGTAATATAAATTCAAAAAATATACATTTAAGCTATCTTAATTCTAAATTATTTTATTTTTCAATTTATAACAAATATTGTATTTCCCATCTTCCGAAAAAAATGGATTAATATATCAATATTTCTTATTTATTTCAAAAAACTAAACATCCAAGAAATAATATAAGTAATTATAATAAGGTTGAATAAGCGATTTGTTAAAATGAAAGATCAATAAAAAAATTAAATGACAGCATTTGATTACCTTTATATCACTGAAGATATAACAAAATATCATCTTTCATCCTTTCATTAAGTTCCAATTATAAAACCAAAAAAAATATCTGATAATCCATTCTATGCTCTAACCATGCATAAAAGAAAAACACCATCGAAATTAAATTAAACTGTGGAATAGAATTAATAAATTACTAAAGCATTTCCGAAAAGAGAATAAAGGCGCAAAATAAGATCCAGAACAATAAATAATAATTCAAGTATCGAATTACCAAGAATTATTGAAAAAAAATGGGAACCTAAGAAAGCACATATGTATTATAATTTGAATTTTCTTATATAATAAACAAAGAGAGGTTTAAAAACAATTAGTTGATTTTGAACTATATAATTCATAACAAAATAAAATTTTATATATTCATAACATCATTTGTATTATTCTTCAATTATAAATTAAAATTGACTGTAAACCTTATTTAATTTGTGAATAAAGAATCATGAATTGGTTTTTGTAAAAATAAGCATCACTTAAACTATTATTTAAATGTTTTAATCAAAAACTTCAATTTATAAAATCTTCTCATAATCATTTGAATTTTAGTCTAATTATGTATGATTCAATAATAAAAGATTAATATTTTAAAATCAATAATTCAAGAATTTATTACAAAATTCCAATTTAAGAATGTCATCTCTTTAAAATAAAATTATATAAACTGATTTGAAATGATAAAAATTGAATAAGATTTTATTTTATAAAATTTCGAATAATTATATATTTATAGCGAAGTTATTCCCAAATTCAGAGCATATTTTCATTAAACAAATAAAAAAATATAATGTAAAATTTTTTTTTGCAAAGTTTTATTGTCACAATTTTTTATCTGAATTTGTTGTAAATTTGATTAAAAAATTATTTCAATTTTTATTAATATAAAATTTATTATACATTTCAACAGAAACGCAGATAATGAGATTAATACCAATTAAAAATTTTCAAAATAAAAACCTTCTAAAAAAGTTGTTAGTTTGTATTTATTTCTATTGAAAATACATTTAATAATATAATAATTATATTAATCAATAATGAAATAATTCGGCTATAAATCCTTTAAAAAGAACATCAAATATTAGATCGTCTGCTTAATTATTTAATTAAATTGCTAGATCTAAGCAGAAAATCATTCTTTGGATTATATTTTAGTAAATTTCTTATTTAAGTTAGAAATCAGAATATTGTTTTTCAATTTATTCCATCTCATTTTATAAATAAACTATAATATGAATTTTATTCTATTAACTATTATTACCAGAAAAGCAATGAGTTTTGAGGATCTATTATGTTGGTACTTTCCACAATTTATTAAATATTTTTTACATAAAATGGGTTCGAATAGATTTTAAATGAACATCCCATGTTTCTAATTTAGAGATCATGAATTTATGCTATTTATTTCCTTTAATCCTAATTGAATGATTAATTTTTTTTGAGTTTTTATCATTAATTTTAGGAACTTTGAATAGTATAAACATATTTACTTGACTTAAATTTATTCAATTATAATTTATTGGCGTAATCTAATACTTTAGAAAAAAAATCAGATCCTCCAATCACTTTGCTCTTGATTTAGCTCTTAAATTCAAATAAAATGTCATATTATTACTCCATAGAATTTGGTTTCAATTGTTATGGTTATTGCTGGCCTGTACTAAATTAATCTTCAATGTCGATATTATCAATAAATGAGAATTCTTATCTTAATAATATCGTTTTAAATACCAATTGGTAAGAATTTGTTCATTTCAAAATCAATGTCCGAAAATGCAAAGTTATTAGTGTCGCCAAAATTAAAATATTCATCTGTAATTGAATGCTCTTCTGGTATTCGAAATTGATCAGCTTAAAATATGCTAGCTTCAGAATATTGTGTCATTCCATTTAAATTATGATTTACTAAGAGTAAAAAAAAGCAGATAATCTGTATCAATGTAGCTGAATCAAGCTTTTTCACTTTTTTCCAATCTGGACTTTCTTTTAAATTTAGCATGTTATTAATTATAAAATATAAATTATTTTTTAAATCATTTTAAATACTAAAACAAAAAAAATGATCACAACAATTTTTTTGATCTATAATCAATAATTTTAGGTTACTAGTAGTTATTATATATAAGTATTCAAATCAGAAAATTATAATTGAAAAATTAAAATATTTATCTAGTTCTTATTATATTTTATTATGATCTTTTAAATTTAAAAGATCTTAAATTAATACAGAAAGATTAAAATGATAATAAAATGAGGATAATAGTTGATACAATAAAAAAATTAACTATAAAATATCGGATAATAACTATTCTAAAAAGTTATAATGTAAATGATTTTTGATCATGAAATGATTATATGTATTATTAATTTCATTATTATTCTTTTTGAAAATGTTCTTTGAGATCAAATTTACAATTAGGACATTTGCTTGCTTTTTAGAACCAAGGAATAATGCAACTTTCATGAAATATATGAGCGCATGGTAATTTCATTATTATTTCCCCTTTGTTCTTTACCAAAATAAATACCATTGATGAAATCTTTAATACAAATGGAACAACTTTTAGATGATTTACCCATTTTCATTCTTTTTATTTATCCAATAAATTATTGTTCTAATTTGTTGTCTAAATTTTTCTCTTCCTCTTACTAATATTCAAATCTTTCTAAATCCTCAGTCTATTTATATAAATTTCTTAGAAATTACAATTAATCTATTAAATGTTTCTAATGACATTCCATAAATGGGGCATTCTTAATTAATGTAAAACTGTTACAATCCATCTTTCCATCATGTCGATATCCATTATTGTAGACTGCAGCCCACTCGTTATTGTAATCGATAAAATCAAGATTATATTTTCCAGTTGGATTTATCTTAATTGGTCGATCATTGCCTTTCATTTTAAAATATTAATAATAATAAAATAAAAATGATAATTTATTATGATTTATTAATATATTTTGTCAAGCATTATAATAAATAAATTGATATATAATATGGAAGAAAGACATTCTTAAAATACTTTAACTTAGAATTAAATTCAAGGATTTTAGAAATAGAATTTATTAGTTTCTTTTATTTTAAATTATTTTCTTCTGTTTCTTGATTAGAATTTAGCTTATTAGAAGAATACTTTATAATAAAAAGTAAAATGATGAATATATGGATTAATAAAATAATTGTAAATAAACTATTTATTAATTTAGAATATTATTAGCTACTATAGTTAAATTTTATATATAAATATATAATTTTAAGATGGACGATGAGTTTTTAATTTGTGCCAAGATAATTGAATTTTTTTGGCTTCTCTTAGCATTCGTCTTCTTTTTTTTTGCTGTTTATGCAAAATTCAGATTGAAAAAGGATATTCATTTAGACATCGAGAATTTGAATTCGAATCACGCATCAGTTAAATATTAAATTCCTTCTTAATAAGGTGATGCACAAGATATTCATATGGCAGATTAAAATGTTTCAAATTCTGGATAATTATAATCAAATATATAATAAAATAGAGAACCACCTGTATATTTAAAAATAAATATTAGACAAAATTAGAAGAATTTTACAAGAAATCATTAATTATAACAAGTAGAATATTTCCACAACTAGCTATTGTGATTATTTGCATCTTAAATGGGTTTACTTATGCTTTTGCATTAGCTTGCTTTATAATATATTTTATTTGCATCATTCTATTTAATATACTTTAGTTGTAAGATCGTTTAGAATCTTAAAGAATTAAAAGTATTTTAAATTAATTATAATTTGAGATATGTTTAAGTTATCAAATAACATTTGCTTATTATGTCTATTCATAAATTATTTAGCTATTTGACTATTTTGATTTTTATGATATTATATTAATGCTTTAGATATAATTAATTAAATAACAAGTATTTTTATTTTTATCAATTTTTGCACTTTGTGAAATAAACTTGTTGTTTTTTGTCAATTGAGACTTTTTTAATTGATTTTTAAGAGTCAGCTGAAATTGAAATATTTGAGCTATCTTGTCCACTCTTGTTTTTAAGAATATGTTTCTACTTTGAGGTTTCATTTAATGAGTTTTTTTATTCACATAAATTATTTTGATTAAAATTGTTTGAATTATGCATTTCATCATTTTTAAATTTGGATACATTGATGGTTTCGATTACAAAGTTTTTTTTATCCATGGATTTTATTGTTAACTATCAATTTCTTCAGATTGTTATACTGTATATTAAAATAACTATTCACACTTATTTTGATTTTATTATTCATTTAATTCTTTTTTAGGAGATTCTTCCTTCTCAACCTATTGATCAGTTATTAAAATACTGATAATTGGAGTTGGTTTAAACATGTTAGGAGGACCATTTAATTTATGTGAGCATTTTGAATTTATTTTAACTTCAGATTAATTTGATTGAAATCCTTTTACACAAATTGATGTACCCATTATTTTTATATTTTCAAATTAGAAAAAATATAAATTCAATAATATTTATCAATATGCTATCAATATTGGATTTTATTTATTATAATCTATATTTTTATTTTCTCTATTATTCTTGTTTGAAAATAAAAAACAACATTTATTAACTATTTTTCCATTTTCTCTATTAATTATTATTATATTATTCTAAAGATTTTTTTCATAAAAACATTCACATGAACCAATAGCATATCAAATTTTAATATACTTTTATTTAAAATTATTAACTTTTTAAGTATAAGTGATATAACATTCAATTAAGTTTTTCTTGAATATTCTAAAAAGTGGATTTCTTCTAATTAATAAAATTGACAAATACTCATATCAATTTACCAATTTTATAATTCGCCTCATCTTATTATAAATTTAAATAAAGTAAGTTGTCAAATTCTATTATTTATGATATAATACAAAAGTAAAATTTGAAGATATTTTATGTAGTAATAATTATAAAATTGGTTGTTGAAATATTTAATGATTAATGAATCTGAATTTTTAAAACTATTAGAGAAAATTTTCATAAAGAATTAATATCAAAAACAGTATAATGAATAAAGATATGATTATAAAAATAATTAAAAATTAATTAATAGATTCAATGCTTTTATTCATCATCAACTTCATAAATAGCTTATTACCTTTATTAATTGAATTTTGAATAAGTAAATTTTCTTTTAATTAGACTTTATTAAATAAATCGAGGACTGTTACTAAAATTCATTCTTCCAGAATCAGTTGATTAAGTATCTGGTGTTAAAGGATCAAAATCTTAAGTGGAAAATTTTTTAAAAGCACTTTTTTTAGTAAAATCTGTAGGTGAGTTTTCTGTAAGAGCTAAATTTTTTTTTTTAGCATGTTAAGCTAATCTGGGACTATTTAAAGTAGGAATTCTTTTTCTGGGAGTTTCTTCATCAGGATAATCATCATTGTTTTATACAGTTTTTTGTTTAATTTCTGGTAATTATAATCTATCAGATTTATCTGTTTTGAAATTTGATGTTTACCAAGGTTTACTATTAGTATTAATTTATTTTTTTGATGATTGAAATTTCATTTTTCTATCAATAAAAGTTCCAGTAAAAAATGGATGATCCAAAGCTTATAAAGCTGAGATTCTTTAATGTGGAATAGGTTAAAGCATTTAAGAAATCAACTCTATAGCTGATTATGGAGTTTAATATATATTAAGAGTATCTAGATTAATAATACATTTTTTGTTCAACTTAAGAATTTCATGATAGTCATTTCCTGGGAATAAATCTTTTGATGTAATTCTAAGAGTTTAATATAATAGTACAATTTATAAAATATACATCCCACGCTGAAAATATCACAAATCTTATCATATTTAAAAGTGAGATCTTTGAGATTGGCTATTTCTGGTGCTACATATCCTGGAGTACCACATTTAGGAAAAGGATATGTAGGTGCAGATTACCATGTTGCTAATCCAAAATCAACTATTCTTATTCCATTAATGTCGTTTGGTTTCTTAAGCATTATATTTTCTGGTTTTAAATCTCTATGCATAATATTTAATGAATGCATATGAGCCACAGCAGTAAGAATAGACTAATATTTAATTTAAATTATTACAAACATGATAGACTTGATTTCATCCCAACCTAATTAAATTATACCTTTAGAAATTAGATCATGAAGTGAACTACCTTTCAAATATTCTAAAATGATATAAAATGTATTTTCTCCTTCATAGACTTCCTCTAATTTTACTATATATTCATGATCAAGTGCTGCCATCAAATTAATTTCATTAAATAATGCTTCCTAATTTGATTATTTACATAAATCATACAAAGCCTCCATCTTCTTTTAGATATTTCTTCTCAACATTTTTGGATGCAAATTCTTATTTATCACATTTATCCATTACTAAGTATACCTTTGAATTATTATTAAGACAATACTCTTGAAGAACCTCCTCTTCCTAATTATTTCATTGGCAAATAGAAATCACTTACATCTCTATACATCACTCTATTTCTTAATATTCTCTTTAATTGTTTAAATTCTTCACAAGATCCTTCAAAATACTTAATTTCTTCTTTGGATTCAAACCCCATTTGTGTAATTTTTTGTCTATCCTGAATCCAGTAGATTTTCTAATTCAAACTAATATGAAATATATATTTCGGTTATTAGGAATTAAGTTCCTTAAGTAATATTATAGGTGTAATACTTAAGTTAAAATCAAATAGTCATCTATAACATACAAAAAGTATGTGATTTCTCTGCTAGCATGTTTGCGTTGACAAACCATTTAGAATGATGCATTTTCATACACAATTTCAGTGATATTATTCATTTTTATGCTAAATTATATTAATTTAAAAACAATTATCATGGCAAAATATTTAAGAATTACTTATTCTAATAATTCATAACTAAATTAATATCATTTATTAGCTTTTCCATAATAATATCTTTATTTTATAGAGAAAAAATATATTTTCTTTAAGAATTATTTATAAATACTTAATTAAGAATTTATGATTTATTTATAACCTTTTAGAAATAGATGTATAAAAGAATATTAGAATTAAATTAATATTTAAAATACTCTATATTTTATAATAGACATAACTAAGAACTAAAGAAAATTAAAGTTTATAGTTTATTTCACTATAAATTTGGAAATTAAGATAACTAATTTAATTGATTTAGTTTTCTTATGATTAATTGACAATTTTATAATTTTTTAAAATTAATTGTGAAATTAAGAATGTCATATCAATCATCTTTAGTTTTCTTTCTTTAAGCTTTCACGTAAACGAATTCTTAGGTTAAATAAATAAATAGTTACCTTTCTTTGGCTGATCTTTCCATATCTCCAATTTCATCACTTCCTAATCTATACATCACAAATAATATCACTCCAGCAAACCATCCCATATAAATACAAAAATAAAAAGCATTTTTCAATCTTATTTCTCTTGATTATGGTTTTAATTCTTCATCCAACTTCTGGCTAGAAAATTAATAATATTATTACTTTTAAGCTAATTATTCTCTAGTTAGTTAGGGACCTCTTTAGAAATCTTTGAAATCTTATTTCTATCCCTTAAAATTGTATTTAGGAGGAGCATCTATTTTCTAACCTCCTTTAACAACATTTTCATAAAAATTCTTATAGATGTTTCTTAATTTTTACATTAATTATAATATATATAAATATCTATTATTAAATTAAATTGGATAATAATGTTGTAATCCAAAAATGACCATATATCTGTACTAAACATTTATAAACTTGAATAAATGGATTATCAAGATGTTTAAACTAAAAATCATATACTAGAAGAATCTCTTAAGATTATAATGATGATGAAAGTAACAAAAATAATGTTGAAGATGAACATTTACCATTTGAAGCAATGAAATTAAATGAAATTCCTAAATAAGAGAATTAAATAGCAGAATCAATTAGATAATAACTTGGACATATAAAACTAAATTATGATTCTTAGTATCAAATTTATTAACCTGTATAAATTATAAATTATAAACCTAATGGAGATATTCATTCAATTATCTTTTATGAAGGTCAAAGGTAAAAATAAAAAAGAAATGGAGCAGGAGTATAATATTATCCTGATGGTTCCATTTATGAAGGTCATTGGAGTCAAAATAAATTGGCTGGATTTGGTAGAATAATTTATGCAGATGGAGAATATTATATAGGATTATGGAGATAAGGATAAACTCATGGTGAAGGTACTTTAGTTAATAAAGAATTAACTTATAAAGGAACATGGGAAGATGGAGTTTAATTACTATAATATTCTATATATAGAATGGATAAGGATATTTATAAAAGAGTAATGGAACTTCATATGAAGGATTATTTAAAAAGGGACGTAAGCATGGATCTGGTTTAGTAAAATATTCAGATAATTCTTAATATAAAGGAAACTTTATTTAAGATCCTTATGAAGGTATTGGAGAATATAGATGGAGGGATGGTAAGACTTATGGAGGAGAGTGGAAAAATAATCTCATGAATGGAAAAGGAGAATTAAGATATCCAAATGGAGATGAATATATTGTAATTATTAAATTATATATTCTAGGAAATATTAAGAATGACCAAAATCATGGATTAGGAAAATTCATATAATTTAATGGTAGATCTATTGAAGGATAATGGGAGTTTGGTATATTAATTGGAGAAGCAAAAATAACAGAACCTAATGGAGAATCATCATAGGCTTATTTTAACGATCAAATTATTTGATATATTTAATATAGAATACTTTCTGTTAATATATTAATTAAAAAATAATTTTTATGAATTTTTATATAACAGCATTTACAACTATCATTTATTTTTATTACAATTTTTAATAACTATATATAATTTCCATTTATTTTCTTTTATAACACTAATGAAATTAGCCTTGCTAATTAATTATATCATTTTATTTATATAGAGATTCAGTAATTTAACATAAATATCACAATTTTAAAAAAATCATTGAGGTACTTAATTTATTTTTGAATTTATCTCAATTTTAAAAACTGCATAATAATTCAACTTTATGATTAGATTTATTATTGAATTTCACATTCTACTCTATTAATAGTTTGAACTGATAAAAATGTATAAATTGGATTTTTTAAACATAATGAAACTTTTAATTTAAGAATTAGTTGTGTAGATTGATTTTTAATAAGTTAGGATAATGAATAATAAGTTCAAAAGGATTTCTAGATTGTTATAAATATTTTGAATGTAGTTTTGGTTAAATCTCTATAGAGTATTAAAAATATCATTAATTTTATTAATTCAAATTTGATGAGCTCCCTCTTTGTTAAATGTTTATAATGTAATCAAAGACCAGCAACAATAAAATGTCAATAGTGTAAAATTGGCTAAGTTGTGAGATTATGTTACAGCTGTGATTCACAGGTACATAATAGATAAGGACCTATAGGTCAGCAACATAAGACAGAAATCATTCCTTATTAAGGTAATAATGTATTTATAAAATATTATAGAAATGTATTAAAAAGCTCCATAATCAGCAGGATAAACGAATTTAGGAAATAAATTTGAAAATACCCAAAATGCTTAAAAAAAATAATAACCTTAACAGTCATAATAATCTTAAGGACAATTTAAATTTGCTGCAACTACAAAATAAGAACCACCATAATTTAATTAGAGGCCACTTACAAATGTAGCAAAACCACTTTAATAACCAGCAACTAAAGAGATTAATTTCTCTGGCACCAGATCAAATAATAAACCAAGATATGATTAGAAAGAGGAAGAATAATATAATAGTTCTTAAAAAAACTCTGTAATATATTATTCATTATGATTCTTAGGATTAAAAAACAACATTAAACAATTAGTTGAAGGAAGAATAAGATACATGTTAATAATTAAAAAAAGAACTAAAATAAGCCTAAGATTAATTAAATTCAATAAATAAAGAAGTTGAGAAGAAAATGTATATTGATTGTTAATATAATTTAATAGAAAAGCATCATAATAAGAATTAGAGAAAAAATTAAATGACATAAAGAAGGAAGGAACTGAAGAAAAGAAAAAAACATAATAGTTAACTGAGGATGTTAAAAAATTGAAAGAATAGTTAAAGAATGCTGAAACTTAAACTTAGAAGAAATTAGATTAATAAAAAAAATAATATGAAAAATAAATGTAAGAAATGGAATAAACAATAAATGAGAAATAATAATAAATTGATGAAATTGCTTAAGAATTTTAGAATTATAATTTAGAAGATATATAGGCAAAAATGGAAGAAATGGCAAATGATATAAATATGAAAGATTAGATTATTGAACAATTACAAACATAATTATAAAAAGGTGATGGATATTAAAATGGAGATGGATAAGAAGGTGATAAAGAGGAAATTGTTGCATAAATAGAATAGAAGGATTAAGAGATTAAGAAATTAGAAGAGTTAATAGAGAATTTCAAATAATTATATTAGCATATGTTAGATGAGAAATAAGTTATTATGGAAGAAAATGAAAAGTTGGCAAATGAAAATAATTAATTTAGAGAAATATTTAGTGTATTTTTTATTATTTATAATTTAGTAAAACTTACATTTGTTTGGAATCGATCCAAATCAATTAGAGGAAGAAGGAGAAGGAGAAGGTGAAGATGGAGAAGGGTATTAATAAGAGGAAGGTATATATTTAACTTTATTAGGTGAGATAATTGAAGAAGATGAGACCAATGATACGTCTTGATATTAAAAAGTATCATTTTCCAAACATATAAATATAAATTAGTATATCCTACTTTTTCATTAATTTCTCTTTTAAAAGGATAGTAATAAACTAGATCTTAAATTGTTTAAATTTTTTAATTCTAATTTAATCTTACATTCAAGATTTTTTAAATTTTATTATTCTGTTTTAAATATAATTATGTTTTTATCATAATACATAATATTTAATATATATTTAAATCAAAAGTGAGTATCAATTAAATATCATAGGCTCATCTTCATTTTTTAAAGGTGCTTTATTTGGTATTACTGCATCTATTTTTATAGATCTAAGTTGCTTATTTTTTTAAATCACATTAAAGAGAAAAAATAGATAAAACTGAAACTTACTATATGAAATCATCCTAATTAAAATTAAATCATTGAGTAATAAATTAAACTAATTTTTCTACATATAAATAACAAACAATAATATATTGAAGAGTAAGGAATCTACTACTACTAATATTTAAAATTACTAATGTAAGTTTCTTAGTAGTTTGTGTTTGTACTTGAAAACTTAAATCAAAAAGATTGTTAGCTAAATAATAATTAAATATGTTTATAAAGTTCCATTATATTCTATATAAAAAATTAAGAATAAAAGAATTAATCTTTTTGAAGAAGAATTTTATTATAATGTATAAATGAAATTTCCACAATAATATAATAATAGATAGAAGATTTGTAAAGGAGAAATCCTTAAAAATTAAACTATAAAATTGATTAACTCTTTCAAAATAAATAATAAGTAGTTAATTAATAAACAGAAATTTAAATAGTAAATATAAATGATAATCTATATTAAAATGGTGTAAATTTGAATATCATATATTTATTCACATTTCTAGTAAACTTATTTAAAAGTTTTCTTGATCAAAGGTATATTCATCATAAAGATGTTAAGAAGTTCGTTTGCTTATTTTTTAATGTGGCTTTATAACATAAGCAGTTAAACAATCTAAATAAAATGATAATATACATTATAAGAAACTATTAAGTCTTTTAAAGTATAATTCCTTCCATTAAGATTCAATATCTCCATGACCACCATTTTCTACAAGCCAAACAGAAAATAAATGATTGGTATTTTAAGCTAATTATTCAGCATGAACAACACTTATCATAGAGTCTGCTCCTCCATGAAGTAAAAAAACAGGAGCTGTAACATCAACAATATAATCAATATTAGGAAATATATCATAATATGATGTTTGTTTTATATTAGGATCAATAACTCTTAGACCGCTTGATAAACCAGAATGAATAATTAATCCTCCTACATTATGTCTTGAAGCTAAGTTTGTACTTGGTCCAGACCCAATACTATAACCATATATTATTATGTTTCTTGGTTCAAACTACAATTAATCAACTAAAAATAGGTAAGCTGAATCAATATCATAAAGTAAGTTAATATCAGTTGGATATCCTGTACTTTATCCATATCCAGAATAATCATAAGAGAATAAGTTAATTTAACATTCCATTACGATATCAACATATGTATCAAACATCAGACCAATATCTGTAGAATTGCCATGACTATAAAGTATAATCTATTGGCTTTTTTAATATTCAATATAAATAGACGCAATCAAATTACCAGATTTGGATTCTAATACATAACTAGAAATAGGTAATCCAGGATTATTATCAATTTCCATTGCTTTCAATTCATTGCTTATAAAATTAAACTCTTGTGAGGGATATTAGCTTATGTATTATATTTTCATACTCTTAATTCTTTGGGTTTCTCATTTGTTATCTATATTCTGCACTCTATAAAGTGTTATAGTATTTAATCCTTGGAGATATAGTAAAAAGATGTTCCTTTGTTAATTAATGTGATTGTCTGGTCGCCTATTTTATTTATATCAAAGGTGATTATGGTTAATCAAAAGTCTTAGATCTGTCATCTTATATTGGGGAAAGAGTTAGAGCTTTAATTACTTCATTTCTGTTTCTTATTAAATAACCTACTTCTGGAGGGTTGAATGCAAAATACTAAGCTATAGTTAATCTTAGACATCTAATAATTGACAATAGCTTGAATAATCCAGTCAAAATTCTTCGAAATAACAAATACATGTATATCGAAATTATAAAATTTATAAATCAAATTAGAACATATTTCTTCATCTCAATCAACCATATATGAATTATTTTAAATCACATATTATATGTAAATATTTTTAATTTGAGTTTATCCATCATATCTATTACCATTCTAATACCAATCTTCATACTAATTTAGATAAAAAACTTCTGAAAATGCATATTCAATTATTATATAATAATATGAGCGAAATTTTTTAAAATTAGTAATTAGTACATTAATACTCTTTAGAATAATTATTGATTATTTATTATAATCTTATATAAATATAGTATGCGAAGAAAATTATTGATTATTTTAATGTAATAAAATCAATTTTTGAATGATATATGAATTGATTAAGAAAGTGATAAAAATGCTTAAATTATTCAATTCAAAATGTTAAAATGAAAAAGAAATAATATGTTGGATTAAATCATAATTTATTATTAGATAGAAGATAAATAAATATGAAAAGAATATTTTAAATATATATATATATATAATTTGTATATTTATCATGAATTTTTGCTATGATAATGATTTACAGTTTACCTTGAACTCTTGGATGTTTATGAAGAATTAGATTTTCTACTTTCACTTGATGATTTCCTGGAAGGTCTTCTATTTTATTTAGTTTTTCTAAAATTTCTGCTTCTTCTTCTAGACTTAGATGATGAAGAAGAAGATTTAGATGAAGAGGTAGATCTTCTTCTTTTTCTATCTCTTCTTTATCTTAATTCTTTTGTAACATATATTACCTTCTTGCATCACTAGGAGTTCTTGACATAGGACATTCTTTTTTAATGTGGCCTTTCTTGTAACACCTGTAACATGTTTCTCGCAAATCGCCTTTATTTAATATAATATTTAACCTTCTTTGCATTCATTTGCCCAATGGCCTTTGCGTCCACAATTGAAACACACATCTCTGGCTGTTGGTCCTCTTACACCTGAAGGTCGATCATCTTATCATCACACGATCAAATGTCATCCTACCTCTTTGTTTAACAGTGACACGATCACCACCTATCCTTCGTCCATCCATTTATGATATTGCCTACTTAGCCTCATCTGAAGCTTCAAATTCAATGAAGGCATGCGTGCTTCGTAGATCAATATCCTTTATCTTTCCATATTTCTCAAACTCCTGCTATAAATCTTCCCGCCTTATTTTTGATCCCAATCTCCCTACATAAATTTATCGGCTCATTTCTACTTTTTGTCAAATATAAATTATAAATAAATATATTTTAAATAAATTTCTGCTGTCATTCAAAATTTATTAAATCCACTTTGACGACTTTTAAATTTCTATATCTCTATTTATTGTCTTTACACTCCTTATTCTATTCCTCTATCTTAACTTCTACTTGATGGTAATGAAGCATTCTCTCTCGTTCCTATTCTATTTCATTTTATCAATTATTATACCTTATCTAAGAATTACTTTATTATTTCTTAGCTGATTATGATGTCAACTTACAAACAAGTCTTTTCTTATTTTTTTAATTGCTATCTATACCCTATTATTTATCAAATATATTTTATTACTTTTAAATTATTCAAATATTCTTATTAAATCTTATCCTCATTCTCTTACATTTTTTTTTCTTAAATCTCATCAATAAGAATTTTATTCTATTCTATTTTCATTATCATTTCTTCAACCATTTTTTATATTGTCTTTCCCTTTAAAATTTTCAATTGCTTATATTGATCTTAATCAATTAAATAATGTTTAACTTAAGGCAATATTTTAACTAATTGTATTACAACATCTATTATTTTATCCTCATATAATTAAATAAATAAGTTAAACTTTAATTATAATTATTATTCTTACATTTAAATAATTAAAATACTTCTTACTTATGTATTTTGGTAAAACTTTTACAAAATACAAATATTTTATTTTTTTATTTGAATTTCCCTTGTAAAATTATGAATTCATAGTATCTTTGATATTTTACTGTATTTCATAATCATGACAAACACCAAAAAAATATGCTAATATTTCCATAGCTAACTCTTCATTAGAAGAACATGTTTATCTTTTTAATAAAATTGGTATAAAGTATTTCAAAAATTATTTGGGTTTAACATATCTCGTAAAACTTTTAACTGATAACAAAAACTTTTCATTAGTTTAATAATTCTATTCACACTTTTAGAAAAGTTTTGAAATTTCCTGAAAAATTACTTTAAATTGTTTTTGCTTTATATAAATTAAATGAATTACAATTTTATCTAAAGATATAAGATATCCTTCATTAAGCAATGTCTCAATTATTTTACCAAATTAAATTTGCAAAATCAATTTATAGTTCCCAGTATTCATAATGCTCGTAATTATAAATTAAATTTAGGTTTAAATGAAGCTATACTGATTTATAAAATTTGTTTACATCAAAAGATTTAATCAATTCATGCAAGATAGAACAAGCAAAAATTCTATTCACCTCCTCATCTTCATCGATAATTACAAAAAAAGGTTAGATTAATAAACAGTTTAATTGGAGCTCTTTAATCAAAATCAAGAAACCTGGTAAATTATATAAATAAAAGTATCTAATATTTTGACTCTGATGTTATCCAAATTTAACAAATAAATTAACAAGATTTTATTTAAATTCAAAATTAACTTATTCTTTTATTGCAAGAAAAGCAACACCACAATATGTTAGAGATGTAGAAAGAACATCTTCATTTTAAGTGGATAAGCAATCAATTAACATCTAAGTAGCATTAAACTCTAATAAAATTATAATTTTTACAACGCAATCAATTGTATTCAATTTTTAATAATGCTAAAATAAGGTTTTAATCATTTCTTTTTTTACTAATGAACAATTATCATAAATTAAGAGCAAAAATTTATCTTATAAATATTAATGTATAAGAGAAGGACTTAATTTATCTATTAAACAACTAAGAACATCTCCAGCTATTAATGCTCTAACATCATTATCATTATCATTGCATAATTATCTAACTCTATCCAATATAGGCCCTTAAATCTTATCTCCTAATAGATTTGCTACTTAAATTATCATCATTGCTCCTATCAACCTTCCAACTTCTGGTTGACGAGGCATTGACATTTCAATGATTATTTTCTCAATGTGATCCTAATAGTCCTTATAATTAAATTAATGAATAAGATTTCCAAATGTTGGAATCCATGCATTTGCATATTTCATATTGTATAATTAAATAAAATGAAGGACTAAAGGCATTAGTTCTTTACAACGACAATTGATATTCTTGAGTGAAATTCCAGCTGCTATAATAATTTCTTCACTTTATTCCATTAGATCAGCTTAAACAACATTATACAATATGTCGAAACCTCCTCTCAATAGTCTATCTAAGTTAGTGTAAATCTAATCTTTTTAGAACTTAATACAGCCAATTTCTATCTTTGTTGTCCTTTTGTCAATATTATTTAAGCTCTTTTAATCTCTGACAAATTTTCTTCAAGGATAAGTTTCTTTATCTCATCTCCTTTCTAATATAATGTTACTTTTATACATCTAATGAGACTCTAATTTCACTCACTAAAAAATCATAAGATTCTAAAGCCATCTTGTTAATAAATTATAAATAATTATTCTGTTCTTATAATAAAACAATTTTGATTGAAAATTAGAATTTCCTCAAGCTATTAAAATTATTTTTTGTGTTTTAAAAGAATTAAAATTGAATGCGATTTAAATAATAAATAAATTTTCTTTCATAAGTTACTTTTGTAAGTTTAATTCAAATATTTTTTATTATATAAATTTTTTAGAAAGGAATATTATTGTCTCATGATAGAATAATTAATTTAACATAAAATAGGGTATTTTGTTTATTTAAACCCTAATTTTAAAAAATATTTCATAACAACCTGAATAATCTTTCTTTTTTTAGGAATAAATTTTTGATTAAAATTTGTGAAGTATAATTATTTTATGATAAATATTTGGTGACTCTTTTAAATTTATTATATTTTCAAATTAAATGTAATGACAATATGATATGTAATGAATTATTTAACAATAGTATTGATCAGAAACTGTTTAATTCTGATATTTATTTAGATAAAAAATGATATACGAAATGGAGAATTAATTTAAATAAAATGGACAATTAAGAAAAAAAAACTTATCAACAATTCGATTGGTAAGAATATGAACGAAAAAGAGCGATAGAAAAGGAATAATATGAAAGAATATCAAAAGAAATTTAAGAAACTTAAGAAAGATCAAAATAGACATTAGCAAACTTAGAGGTGACATTCAAAAATTTAGATCTTGCAAAAGCTTAAGCTAGATAAACTGTCGATAACATAGACAATTTCAAAAAATAGTTCAGCGATGCTATGGACAGATTATTAGACTGTATTGGAAAATCAATGGGATCTAATAGTATTAAAAGTAATGAATAAAATCCTAAAACTGCAAAAGAAGTAACTGTTGGATAAGCATAAAAACTAATGACTAAAAATGTTTTAATTTTATGTGGAGCAGGCCTAAGTCATGCAAGTGGTATTCCAACATTTAGAGGGAAAGATGGATATTGGACAAAAGGAGAAAATACTTATCAATGCTAAAAAGTTTTGACAAATGAATTTTTATAGAGTAATCCAGATTTATGTTGGGAATGGCATAAAGATTTTTAGAAGACTTTAATAAATAAAAAACCTAATGCAGGTCACATAGCTATTGCTAATTATCAAAAGAAAAATCCAAATACCTTAATAGTATCTTAAAATATAGATAATATACTCACATCTATATTACCTTAAAAATAAATTAAGCATGGACATTTTGAATCAATTTATGAAATACATGGAAATATTTAATATATGAGATGCTCCAAAGAATGTACACTCAAAAAAAATGAATTAGCCACTCTTTATGATATGCCAGATCTAAATAAAAATTTAAGACCAAAATGTCCTCAATGTGGGGAATATGCAAGGCCACATATTTTATTTTTTGATGAATCTTATACATAAGAAAACTGTAGGATTACGGAATTATAAGAAAAATATGAAAACTATGATACTATCATTGTTGTTGGAACTATGCTTGAAACTGGATGCGCTAAATCAACTGTTTGCCAATTTATAAAAAAAAAGGCCACAATTATTGAAATCAATCCAGAACCAATAATTGAAGTTGGAAATACTTTTTAAATAAAAGGAAAATCAGAATAGATCTTGCCTTAATTGTTAAAATGAGTTTCATTATTGTTTCATTAAATCTTTTTAAAAGATGATATTTTATAATCTAAATTAAACCTCATTGTTAAGTTTAATAATATAACTATATTTTACCTATTTTGTAGATGTAATATTTCATCTGTATTTTTTATTTCAATTTATGATTATTCAAAATAATATCAAAATATTTCTTAATCAATTAATTATACTACTCAGATACTTCTCTGCGTAATACTAGTTTTTTTTTATTATAATTAGTCTGTTCTTAAAGTAAACTTTGCTTAAATTCGAAAAATATTAATTTATAAAACAAAAAACATTAAAAATTGTTATTTATTATTAGTCAATAATTTTTAATGACCTATTTGATTGTTGAATTAAAATATTGAATTACGAAATGATATTCTATAAAATATTGCTAATTTATGGAATAAAAGCTTTTAAATGGAAAATTAGATGATATCATTTACAATATTAAATGAAAAATATAATTATAATAGCTTTATTATTAGCAGTAGCTTTTGCTAGTCTTAGAGGATCTGATAGAAAAGAATACAAACATGAAAGAGATTAGAACAAATTACGAAAAGGAGATAGAGATAGAAGTGATTCTAGTTCTGGATCATATGAAGATGAATACTCTTACACTCTCTAAAATAGTGAAGATAATTATACATATGAATCTACTAGTTATGATAGTGAATCAAGTGAAAGTAGTTCAGGAAGTGAGTCAAGTGAAAGTAGTTCAGAAAGTGAATCATATTCTTCAGAATTTAAACATAAAAGAAATGTTCACCACCATAAATAATAAAACAGAGATGGAAGAAGAGGACCAAGAGGTAGATTCCATAATAAAGATCAATAATTTTAGAATAGAAAGCATCCTCATCCTCCAAGACCTCAAGATGAATTCTCAAAAAAAGTTTTCTAAAATTTAAAAAAAACTGGAAAAGTTATTCTAGAAGAATGGAACATAAATTAAGATCCATCAATTAAAAATGAAATCAGAGCTATCTTGATAGCAAATTTAGAAAATCTGTTACCTGTAGCGGAAGTTATAAATACTTAAGAATCTGTACCAAATGAACCAATTAGTCCAGATTAAAAAGATCATCGCCCTCATCGTTGTCCTCATTCTATTCCTCCTCCACCTCCACCTCCATAACCTGAAGATGAATTTGCTAACTAGGTTTTCAAAACTCTACATCAGATTGGATTTGAAATTCTTGAATAATGGAACTTAGAATAAGATGTTTAAGTCAAAAATCAAATTAGAGCTAATTTGATTTAATAATTAAGTGAACTCATTCCAGAATAATTAGTGGAAGTTAGTACTACTACTATTATCGATGCTCCTCTTTAAATCGAAACTATTTAAGAAAGAGCAGTTCCAAGATTAACTGATGAAAATGGAAATTGATATCATTATATCATAAACAATAATTCATATCTAAATAAAATGAATAAAAAAGTTACAATTTACTTTTCAAAACTTTCTTGTATTTTCATTTATATCACAAATTCATTTTTTTTCGATTTTTCTATATTTTTTTGAACTTAATCAATTATTCGCTTTTTTAATGGATTATAGTTAATATCAAATTACTTAATCAAAATTAAAATTAGATATTTTGAATTGCTTCATTTCGAAAACGCATGTAGATTATTTATATAATAATTGTAGAAAATGAATGATACTTTCTTATTCTTATTTACTTTTATAATTAAGGTATTTAAAAATATAATTAATTCTTATTTATCAAGCTGGCTGATTGAATTGTATTCTTTCTATTAGCTTAAATATTTTTTGATGATTAAAGTTAAAATTTAACATTTTTTTGGGTTTCTACTGAAAATGACTCCAAACATCATTTTCTTTATATTAATCTCATAATATATTCACTTAGGCTTAATAAATTATTATTAGCAGAGAGTGAATTCTTTAATAGTTGAAACTTATTATAAAAATATCAGATTTTGAACTATAAGAATCAGAAATTGCATTTTTTTTGATCTTCAATTCTATTTTTTTGATTTCGAATTCTGATCCTAAGAAAAAGTGGATTTGAAGTGTTTTACTCTTTTAACTCAAATTGAAAATTATAAATACAAGAAACCGCAATTCATTTTGATAGATTTTAGTTATGTTTATAATGCAAAGAATTATCATTAAAATAACTATTTTATTTATCTAATTTAGAGTCAAGTTTGTAATAATAAAAATTATTTATATGAGATTTAATTAAATTACTATATATAGGGGAAGAAATCTAATTTATATAGATTTAAAAGTCTTCATTAGTTAGAAATTGGTTAATTAAGAACTAAAATAATTATTATGATGCTAATTTAATGGTGTATTAATTAATTATCATCAAATGATATAACTAGTTTTTACTTTATTATTTAATTCATCTAAGCAAGACTTCTTATTTTATTACTATTTTAAAAGTCTATTTTGGAAATTTTAGACTAAAGCTGATTTATTATTATGCATACTAGGATTTTGATTGCAATAATTAAGACTACTAAATTAAGAAAAGTTTTCATCATTTCTTTTGGTTATTTATTGACTTAATAAATAAATGAAGATTTTACCTTATTCTTGGTTTGCTATTAATATGATAGGTTTCTTCAATTCTTTCAACAGAATTACTATATGTGTATTTGATTTCTTTCTATTCTTCTTTTTGTTAATTAATTTAAAAGGCCACAATTAATAAAGTAACATTATCACTACTTTTTTTATAAATAGCTTCTTTCAATACAGAATCGACAGCTGTTGATAGAATTGAATGTAAATTGGATTTATTATTATTTTATATATCTTGCCAAATAATATTGATAACTTCTCCTGATGTCATTTTATCAAAAATACCATCACCTAGAATTATGTTAAATATTATTACATCCCATAACTATAAAATCATGATCCTAATTAATTTTAAATATTTTGACATCAGGTTCAGATATTACTACTTTTGAATTTCCACCAAATTATTCAAATTTAGCTTCTATATCACCAAAAGTCCTTGAAACTGATAATCTGCCTGGCATAACTCTAACTGGTCCAGTAACTTATGTTCCTTCTTCATTAATTCCTTATGTTTAATATATTTTTCCTCCTCCTTTTTAAATTCTTTCAGCCTCAGTTTCTGGTTTATGATCAATTGATAAATTTATAACTCTTTTACCTTATTAAGAGCTAAGCACAGCTCTACTATCTCCGACATTAGCAACATAGCAAACATCTCCTACAATTAAACATACTATTGCACAAGAACCACTTCTTTCTGGAATACCTTTTGAGTATTAATCTAAAGCATATGCTAAAAAATGATTTTCTGCTGCTTCAAATCCTTTTCTAATTGCACCTACAGGATTCCATGGAAATTCAGGCTCTTTTATTACAAATTGATGTAATGTATCTCTTAAGAAATCAGCACAAGCTGCTCCTCCATGTCCATCATAAACTCCAAAAAATGAGCATTTTGGCCAATTTTCTGTTGCTCTATTTTATGGTTTCACAATATTCAATATTATAGAAACTCTATCTTCATTATAATCTCTAACTATTCCTTAATTAGTATTTGCAGCATATCCTCTTATTATTCCATTTCGACCTGATGAACATTTTGTTGGTTCATAATTAGGTAAAACTGTTTATTTTTTTAGTGATTGTTCTTCTAAACTTGAATAATTCAACTCTAATGTTTTTCTTACAGGTTGCTTTATTAATGGAGATACATCATATTTTTAATAAGATTTATTTTAGCTCTCAAAAGGTCTCTTAGGGTTTGCATCTCTCTATAGATATTTATTCAAAAAGGATGGGGCATCCCTTGATTTGTAATTCATTAGTTATATTAATAAATTTGAATTTATATTTACATAATGATCAACGGATAAATTCTAAATGATTTTAACTTTCAATCATATAAAGTTATTACCAATACTTAGTTTTTATGTTGAGACTTCTAATTTTTGGAAATATTTAAAGTCTTTTCCTTTTAAACCATTCCCTTCATCTATTTTTATCAAAAAAAATCAATCTATTTTTTAATAAAGAGACTTTATTAATAAGATAAATTTATACAATTAGAGAAACATTTAATAAATAGGACTTTATTTTTTCAAAAGTTGCTAATTTTTTAACAATAAAATTAATTATAATTATAAAACAAAATGAATATGATGAGAGGCAACAATGGTGATAATTTTTGTAAGGTTCTTTTCGTAATTAGATTCCGTACATAAAGCCAATGACAATCAGAACAAGGATTAAATTAAAAAAGATGAAAGAGATATGAATGAAGAAGCAAACAAAGAAATGTAAGCCATAATAAAGTAAATAATCGATCAAGAAGGTAATAAACCTTAAAATAAATGATTGGAAAATTTTATTATTAATTTAAGAATTGAATTATGTTAAATAAATTATCTTTTATATTGTATGTTACATTGTCCAAATAAAAAAGTTCGTAAATTTTCAATATGTTTAGGCATATTTATAAAAAATTGTTTTTAACTAGATTCTTAGATTTGAAATCAAAATTAACTTGCAAAAGCAATAATGTTACTAAATATGAAAAAAATTTTGAAGTTTCTTTTTATTCATAAATTAATAAGTAATGATTTTTGCTAAGCTTATTAGATAAGGTAATATTAATAATTTATAAAAGATTAAATTAAAAAAATTAATATCTTAAAGTTTTTCATACTATATTTTCTGATTATTTATTCAAATGCAAAGGTTAGGGACTTGAATAGAAATGATTGGAGTATTTCATCATTAAAATAAAAGATGATGGAAATGAAAAGAATAAATAAAAGAATAAAGAGGTAAAAAAATAGCAACAAGAAAGAATGAAAAAAAATGTAAAATAAGCAATCTCAGAAGTGAAAAAAAATGTATATGTTAATGTTCAACAAAAATATTATGAATGTGATTTATGAATATCATGAGAATACATTAATATAATCAAAAGATCTTCAAAAATTCTTTTTTATCATTGAATAAAAAAATAAAGACATGTGCTGTCTATTTAATAAATCATTAAATTTTTTTAATTTTAAAATAATTTTTCCTAAAAGGTATTGTTAATATTGGATCAACAATTAAAACATTAATGTGATTGATAAATGATAGCAATTTTCTAAAATAATTAATATAATTAAAAAGGAAATTTGATTAATTTTTGGTGGGATAGGAATGATAAATCTATAAATTGATTATATTTGCATATATGAATATCGTATTCTCACATTATATGGAGTAATTTTTAGAATTTAAATTACTATTATCCCATTGGAATTCTTAAAGGAGATTAACAGCGTTGTAAAATCTCAATTGGTTGAGTGGAATAATTTAATGGCATTTAAGACTGTAAAATCATAGGTTGTTACTTTGTAGATGCTATCTAATATAATATTGATTACTAACTTACTTGTTAGGTTGATTAGATTTAATTAATAGTTTACTAGGGTTATATTTATAAAATTGGTTATTATTATAAAATAGCTTAGGCTTAAACTACCATAGTTTATTATTATTGGGGTGGTTAAAAAACTACTTAAGGTTATGAAATAATCTAATTTTAAATATTTGGTGAAATTGAATCATGTGCAATAATTGATTATTATTATTATACAGCCATCTATGGAATCATATATTATTATTAAACAGCAACTTAAGGAATTATTTCTTATTATATTCCCTGCAATTATACTATAGGTTAAGCAAGAGAGGTTACTGCTTAAGATTATTATTAACCAATTAATTGAATAGTTTAGGCACTTGCAAAATTAGTTTATTAATTTGTTAATTAGACTGTTTAACCAATAACATAAGGTTATTAAACTGTTTAACCAATAACATAAGGTTATTAAACTTAAATATGTTGTTGTGAATATGTTTCAACTTTCTAATGTGGTTACATCATGACCACTTATTGTAAAGGTTGAGTTTCTTATACTTATACAACTTATTATTAAACAATAGGTTAAGCTTGAACTTAAATAAAAGCTTATTATTAAACAGTTTAAGGTTAGACAGTCATCAACTATTATTAAATTGTTTAAACAGTCATAAAAGATTCTCTCTATCTTAAACAATTTGAAGCTCCATATTAAACTCCTTATAAAATAGTTGGTGCAAATTCTTCTTACATAATAACTGTTTATACTGGTTGTCTAGCACTCATACGTGTAGATATTATTGGTTATTTTGTGACCTTAAAGTTAATTTAAAATATACATGAATTGGTTCACAAGTTACAAGATTTGGCATCATAACACTTCTTACTGAATTAACTGGATAAACTACTTAAGATGGATTTCTTTGAACTAATCTTATGTAATCTTCGCTTCTTGGTTTAAAATAACTATCTGGAGATTAGATTATTGCTTTATTTTTGCCTTTACTTAGATCTTCTGCACCACATTATTATGATTCTAATCCTGGCTTTTTTTTCTTATTGAATTCTTCAGCATCTTACGGAACATTATTTAAATCTTCGGGTTGTTTTTTCTTTGGTTTCTCTATACATTCGGGCTCACAAACAGCAAAATTTAAACATTCCTTCTTTTTCTCCTATTCTACATCATCACAATTATTTTTATTTTTATATAAATCTTCATCATCACATTTTTATGGTTTTCCATCTTTGCCTCTAAAACCATAACCATACATTAAATAAGATTGTTATTTAACATTAACTTTTGCTGATAATTAATATTAAGCCTTTAATTCTGCCATAGCTTTCATTTATAACTCCCAACTAGCCATAGCTCCACCTGCAGCTGCTGCTTCTTCTTATTTTCTTAGAGCAGCAGCCATAGCAGCTTCACATGCCATCTAAACCTTCCCTGATGAACTTTTAAATTATTTTTCCTAATAAATATTAAATATATCAAAACCTTTAAAGAAGCATTAGAAAAATTATATTTATTAAGAGTCAAACCTCCTTCAAGTTTAGCATGATTAGCTTAAAGGTTGTAACCACCATATATATACTACTTTAATATTGATTTAAATATATTAATACTGCTGATGCATTTCCATAAGCTTCCCCTTCCATACTACCTTAGCCATTCATTATTTCTTATCCTCCAGTCTCAAACTTTATATAAGAATTTTATATACTTATCCTTAATCTTCAGATTATGATACTCTATGCGATGTTGTTATTGTTTTTGTAACTATTGTTTAAGTCTAATAGCTGGCCTAATTAGAGCTCTATCTTTATAATCAAAAATTACAGAAACTGTTTATGCATTTTTTTATGATTGATCATAGCTCTACATTTCTCTTTCATAATTACCATATTCTTCCATCTCTCCATTTTATCTCATTTATGAAATCTGAATATTATATATATAATAGCACTATTTACCTTCCCAATTATTCTTCCAGATTCGTTGTTTTAAATCTAAGAATACTGAAATTTCTAGCTTTCCAGTTCTTTATTTCTTTCATCTTACTACTGAATATTTAGACTTATTTTACATTTTTCTAATTATCTCCCTCAAAATTTGAATAATACTAGGTGTAACTATTCCCTCCACTATTCTTAATTTATGTTTCCTTTTATCCAAATTCCTCCTACAAAATCAAACCATTAAATTTTACCTTAAATTACCCTATATTGTTTTAAAATTAGAAGTTTTATGTAGAACTTTCAATCTGGGATGATGTTTTTTTGCTTATATTTGTGATTTTACTCATTAGATTTGATAAATAGTTTTAATATATTATTTTTGTTGCAAATATTAATCACTTATAAATGCTCAAGACCATTATTAAATTTTTATAAAAGATTATTTTTTATTACTGTATATTAAATATTTCTTAAAAATTAATAAATAAAATAATCCTTTATTATATTAACCATTCATAAAATTATGCTTTAATTATCGGTTTTATCAAAAACTGCTCTTGAAACTTTAAAGGGGATTTTCCAATTTATCTTTACAGATGTAATTCTATTTCTAGGGTAGTTTTTAAAATTTTTATTGTTTTAATTACTTAAAAATTATTAAATTCCATGTATTTATTAGAATACTCCAAAATTTATAAAACTACAACTGGGTGATAAATTTTTTAGATTAATAAAGTAAATGATTTATTTGTCATTATTTAAAGCTTTCTAAATGCATCATTTTTTATCAATTTAAATCTATAATATTATATAAAAGAAATTCCTCAGGATTTGATTATATATCCATTGAATTAAAATTTCTATTTAAAACTTAATTGTTTTTAATGATATAATCTCTATTTTTAATATCTTTGTTTATACAATATTTATAGTTTAATGGGAAACTAATGTAAAGAGTGTACTTAAGAATTATAAACGTAAACTTTGAAAACTTAGCAAAACCTTCAATCTAATAATAAATTATTTAGTTTTGGGATAGAGAATTCATTGCATTTTGAATATAACTCTATAAATGTTGTACCTTAATTTGAATAACCAACTTTAAAATTAAAGGTTTTCTTAACTCCTCCAACAATGGTTCGATAGTTATCAGAAGAATCATTCTAATCTCTATAAGAACTTGACGATTAAAAGGAAACATTTTAAGTTTGTGAATAATAAATGAAAAAATAACTAACAAGAATTCAGAGTCAAGAATAAATTGCATAGAGGCCATCACCAATAAGAAAAAGGAATTTCTCTGAATCTTATAATGTACAAAAACCTAAAAAAAAAAAATCTCCTTCTAATATTGATAAAAATTATAGATCATCTCTATGGGACAGCAGGACAATAAACTAGTAACTCAGATAAGCGAAATAAACATTCGTTTATTGTAAAGCTTACTAATGTTAATATATTTAAAATTAGGAATCTATAAATGGAGAAAAGAACAGTAAGTTTTCTACATTAAGTGCTTTAACTATAAGCAAAAGAGATTAAGTTAGAAAAAATAGTCAAGTAGCAAATTAAATCTAATATCAATCCCGATTTAGCTATCAAAAAGTAAATGAATAAAGAATATTTTATCAATCTCGCAAATAGTAATCTTAATTTTTTTTTTGAGATAAAAATTATGTTATTTATGTAATTTGTTATTAATATAAATACAATTAATAAATGTGGTCTTTAAATAAAAATAATCAATTGTTGAGATGAGATCATATTCTAAATTCAATTAAAACATTTATCAATTTTTCATATGATTTGAGTTCATTTGAATTCAAATTTATTTAGATATTTTATCAGTTTAATAATTAAAAAAGGTGAATTTAATGATATTTTGAAAGTGTTTATATGAAGACTAAAAGTTTACAAATGATTGCAGAATTATTATTTGAAATATTGAATTTTTAGAATATCAAAAAAGTAAAAAAATGATAAATTTAAATAAATTTAATTACATAAATTCCTTGTAGGAGTGATTCAAATAATTATATTAAATTTATATAATAATATGTAACAAAAAGAAAAATAGGAATCAAGTGATGAAGAAATAGAAGTCTAGCCAGAATAATAATAATAATTAGTAGTAAAAAATATTACTTCATATAACTAATAATTAATCGATAAATTAAATAAACCTCATCAATTTTGGTAAACCTAACCAATGCCTAATATAAATGAGATGGATAAATTACTGCCTGGTCCTATTCAATAAGGAGTCTTGGCTGAAGTCAGAAAGGATCCATTAAATTTAATAGACAAATTTGAATGGTTTAATGTTGATTTGAGGAATGAAGAATAAGCTCAATAAGTAAGGAATATAAATTAATTAGGTTTATACATTATTGAAAGAAAACTATGTAGAAGATGATGATAATATGTTTAGATTTGATTATTCAATAGACTTTTTGAGATGGGCATTATTACCCCCAGGATAATATTCTGATTGGTTGATTGGTGTAAGAGTCAATTAGAAATTAGTTGGATTCATCACAGGTATTCCAGTAACACTTTATATTGAAAATGAATAAAATAAAATAAAGATGACAGAGATCAATTTTTTATGTGTTCATAAAAAAATTAGGGCAAATAGATTAGCACCTGTGTTGATAAAAGAAATTACTAGAAGAGTACACATTAAGAATATGTGGTAAGCTGTTTATACAGCAGGAATTGTTGTTCCTACACCTATTTCTTAAACTAGATATTATCATAGAAGTCTGAATGCAAAAAAATTGATTGAAGTTGGATTCTCATCCTTATCAGCTAGATAAACTATTTCTAGATAATAAAAATTATATAAATTACCTGAAGAACCAAAGACTCCAGGTCTTAGACCTATGAAAAAGAAAGATGTAGCTTAAGTTACAAAATTATTAAATGATTATTTGAAGTAAAACAAATCTTTTATAATTAGAAATTTCAAATTATATTTTAAATACTCTGAAGAAGAAGTTAAACATTGGTTTTTACCAAGAAAAGATGTTATCAGTACTTATGTTGTTGAAAAAGAATAGGGAGTTGTTACAGACTTTTTATCATTTTATAATTTACCAAGTTAAGTGATCAAAAATCCTAAACATACTCATCTAAGAGTAATTTATAAATCAATTATTAAGGCTGCTTATTCTTATTATAATGTTGCCACTTAAACTCCTATTGTACAGCTCATGTATGATGCATTAATATTAGCAAAAAATGAAGGTTATGATGTCTTTAATGCATTAGATATAATGGATAATGATAAATTTTTGAAGGTATAGAATGTATCAAATAATATAGGAATTAATGTTTTGTCCAGGAGATGGATAATTAAATTATTATCTTTACAATTGGAAATTAGAAAGCAATATGCTAAAGCCAGAAGAGATAGGAATTGTTCTTGTATGAGTTATAAATAAATATCAATATATTAATTAATGAAATTAAAATAACGAAATATCTATTATTAATAGCATCAAAAATATTTACGTATAATTCAGATTATTGATTTATATAACATAATAATATTTATTGATATAATATGTCACATTATCACTGTATTTTTGTTATAGATGTTATTTGTGATACCTCTATGTGGTAAGATAAAACTTTGATTGATGAATACTTCATCTTTTACTTAGACATCTTCACCTAAGACAGAAACTCCTTCAATTCTAACCCATTTACCAACAGTAGATGACCATCCAATAATAGATTCATTAATCCAAGTGTTTGCATTAACGATTGCTCCTTTTAAGAGAACACAATTCTTCAATCTGACTCCTTCTTTAACTTAACAATCTGGTCCAATTATAACATTTGGTCCAATAACAGCATTTGGATCAATTTAAGCAGAATTGTCAATTAAAACATTTCCAACTATATTATTACCTTTAGCCAAAGTATCAGGTGTATGTGCTCTATAACTTTCTAAAATGAGAACTGTTCCTGCTAAATAATCTTTAGGTTATCCAACATCCTTCCAAAATCCTGGAAGTATATATTGATATAATTATCCTTCTTTAGCCATAATAGGGAATATTTCTCTTTCTATAGATGTTGGTTTTAGCTAATTGAATATTGATATTTTTTACAGGGATTCTATCAATCATGCTAATATTAAAGAGATAGAGTCCTGAATTAATTTTGTTACTAATAAATTCTTAAGGTTTTTCTATAAAATCTCTAATTCTACCATTTTCATCAGCTAAGATAACACCATATTTTGATGGATCATCAACTTCATTAACAAATATTGTTCTATAAATATGTAAATAATTTAAACCCTTCATGATTATGCTATTTGTGAAATTGTAATAATTTATCAAGTGGGAATTCACAAATAATATCACTATTAAGCACAAAGAATAAACCATCAGGATTATCTTTGATAATGTGATCTTTGGCAAGTCTAATAGGTCCAGCAGTTCCTAAAGGTTCTGTTTCTTAAGAGCATATGATTTTGACTTTATAAAGATCTTATAATTTATTGATTTAATCTTTCATAGTATCAGGTTGATAATTGATAGCCAATATAATTTCTTACACTCCTACTTTTACCTAATTATTTTATATTGATTTACTAATGCTTCAATTTAATGCATGAGAATTGGTTTATTAGCAAATTCAACAAGTGGTTTGGGACATTTAAATGTAAGAGGTCTCAATCTAGTTCCATATCCTCCTACAAGAATTAATGCTTTCATGAATTAATTAATTATTTATGATTTATTAATTTATCAATATTGTTATTTTAAATGATAATGAATATCTAAATTTTATGTCTCCTCATTCATCTATTTCAATCTATTAATATGTAATATTGGAATCATGATTATAAGACAAGACAATTAGAATATCTTACAACCAAATGAAAAAAAGGTTTATTACATTCAATTACAAGAAAAAGAAACTAAGGCACAAAACTTTTATAAATTGATTGCACTTCACTAAGAGAAATTATAAGATCCCTCATTTCTATAAATTCAATAGTAAGATCAATAATAGATGAGAATGCACAATTATAAAAACATTCAATATACTGTAGATATAGCAATAGGAAATCCAAAAAACATATTTAAAGTTGTTTTAGATACAGGAAGTGCTAATTTATGGATAAATTCAAAAAGATGTTAAGAAGAAGGTTGTTTAAGACATAAACAATATAATTATTAAGAGAATGAATCATTTGTACCTTTAAATTAAGAATTAAATGTAGAATTTGGTAGTGGAAATCTTAAAGGTATTGTTAATTCTGATACTATCTTTTTTGAAGATATCGTATTACCTAATTAAACATTAGCTGAAATCCAAAGTGAAAATGGACTCATATTTAAAAACTTAGATTTTGATGGAATATTAGGTTTAGCTTATCCTAAAATGGCACCTAAAGATTTTAATCCTGTTTTTGACAATATGATGGAATCAAAAATCTTAAAAAGAAATCAATTTGCATTCTATCTTGCCAAAGATGCTAATGATATATCTCATAGTGAATTTACATTAGGAGGTTATAATCCATCTCATGTTGATGGAGATGTTCATTATCATAATGTTATTGATAAATATTATTGGATGATTAGAGCTGATAATATACTTGTTGATAATTAAGATATTGGTTTATGCAATCCTTCATGTAAACTTATTGTAGATACAGGATCATCTATTATGAGTGCTCCTTTTGATCATTTAGGTACATTATTAAGGCAATTAAATGTACGATCTCATTGTCATGAAATCAACACTCTACCTACTATTACATTTTAAATTGATCAAAATGATTATACTTTAGAACCACAAGAATATGTCAAACCTACTTATTATGATGGTAATTAATTAAATGAATTAAATGATGATGAGGATTTATGTAAATATTATACTCATATTATTATAGAAACTTTCATTCAACTCAATCATTCTGATTGTATTGCAGCTTTTATTCCATTAGATATTTAATCACCATAAGGACCTGCTTGGATCTTAGGTGATATTTTTCTTAGAAAATATTATAGTATTTTCGATAGAGATAACGATAAAGTTGGATTTGCTAAATCAAAAAAATGAATTCAAAATTCCATAAAAATAAATTTATTCATAAAATTTTTAATTAAAATCTTTTTCTTTTTTATAATATAAAATTTATCAATTAATAATAAATTTTAAGTCAAAATAAAAGTGAAAAAGTTGTTGGTGAAAAATATTGATAAGGATTATAATTATAATGAATTTATTGAAATAATTTATAAACTTAGTTTAATAAATTGATATCATTTCATTTTATATTTATATTAAACAAAAATTTAATTATTTAATGAATAAATTTTCACAGTTACAATTAATTAAATATAAATTATTCTCTTATTATTTAATAATAAATTGACAATTAAAATTTATAAATATTGAAAATATCAATTTTAATTCCCATAATACGTTTTCAAAGATTTTGAGAATTAAGTTTCTTAAATTAGTGCTCGATATTGGATGATTGGAGTAGCCAAAAAATATTATGGAATATATTACATTCCAATTTAATGTTAATAATAATACATTTATTTATAAAGTAATTAAGGATTAAAAGGCTAAGAATTTGTGTAAAAATTGACTTACGAACTTACATTATTTTTATTTTAAAGTTAATCTTAATAATTTTTTTCTTCTGGCTCTTCCTTTACTTAATTCTAAGAATATTATTATTCCTCTTTTATTGATGGCAATAAGTTATAATCTTGAAAATTTTATTATTATTTTTAATTATCTTAGGCTTTTAGAAGCATATTTTTAACTTTAATTTTAGATTTTTTAGAGACCTATGTTGATCTTGGAGATTATTATTTCTTAATATCTTAACAATCTAATTCATCTTAAAACTAAATCATATAATTTTATTATACTTTCCATTAACTAATAGACACCTAAGGTATCTTTATTGTTTTATCTTTTATATTCTCATTTTTCTTTTTAAACTATATAGGTAATTCTTAATTTTTTTGAGGAATTACATAATAAGGATTATCAATTTTTAGATAATGCTTTCGAATATAAGAATAAAATCTATTTTTAATTAGATTTTCCTTGTATATAATTATTATAATACCGGTCTACCTTAGAGCATCTTGGATATTTTACACCATTATGATCCAAAAGTCTTAAATCCTTCAACTATAAGTAAATCTTCAGCTTCTGTAAATGGCTATTTATTGATTTCTGGATTTAACTTGTTAATAAATCTTTCTCTAACTTATTTACTTGTTCTATTAGAAATATTCTTTGAAATTTTAACCCAATTATTTTTATATATTTCGAATAACTTCAACAATTATGAATCCTCTTTTTTTGTCCATGGTTTTCTTTTACTATATAACTAAAAATCACCAAAAAATTTACATTTGGTGGCTTTATTCTTTTCCATCTTTAAGCACACTAAGAAGGATTTCTATTTAATAATTCTTAGGCAACGTTTAACCAGTTTGTACCATATAATTTAACAGCCTACCTTAATTAATTGTCTTCCTTAAATGACCAGGTTCTTCTAGATGATTGATTTATGTTTTAAGCTTCTGATTCATTCTTTTCTTATGCTCTTGAATTATCTTCAGGTTGATTATTAATTGCAAAAGATTAGAATTCATCCATTAAATGTTATATTTAATATTAATTCAAAATAANTAAATTGACAATTAAAATTTATAAATATTGAAAATATCAATTTTAATTCCCATAATACGTTTTCAAAGATTTTGAGAATTAAGTTTCTTAAATTAGTGCTCGATATTGGATGATTGGAGTAGCCAAAAAATATTATGGAATATATTACATTCCAATTTAATGTTAATAATAATACATTTATTTATAAAGTAATTAAGGATTAAAAGGCTAAGAATTTGTGTAAAAATTGACTTACGAACTTACATTATTTTTATTTTAAAGTTAATCTTAATAATTTTTTTCTTCTGGCTCTTCCTTTACTTAATTCTAAGAATATTATTATTCCTCTTTTATTGATGGCAATAAGTTATAATCTTGAAAATTTTATTATTATTTTTAATTATCTTAGGCTTTTAGAAGCATATTTTTAACTTTAATTTTAGATTTTTTAGAGACCTATGTTGATCTTGGAGATTATTATTTCTTAATATCTTAACAATCTAATTCATCTTAAAACTAAATCATATAATTTTATTATACTTTCCATTAACTAATAGACACCTAAGGTATCTTTATTGTTTTATCTTTTATATTCTCATTTTTCTTTTTAAACTATATAGGTAATTCTTAATTTTTTTGAGGAATTACATAATAAGGATTATCAATTTTTAGATAATGCTTTCGAATATAAGAATAAAATCTATTTTTAATTAGATTTTCCTTGTATATAATTATTATAATACCGGTCTACCTTAGAGCATCTTGGATATTTTACACCATTATGATCCAAAAGTCTTAAATCCTTCAACTATAAGTAAATCTTCAGCTTCTGTAAATGGCTATTTATTGATTTCTGGATTTAACTTGTTAATAAATCTTTCTCTAACTTATTTACTTGTTCTATTAGAAATATTCTTTGAAATTTTAACCCAATTATTTTTATATATTTCGAATAACTTCAACAATTATGAATCCTCTTTTTTTGTCCATGGTTTTCTTTTACTATATAACTAAAAATCACCAAAAAATTTACATTTGGTGGCTTTATTCTTTTCCATCTTTAAGCACACTAAGAAGGATTTCTATTTAATAATTCTTAGGCAACGTTTAACCAGTTTGTACCATATAATTTAACAGCCTACCTTAATTAATTGTCTTCCTTAAATGACCAGGTTCTTCTAGATGATTGATTTATGTTTTAAGCTTCTGATTCATTCTTTTCTTATGCTCTTGAATTATCTTCAGGTTGATTATTAATTGCAAAAGATTAGAATTCATCCATTAAATGTTATATTTAATATTAATTCAAAATAAAAATTAACTTTAAACAGGATATTATTCTTGATATTTAAAAATACATTGCCCTCATCTCTAATAAGTTAAATTTATTCTTAATAATCTATGAAAATTTTTTCATAATGTGTGGTAATTTAAATGTATTTATATTAATTGTTCGACCAAACCATTTTTGATCATACATATATATAATTAAGATTATCATTCTTCATAAATAAAAATCAAGTTAAGTTATGTAGAAGATTTTACTTTCTTTAAAATCTTAAAAATATTAAACTTGTCAATATTGTGTTTTAAATTTATGAAAATTTATTGTTTTACATTAGTTTGAAAATTTTAGACAAAGAAAATGAAATTTTCAAATGTTCATTATACCGTACCGAACAGTTACTATTATTTACTCAGCTAAAATATAATATTATGTTTATAGAAATACTTCAAAAAGTTAAGTATTATTTTTTTCTTGAAAGCTAAACATACTTGAGTTTATAATAATTTGTTACTTATATTTACTCTAAACATTAGATGATTTTTAATCCATGAGAGAAGAAATGAATATTTCTAACAAAGTTGTGGAAGATAGCATTTTATATCAATAATTTGATTTATTAAAAATAACACAATAACATATATCGANTGGATATTTTACACCATTATGATCCAAAAGTCTTAAATCCTTCAACTATAAGTAAATCTTCAGCTTCTGTAAATGGCTATTTATTGATTTCTGGATTTAACTTGTTAATAAATCTTTCTCTAACTTATTTACTTGTTCTATTAGAAATATTCTTTGAAATTTTAACCCAATTATTTTTATATATTTCGAATAACTTCAACAATTATGAATCCTCTTTTTTTGTCCATGGTTTTCTTTTACTATATAACTAAAAATCACCAAAAAATTTACATTTGGTGGCTTTATTCTTTTCCATCTTTAAGCACACTAAGAAGGATTTCTATTTAATAATTCTTAGGCAACGTTTAACCAGTTTGTACCATATAATTTAACAGCCTACCTTAATTAATTGTCTTCCTTAAATGACCAGGTTCTTCTAGATGATTGATTTATGTTTTAAGCTTCTGATTCATTCTTTTCTTATGCTCTTGAATTATCTTCAGGTTGATTATTAATTGCAAAAGATTAGAATTCATCCATTAAATGTTATATTTAATATTAATTCAAAATAAAAATTAACTTTAAACAGGATATTATTCTTGATATTTAAAAATACATTGCCCTCATCTCTAATAAGTTAAATTTATTCTTAATAATCTATGAAAATTTTTTCATAATGTGTGGTAATTTAAATGTATTTATATTAATTGTTCGACCAAACCATTTTTGATCATACATATATATAATTAAGATTATCATTCTTCATAAATAAAAATCAAGTTAAGTTATGTAGAAGATTTTACTTTCTTTAAAATCTTAAAAATATTAAACTTGTCAATATTGTGTTTTAAATTTATGAAAATTTATTGTTTTACATTAGTTTGAAAATTTTAGACAAAGAAAATGAAATTTTCAAATGTTCATTATACCGTACCGAACAGTTACTATTATTTACTCAGCTAAAATATAATATTATGTTTATAGAAATACTTCAAAAAGTTAAGTATTATTTTTTTCTTGAAAGCTAAACATACTTGAGTTTATAATAATTTGTTACTTATATTTACTCTAAACATTAGATGATTTTTAATCCATGAGAGAAGAAATGAATATTTCTAACAAAGTTGTGGAAGATAGCATTTTATATCAATAATTTGATTTATTAAAAATAACACAATAACATATATCGATATTATTATTTTATTGATAGAATAATTAAATTTTTAAACATCTAGAGATCATGAATAAAATGTGTCAAATTTGTTACGATCTATAAAATGTTGTGACTATCGAATGTGGACACAACTATTGCAAAAACTGTTTAAATAATATTTTTTTTAAAAATGAATTATTAGATTTGGAAAATTTTATATGCCCACTAGAGAATTGTAAAAGAAAGTTAACTGATAAAACTTTAAAATTATTTATAGAAGATTATGAAAAAAAATATGAGACATTCCTATAATAAGGAATAATATTTGGATTAAATGAAAATGAAAAACTTATTACTTGTCTTAATATAAATTGTAACTCATAATTTGTAATATGGAAAGAAGCAGGTATTTTTTATTATTTAATTAGAAACTTTAAAATGTTAAAATTGCAAATTAGAATTTTGTTTGAGATGTAAATTAGCTAAACATGAGGGTTAAAATTGCATTCAAGCATTAAGACTGAATTAAGTAATGAAAACTAGAGTTGACTTTTTGAAATCAGTTAAGAATTCATAAGCTTAATAAATTTGTCCACATTGTCTCTATGTTATAGAAAGGAATAAGGGATGCAATTTTATGACCTGTTAGTCTAAATCTTGTAATTCAAAAAAATACTTTTGTTTTCAATGTGGAGTAGCCTTAGAAAATTCTGAATCAAAGAGCCATTATAAAGATGAAAATTCTTTTCATGGATAATGTAAAATAAAAATAAATGGAATATGGGTTGAAAAAGACAAAATTCCAAATAATGATATTCCTTGTCCAAAATGTTAATGTTAAGATCCATTAAAAAGTAAAATAGAGAGAAATTTATTAATATGTAAAAGTGAACAATGTATTGATAAAATATATTGTATCATTTGTTAATTTGAATTAAATGATAAAATTATTTTGAAACATTTAGAAAATCATGTGAAGAAATCAGATGGTAAAAAAAAATCACGGTTTGGTATTTTTGATTTATTTAAAAAATATATTAAATGAAATTTTAACTTATTTTGTAAGTTTTATTATTTTTTATATTATATTCATGAAAAAAAGGTCAAGATGAGACTATTTTAATTAATAATAATTGCGAATTACACTCCTGCAAGTAAAATTTAATAGATAAAAACACAAATGGAAGTAAAATAATAATCCTTAACATCTATGATAAACATTTACATAGTATTAAAAATGCTAAATCAATAGTTAAGACAACAACTCCTTATAATCCATATTTTGTGTCGGTTTATAGTAGATATCAAAATAAATACGAGTAAAATATAATAATGATTATTTATGATATAGATAAATAATGAAATAAATAAATGCAATTCAATATTGTTTGATAAAATTCATGATGTTGATATAAATTAAGGAGATTTAAGTTAATGAAAAACGAGATAAAAATTTAAATTGAGTACTAGTCGTTAATCAACAAACAGAAACAGAGTCTTATCAATCGATTTACAAATAGTGTATTATATATCACTAATCATAAATAATTAGTTATAAGATTTAGTCAGCAAAAAGTTAATATACAAAATAGAGATAATTAAGACATATCACTTAATTTGAAAGATATAGTTAGAATATTTCTTATTTATTTATTACAATAGGAAGATCCTCTCATTATGATTTCAAACACTCGTTATTATCAAAATCATTTGAACAAAAAGCCTAAACTAAAATCTTCATATATTTTAAGTTAAAATCAACATTCATCACCGAGTCCATATTATTCAGAGAACCCATAGATTTTATTTTGATAATTTATTAACTGCTATTTCTTTATCAGATTATTAATATTTTTAATTATATTATTCAAAAAAGGCAAGTTATAGTGGATAACCATTCTAAAAAGTGATTATCAGAATCGAATTCAAGTTCATAATTATAATAGAACTATTGAAACAAAAGATAATGATGGGCCAAAAGACTTTGAAAAATAATCTATAAATTCTTAAAATATAATAATCTTAAACAAAAGTTCATTATAGAAAAAATAGATAATATTATCAAGGCAATTGTAAGAATAATAATCCATTTTCAAATAATTCATATTAGAGTATATAGTAGATCAATTTTAAAAAATTAAGAATAGTAAAATAGATTTGAAAACAAAATTTTAAAGAATGATTTATAAAAAGAAAATCTTAATTTTAATTAAAATAAGTAAAATGAACCAATTTTATAATATTATATAATAACGAATTTAAAGACAGATATCAAGTTGTTAAAAATTATTATTATTATCAGAATCATTAATATTAATCTATTTTATCACAAAAATTATATTCTCATTATAATCTTGATTAATAAGAATTATGGTAAAAAATGTAATAAAAATTATAATCATAAAATTATTAATAAAAACATCAGTTACCAAATGAAGTTATTTAATAAAGCCATTCATTTAAATTAATTTAAACCTATTTATCAAACTAATAGAAATCACCATAATATTAAAATTTACAAATCTAAAAATAGTTCCCTTATTAAAATTAAGAACAGCAAGATTTATTATGTTTAAGAAAGCCAATAATAATATTAAAATTCATGTAGATAATTAAAAACCAATCCAAATGATTATTATTCTTTAAGAAATATTATATAATAAAGATAATTGACATATTATTAAATTTATTTTCATTTAAGACTTAATTAAGATCTTTCAATTCTAAAACAATAGCAATCTTATCAAAGACTAGACTATTATTAAAATGTCGATTAAGTGAAAATTGTATTATCTATCAATAATTTGATCCATAAATGTCATAAACAGAACAAAATTGCAATTATGAATAAATTAAATCAATTGATTATGTAAGTAAAATATAGAAACCTAATAAAATTATTAGGCTAAATAATATTATACCCTGTGGACAAATGAAAATTCTTAGAATACTCGATATCAATAATAATAAAAAATATTAATTAAGTTATTTGATAATAATATAGACATGAAATTAATTTTTACAGTTAGAATAAATATTATCAGGATTGAGAGAGTGTTAATGATAATTTACATAGAAAAACTATCAAAATCAAAAATTAGAATTCAAAATAGAAACAGAGAAGATTGTTATGAAAGTGCAAGTAATTGTTTATATGGAAAACAATAAAAAAACAAATTCTTAAACTATCAATTAAAGAAAACGAGTAATTAAATTTTGTATCATAAAAATAATATATATAATATAAAGCAAATTAAAAATTTGACTTATCATACTCTAATAATTTTTTTTCTTTTGATTAGATTCATATGATTAAAATTAAAGACACTAATTATGATATAAATTCAAGACTACTAAATGAGAACTGAAATAATTCAAAAAATAATAATAATTATCAATAAAATCATATTTATCAATTTAATTAAGTTTATTGATAATGTAAATTCAGCGCATCCAGAATTCATTGGCCATGGCAGTTTATCAATCAATTCTAAATCATCCTCTAAAAATGAATTGGATTTTAATGTTTCTATCCATTTAATTAAAGTCGAATAAACTGTTCTATTTGATCCTTCTGGGATCGTCCATTTTAAAGAAAATGATAACTTACTTACTAATAAACTAAATTAATATTCTAAAATTACCAATCATTAATACAACTAGGAGCAAAGGATCCTATTTTAGTATTATTTATCAAGGATTCTTAAATTATTTGACGAAATTTTAAGTAAACCTAATCAATAAAATCCATTTCATTTTGTTAACAATATTTAAGTGTTAAATTGTTTATACATTTTATATCGAGATATTTTTAAAGAAAACTTATATCATAAAATGGTTAAATAATGAAAATTGGATGTTAAATATAGTGTATTAAATTTTAGAAAAAGAAACATTTCCAATTTTCATTAGGAAAGTAATATGCACATTATTAATGAGGGATTGATGTTTCATTATTAGCTATGTAATTCATTATTTTTAAAGATTGCTACAATATTCTAGTTCCATTCATAGATTGCATATCAAATAATATGCTTGAATCAGGAACACATAATATTGAAATATTGTTTGGTACACTTTAACTTAGATACTAATACCATTAAAGTGCAGCAACTCCACCAATCGAACAACCCGATAATATTATTATTTCAGCTTTTTAAAATTTGATTTTAAAATGGTCTAAAATACTTCTTACTATTAATTCTCCTCTAAAAAATATTTATTGTTAATCGTAATTAATTATATCAGATTTATAACCTTAAAAGCCTTAGAAAATAAAATTATAAATACCTACACCGTCACAATAATTTATATGAATCAGATTCCAATTATAGAAATAGTAATTTTGTGTTTTATTTTCGGATAATACTCCATTAAATTCTAAAGATCTAGCTCTATTTAATGAACTTCCTTATAAAGTATGCATCCTTAATAAAATCAAAATTAAACTTATCAATAGCATTGACTAAAAATTCTTTCTCTGTATTCCCTAGAATAAGCCTTTTATATTTGACATATAGTTACTCTCCTCCTTCAAAATACACTAAAAACTTATTTTAACCATCATTAAATCCTTTTTGAAAGTAATAGGTCTATATTTATTAAAAATAATTACACCCAAAGTACCATCTAAACATTTTGCTCTTTCATCTTCTATATATTACAATTCAAGTGAAAAGCAGCAATAAAGTAGTTAAAATAAATTGAAAAGCATTAATTATTTAAATTAATTTACATTATTTTCAATATTTTTGAGTTAATGTATCATGAAGAAACTAAAATTTAATTTCTGATGGTGGTTGCTAAATTATTTTTTTCATATAGATAAATTACTTTAAGTTCATAAGTAATCTTTTTATTACAATTTAAAAGACTTTCATAAAAATTTAGCCTAATGTATAATCTTATTATTCTATTTGAATTTAACAATAAAGAACTTCATTCATAATTTATCATATTTATTCATTTTATTAAGCATTGCTAATAATGTAAATTTTGCTTTATTTTTATCACAAAATTTTACCTAAAAATACGCTTAAAATATTATAAATTAATTGTAAGATATTAGTTTATTTAATAATAATATCCTTTTTTTTATTAAGCTTTATGTATTTGAAAATAGTTTTGTCAGAATGCTATTCTTAAATTGTTAAATTTCGAATAATTTAAAACAATAACTATGATCTAACTCTTACTTTGAATGGCTGAATACTTGAATTAGTATCATTTTTTTTTTTAGTATGTTAACTTAGAATGATTCATGTTTATTTACAAATTTCACTTTTATTGTATCTTTTAGAATTGTAATAAATAATTAAGTCATCAGAGAATAATTTAAATTACACACTTCAAATATATAAGCATTTTAATCCTTTTACTTTTTGTACTCAAAATATTAAAATATATTCCAAAAATAAACAATATTAAGGTGAGCATAGAAAATTTTGAAATATATTTTTTAGATTATGTTAGTTTAACATAATCCTTAGATTTCTAATTTAGTCGAGAAAGTTTATTAAAATAAAAAGCGATTACATAAAACCCACATTAAACCTAAAACTCTGTTTCTTATAACTTTACTATTTAATCAAATCATTAAAAATTTACCAAAAATCAAATTTTTAAAACAATCAACATGTTGTTACCTTATTATTGATTTTTATTTATATTTACAACTAATTTAGTTCTTTTTAAGAGCTCTTAATTAAACTATAAATATTATTTAATTATTATTACAAATATAATAAATTTAGGATTATTTTTATAGTTTTACATAATGAGAATTTCATCTTAACTTTAAAACTTCTCTTTCTCATATAATGTGCTCTATAGAGTATCTCTTCTTTCTACTGGTCCCATAAAATTTCTTATTAATTTTCTGAATTGTCCCATTAATTGTACCTTTACTTAAATTATACCTCCTTTTGATCCTAATTCTTACCTGTTCTTCCCATTAGTTCCTTCAACGCTTTCTTGATTTAATCTATTTGTTATCTTTAAATGAATCAGAAAACAAATTTAATAATTTTAGTTTTTAGAAGGATTAGTTTTTTAAACTCAAAATGATCAAATATATCTGAAATAAGGTATACAAATATATACTTTTCTAAAATTATTTAAAATGAAATTTTTGTAAGGAAAACCTACAGAATATAATAATTAAAATCATATTATGATGACCTAATAAAAATAAAAATTTTAATAAGATATAATTCAAATTTGAAAAAAAATAAATAATCTTGATTAATAATGTCGATTATTGTATATTATTTAAAGAAGCTTATATGAATGTTTAATATTTAAATGTATAAAACAATATTCAATAAATTACTCAAAAAAGGGTTAATAATTTCTCATATCCTCTCCAAATAATACTAAAAATTTTCCGTAAGCCTTCAGGTAATTTTTTATTTTCACTTAACTTATCAGCATACCATACTCTTATATATCCTTATGCATTTCTCATATTTTTATTAAATTTAGTTTTGAGTAATAAATTTTAGAAAATTATTACAGCTTATAGAATTGATGTTTTTTTTAAGAATATTCCAAAAACTGAGTATAAAAATAAATATATCTCTATTTTCTATTTAGTAAGGATTATTTCATTTCTATTAGCTTAAATATATTTGGCTACTTTCAAAGTAATTCCTTATTATTAATTAATCTAAATCCAAAATTCTGCTGCTCCTACTAGAAAATGTAAAGCGATAGGTAATTAAAATGAAAAACTATCAATAGTAAATAATGACACAATAAAGAATATATTTGTTGTGAATTCAAGTTAAATAATTCTTAAAAAGTATTCTTAAAAATAGTTTTTCTTTGGTAACCCTTATAAACGATAAATAGCAAGTAGACAAATAAATACACTTCCAAAATTCAAATATTTGTTCAATTAAGATGTAAACAAGAATAATAAAGCAGGAAAATATAATACTTTTAGCATTCCTTCAATTACAGTGAAAATAGGAATGGAAGGAACTTATTAATGATTTTAATTCTAGAATTATTATTACTAAGATTACTATGACTATTATTAATGATCTTAAGATTGTTATTTTTAATTTTATTATTGTTATGATTGATTGTTTGAATTAGGATTTTAATATTCTGTGTTGATATCAAATTATGGATCGATATTGTTTTTAAACCATTTACGTTTAATTTTATCTAAATTCGGTGGTAAGGGATATAAATTCTTTAGATGTTACTAAAATTTTTCATTTCCATCAAAATCGAATTTACTATATTTTTCCATAATTAAAATAAATAATATGACAAATTAAGATCAAATTGGATTTATATTATCAAAAGATAAAGAATGGTAAAAATTAGTGGAAAAGTGTATGAGCTTAGATAAAAATATAAAAAACATGCAAACAAGACTTACATTTAATATAGGATAGATGAATAAAGAAATAGGTAATCGGCATATAATACCTGTATTTTAAGTGGAAGAAGAATAAACTAAAGATGACAGTCCTTTACCATAATAAGATGAATCTCCTATAAAGAAACCTATAAATTTAATTAAACAAGCACAAGTATTAGCTCCAGTGTATTCAACTATGAGCGAAAGATTTCAAATATGTAAATTTTTAGGAAAAGGAAAATTTAGTGAAGTTTATTAAGTTTAAGATATATAATCAAAAATAATTGTTGCATTAAAAGTAATTCCAAAAGCACAATATAAAAATATGGAATGGAAAAATAGCTGGCAAATGAAATAAAATATAAAGATATTTAGATCATCCAAATATTCTAAAACTCTATGGATATTTTTAAGAATGGCCAAAAGTAGTTTTAATTTTAGAATATGCAACAGATGGTGAACTATTTAAATTATTAAAAAATAAACAAAAAAAGATTTCCAGAATAAATAGCTTCAGGATATATGAGATAAATAATAGAAGGATAGGAATATGCATAGTAAAAATATATTAATTACTCATTCTTTATTAAAAATTGTTGAATGGGTTTATCTACTTATAATCCTGCTAATCAAGTAAGATAATCATTTTGTGGAACTGTTGATTATATATCTCCAGAAATTGCTGCAGGAGAGATTATGATCATACAGTAGATTTATGGGTTATTGGAATTTTAGCATTGAATTATGTACTGGAGAAATAATAAAAAAGAAGATACTATGAATAACATTTATTATAGTGGTTTTGAATTCCCAAATTTTTTAAGTGAAGAATTTATAAACTTTGTTCGTGCTTTAGTCTAAAAAGATCCAAAAAAAAGATTAAGCATTTTCTAATTTATGTAACATTCTTGGATTTTAAAATATGTAAAAGAGAGTACAATTTTTAATAGAGAATTACTAAATTCTATGGTTAAACTTTTAAAATGATAATCAAAATCAATTTTTTAATCATTCATCTAAATTCAACTCAATTATCACATCTAAATCTTACTATATATTTATGATGTTTTATGATTAAACTAATAATTCTTATTCATTATATCTTAATTCAATTTAGCCTTCGATTTGAGTTTTTAAAATTAACAAGGGAGACTAAAAAATCTATTCTTAATCTTTTAAATCTTAATTCTAATTTCTAAGAACTAATGAATCCAATTTAGCTTATGTTTTTGTTAAATGACAAAATAATTTTTTCTTTTTTTATAAATGTTACTCAATGAGAAATTTTACCATTGCTAAATTATCTATTTTTCTTTATATTTCTTAATTATGAATATTATTTGCATTTTAGACGAATTCATAAAATTTATCTGATTTCTTTATTATTCCTAAAGCCATCATAACATTTAAACAATCATACACTCTTTTATATTGATTTACAGTATTTTTCTATTAAAAATAATAAAAATATTACACTTTATGGATGTAATTTCTTAATTTCTGATAAAATTTATTATAAATTTGTTTTTTTGTGATTTTTTATGATTTCACTAACAGTTTTACTGATTTCTTTGAGTCTTAAACAACCAAAGTGTTGTGATATGCCTTAAAAATTTCTAGTTTTTGAATTTGAATGTTCTTGGTAACCTTATGAAAGATAAGTATTAAATGTTTATTGTTAAAGTTCACAGCATACAGAGGAGCATTCATTTTTAAATAAAAACATCGAAAATAATATTATATATAATAAAATATAATAATTATATAACATATTTTAAAACTGGTCAAGCATGCATAGATTTGGTATTAAATTTTCCTTTATTACCAACTGTTAAATCATTTTTTCTTTAAGATTTGCAAGTAGGTGATGTAACATCCTTCAATAAGGGACTTTTACAAAAAGAATTTTTAGATTTTATTGTATTAGTATAATTATGTTATCCAAAAGGCTACTTTTATTTTGATTTAGTTTTAGATTACATTTTGTATTTTGCAATTCCCTATTCTATTAATTCAATATCATTTTTTATTTTATTAGATATATTAGATTTAGAATCTTTTATAGTAGAAATTGATAAGGATCGATCAAATATGGTTTTAGTATCATTTGTTTAAGTTGCTATTCTTTTGCTTGAATTGTATAATTTTTTAGTATTGATTCCATAAAACTATTGGCTATCTAAATTCAAATGCTTTTCTAAAGATTCTAATTTGATATATTAGTTTTATCTCTCAATTCCTAATTCGAATAGTTGTTATAAATTTTATAATATGTCTTTTTTATTTTATTCAGAAGCCATTTTCTCTTTACTGATTCCTGTAAACATGATTTAATTTTTGTTTTCCTCTGACATATAAATTTTTAAGCAAAGTTTATCTGATTCAAGCTTTTCGATCATCTTATAATTTTTTTTTAGAAGAAATTCCATTTAAGGTGGTTATACTTAAGGTTATGGAGTTTCAACAATGCTATCATTTCTTTTAAGATTCCTAAAGTTTTCAGTAGAAATTAAATTATTTAATTTAGGACTTTCACTTAGTTTTCGATCTGTAATTAATCCAATTTCTAATTTCTTTTTATCTCCTCTACAACTACTTCTCAATGAAGAATTTGGAAGTCCAGGAGAATTAATTCTTTGAAAAGAACCTAGATTATTTCTATTAGAAGGAATAGAACTATGATTTGAATGAATCATATATTATTGGCAAACTATGCTCATTTTACAAAATAAATTCGTTAATAATTAATGATTAAAGAAAAAGTTTATTATAAAAAATACAGAAATAATATTTATAATACAAAAATGATAAAATTTTGAATAATTGATCATTAGATGATTTAATTGAATAAACCATTAATAATAATCAAATTTATTTAGATATACAATTTATAAAAAATAAACTATTTAGAGATGAACATTTTTAAAGATTTTTCAATTTATATTTAAATTTATGTCATTTTTAATAATTCATATTAAGTCTAATAATGAAAATAATCACTAATAAAATTAATGACCCTTAACAATATAATATTATATCAAAAGAAAAGTATTTCAATAATATAAATTAGCTAACAGGACCTACTACAATGGATACTAAAGAACTGATATAAGTAATAGGAAATAATTGATGTCCAATATCATCTCCAAAGATCTTAATTAAGGCAGGTCCTGTCACAACTAATGCACCTTTATCAAACATCATTGTAATAACATATACTACAAAAAATGCAATTTTATCTGTTGCTGAAAATGGCAGAGCAATAGCTCCTATTCCACTTACAAAATAAATTATCACAAATAATATTTTGAAATTTATTCTATCTATTAAAAAACCCCAAAGTATATTAGCAAATGATGATGCCATTAAAGCAACTAAATCTACAAAAGTAATAAAGAAATCTTCATTAATTTTTGAGAGGAAATAACTCTTATAATTTAATCCAAGAGTCAATAAAAATAAAGTTAATACACTCAAACATGTAACAATAGTCAGAAATTATATAGATTTAATAGCTGCAGATAAAGATTATTTAATTTTAATTTAAGGTCTACTAATTATAAATAAAATACAATCCATGATCTGAAGCAATCTCTAGAGGTAAATCATTTACAGCTACTGATGTTGGATCCATTTCAACAGATGAATCCTGTTATGCTTCTTTATCATTTTGCTTAGGTGTTTCCTCTTCAAATTATTATATTTTCTATTCACTAACTCCTACTTATTTATATTAAGTAGAGTTAACATATGGACGAATTAAGAATCCTCCAATTAAACAACAAAAACTTGCAACATAACTTACTATTTTAGCAGCATTTTATGCGTTTTAAGCTACACTTTCTGAAAAATATTTATAAATTTATGTCTTATGTTCAGTCATAAGGTCTGCTTATTAATTATTTGGATTGCTGATATATGTAATTATGATGACAAATATTACTGAGGCAAATCCATAAGCTCCTAATAATATACCTGATACACGTCCTTCTGATTTCTTATAATGACTCCAAGTGCATGAAAAAACAGGAAATGCTACACTTGAATATCCTATTCCATAAAAAAATATATAAAAGATTATGAATGTTAAATATGTATTCATATAAGGAGCGATTAATAATGATGCACATTGTATTGTTGTGGCTATTCTTATATGTAGTTTGAATCCTATTTTCTTAGCTATTTTTACTGAGAATATTGTAATAAGAGCAATAGGAAGTGCCATTATTGCTATTGGTAAAGTGTTGTACTAAAAATAAACTAATACTTTTACTGCTATTGATAAGTCTGGTTCTGTTTGCTTGTAGAAAGAATAAAAGTAAACATTTGTTTTCCCCCAAGTTAACAATAAAGCTGATCCTATTTTAATTAAAATTGCACCAATTAGACATTTTTTTGATTCGGATAGCAGCATTTTAATAAATTTTTTTTTGATTTATTTTTATAAAAAACCAAAAGCACATTATTAAAAAAAAACATACAAAGAATTTAAATCATTTTTTCTTTTAAAGTTAATTTTAGATATCTAAAGCTTGTTATTAAATCAATTTATTATTTTTAAACATTTCTAATACTTCTTTTAAATTTTAAAAACATTACAATCTTTATAAAGAAGTTCTATAGGTTTGTAAATCCTCTCTTAGTTCATAAACAAAAATAATTAATTAACTAAGCAAAGCTAAATAGATTAAATATACTTCCACATTTCCTTACTTTACTATTACTTTATTTACAACATTTTTATGGAATGCTTAACTAATTCCTTCTAATAGATTAGCTTTAAATAAAATAGCTTAAACTTATTTTTCTTAAGCATATAAACATAGCTATTTCATAATAGAATAAAAAATTTATTAATAAAAAGGATTAGGTAATTGATGAAATTATTCATTTAAATTAAATGATGATGTATCATTTAGCTTTAAATAGATTCTATGATTTCTTTATTTAAAGTTTCTTAAAATTAAATCAATAATTTTTGTACTAAATATTCTTACACTTCCTAAATAATTTTTTTATTTAGAAAAGAATTCTTACTTTTAAATATTTTCATTCTACATTTTATGTAGATTAGTTAAATTCCTACAAATTCTAGGTAAATATGTTAAATAAATTTTAGTTAATTTTTCATTCATAGGTTTTTTATTAATTCTTTGGATTAGATCAATTAGAATAATCAAACAATTATTTGAACTATTATCTTCATCTGAATTATAAAATAAGGCTGTTTAAGTAAGAGAATAATGATTTAGTAGTTTTTCAAATAAAACATACTAATCATCTATAAGTTCATCAAATGCATAATGGTATTCAAAATTTTACATTGATTAAACTATTGTTTTTAATAGATTACTATTTCTAAATGATGTTGTTTCATCATTAGAAGCTTCATATTTTTAATATTCTTCTTTCATAATTGTATCAACAACACTATTATCTTAATTTGGATAATAAACAAATAATTTAGCCTAAGATGTAGGTGTTTATATCATATTAATTTATCTGAATGTTGAACTATTATCTAAATTTAATATTAATAATAATAATTACCATTAACTCCAACAAGACTCATATATTATGGTTAATCTGATCTTTTACTAATTGTTTAAACAAGATTATTTTCAGAAAATGTCATAGATTTTTATTTTCTTTAAGTATTTTTCGAAGTTGTTAAATCTGTTATAATAGTTGTAGGTTATATGTTTAAAGATGGAAGCTTAATAGAATTAGCCATTTAGATGAGATTTAAAGGAGGTTCTGTAGCTTAGGATCTTTATGATCTTTATTCAAATTAAATATGTTTAACTCCTTCTGAGGCTTATCTATATACACTGAATAATGTAGGAGTATCAGCAGGAGTACTAATTTCCTTATAAAATTGAACTACATCTTATAATCTATCAATATCTTTGCCTTATTAATTTAATTCAGATAAATCAATATATTCTTAAATAATAACTTTATTTATTTATCTTGATAAGTTTAATAAGTCTGTTCCTCTTCTTAAATTTTAACTTAAAAGCATTTTTCTCTCTAAAAGTTGTTTATTTTAAATTAAAGTTTTGCCTGGAATTAAAGGACCCAAATATTGATCAATATTACTGCTAATAGAATAAGTAATTGCAGCTTAATCATCATCTTGTATTATTTGTAATTTATAATCATTAATATTTTTTAAGAATTAATATGCTTCTTTTGTAATATCTTTTCTTTTATGATAGACTCCTTCTTTTTCTTTATTAATAATTTTACTAACCAAAAGTGTTATAAAACCTTAACGATTTAAGAACTACCAAATATAATTCCTTAAATCTTATGGAATTTTGGAATAGTTAGGATCCAAAAAACGCATAAGAAAATCAATATAATGAGGATTATCTAATTAAATAAATATTGATAATACAAAGATAATCTAAAAATTGATGATGGAATTGAAAATAAAGAAAATTGTAAACAGTTTCTTTCATCTCGAACTTTAAATAAAATTGGAGAAGACCAATAATATGATTGAGATTACCATTTGATTAACTATTTTAAAAAAATCCAGAGATGCTTCGAACTAAAATAGATTTAATTAATTACAAGCAATTTACATAGTATGTTGATTAATTTGCATAATCAATTAATGATTATGATAATCAGTTAAAAATAACATAGCTTTATATGATCTTAGAGTTGTTAATTTATCAGGTTTAATAACATGTTATTTATAATAATTATCTTCACAATATTATTAAATATCATTAGCTAATGAATCTGTTGCAAATATTAATCCTGGTTCTGTTGCTATTGGATTTGTAATATAGGCAAATAGATTTTATAATGCATCAATATCAGCTAAATACTCACTTTAATCTGAATCAATTCTAGGTTTATTTTAAATTAAAATTTCATCCAAATTTATTTCATTTCCTTTGATTGAATCTTAAGAATTGCTATTATTTAAATGATTATTATTGATTTATTACTTCGAAGGAACCTTTGAAGATAAAGCTTAAGATTATAGAATATTCATAGCCATTAATGACATTTTTGGTTTTGAACCTTTTCTTGTTTAATTTCCTTTTTCTTATAATTCAATGGCTACATTTTAATAATGATTATCATCTGTATTCTTTTAAACCTCTTCTTGATATAATTTTAATACAGCTATTCTTTAATCAAATTTATTATTTACTTTCTTCAATTAGTTAATTTAGTTGATTTGCAGATTTCAACCTACTACCTAATTATTATTAGATTTATCCTACTTTTTTCATTATAGCTCTTACCAATTTTTCATTTTCTGCATGTTAAAGCAATATAATAAAAGCATAACATTTATCATCAATGTCAAAACTAATGTTAATTGTTAATTTGATTACTCTAATTCGGAGATTTCTGTTAAAACAGTTTCTAAAAATTCAAGAGCGATGTATTTTCCATCTCCCTAGTTTGGAAGTTAAGCATATTCTTCTATTGCTTTAAAACAACCATCAACCCATTCTTTGGAATGTTTGAATATATTTAGTAATGAAATTAATATCATATCTATTGTATCTGGTATTTGACAATGCAATTATAACAAATATCTAATTACTCTAGGTTCATGAATCAAAGAATGTTTTTATGGAAAAGGAATAGTCTGATTGATGAATTTCAATATAGGTAACACTTTAGATAGAACATCATTTTGTTTAAGAGCCAATTCAAACGATTTCACTAAACTCATTGTAATAATTAAAATGAGATTTTAGAATATTATTTATTAGTATTTATATAAATTATAATTGCTCAATAAATATACATAAAAATATAGAAATCATTTTTTCCTCTAAGTTGATGGTTTTTTTATTTAAATAGATTCTTAAGGAATCTAAGCATATGGCATCTTTTCATTTATTAAATCTACACTTTTGGCTGTATTAAAATCAGCAAGCTCTAACAACTAATTTTAAATTGTACAATCATTAATCGCATCTTTTCCTTTCATAAGTATACCTCTTGGCAATCTTTTATCAGGACAAGCACCTTTTAATTAAATTATACTTTCTCTCTCTTCTCTTAGAGTTCTTTACATTTTCATCATTGTAGATACAAACTTAATTTTATTCTTTAATTTTTCAGTATCTAAAATAAATTATCTTATCTAATATACTTTTTTATGCACCTTATGAACTACCAGTAGTAGATTATTTTTATAAGCCTGCCTACTTAGTTAATTATTTAAATTATTATATATCTGATTCACTAATTTATTCATCATCATCTTAAATGTCAGTTTATAAAATATGATATAACATTTCAGTTACTTAAAATAAGTAAATAATATTACTTTTTTCTGCTACAAATGGAATAGACCATGTAAAAATATCCATAAAATTTGGTAATAAATATGGATGAGGAGTATATTAATATTATTGAATATTGAGAGTGTTATTTTCAAATTTAATAACAGCTCCTCTGTTATTATAAACATCACAATAATTTGGAGCACTAAAAATAGTAATTACAACTGGAAAATCTTAACCACCATTCCATCTATGCATTCTATATCCATCTAATTAAGCCTTAATATATATTTATATATTAATACTTCATGTGCTCTAATAATTGATATTAAATTATTTCTTTATAAAAACTTATTTGCAGATTCTCCTCCAAAAAACCAACTACATCCTCTTACTTCATTAGATTTCCATGCAGTATCTAAATGACCTTATTCTTAATCTACAGGATCACTCCATAATAAATCACAAAATAATCCTTATCTTGGAGGTTCATGATATCTTTCTATCTTTTTTATATCTTCTATCGATTTTAAATCAGGTGATATTCCACCATGAATTGCTATAAATTTAGAATTTATTATGCATGCTAAAGGAAATAAATCAAATGAATCCATTAACATTTCATAAGTTTCTTAATCATATTTATATAAGCATTCCTCTTTAAAATTAAAGAATGCTGTTAATTATCTACATTCATGATTTCCTCTTAAAAAATATACTGAATTTTAGAAATTCAATTTTATTGCATACATTAATATTATTACTTCTATTGAATATGAACCTCTATCAACAAAATCTCCTAAAAAGAGATATCTATTATTATTAATATTTTCAAATTATACTTTGTGTTTTCAGGATTACCACCTACTTTAGGTTCCAATAATTTCAATAAATCATAATATTGACTAATCATAAATTTGATTTTATTACCCGTGAATATCACCAACAACTGTTAATGGATCTTATAAATATAACACATTTCCTTCATTTTCTATTCATTTAATTATTAATTACTCAATAATTTATTACAATCAGCAACTAATTTAAATAGATCCTCTTTAGCTATTCTTCCCTCTTTTTGTAAATGATCTCTTAACAATTTCCAATCAGGTTTGTCTATTCCATAATTTCTTGATTACTTTTCAATTTATCAGGAAACATTAGATTCCTTGACAATGGACGATGAGGTGGAGGCTTCAAAGTTTTCACTTATCGATCATTGACAGGATCTTTCAAAAGGTCCATATATTAATTAATTTATAAACTAAAGCTAATTTAATATAAATTCAATAAATTTATAAATTGTATAATCATTTCTTACATCTAATTATTCTATGTCTAACTTTTAAAGAATCTATCAATTTTAAAAGATCTTTATTATTCATTTTATATTGATTATTTGCAATTTACTCTTAATGTAAGCTTCAGAACTTGCAATAACGTCTTTTAATATTATATTCATATAAATCGAAACTTAACTTTTTCTAGGCTTTATTTATTAAATGATCAAAAAATATTTCATCATCTGGAGTTGTTTATTCTTTCTTTTAATTAAAATAATATCTCTATATTTATTTTGATTCAGGAATACTAATCATTGATTATTACTACAAAATGAGTAGAAGCAGTAATTTATGATTTTTATAGTTGAAAAATTTTGAACTGCTTTCAGAATATGCATTCTTTTTCTAAATTTATTAATAGTTTTCATTTTAGAATGTTNTATTATGCATGCTAAAGGAAATAAATCAAATGAATCCATTAACATTTCATAAGTTTCTTAATCATATTTATATAAGCATTCCTCTTTAAAATTAAAGAATGCTGTTAATTATCTACATTCATGATTTCCTCTTAAAAAATATACTGAATTTTAGAAATTCAATTTTATTGCATACATTAATATTATTACTTCTATTGAATATGAACCTCTATCAACAAAATCTCCTAAAAAGAGATATCTATTATTATTAATATTTTCAAATTATACTTTGTGTTTTCAGGATTACCACCTACTTTAGGTTCCAATAATTTCAATAAATCATAATATTGACTAATCATAAATTTGATTTTATTACCCGTGAATATCACCAACAACTGTTAATGGATCTTATAAATATAACACATTTCCTTCATTTTCTATTCATTTAATTATTAATTACTCAATAATTTATTACAATCAGCAACTAATTTAAATAGATCCTCTTTAGCTATTCTTCCCTCTTTTTGTAAATGATCTCTTAACAATTTCCAATCAGGTTTGTCTATTCCATAATTTCTTGATTACTTTTCAATTTATCAGGAAACATTAGATTCCTTGACAATGGACGATGAGGTGGAGGCTTCAAAGTTTTCACTTATCGATCATTGACAGGATCTTTCAAAAGGTCCATATATTAATTAATTTATAAACTAAAGCTAATTTAATATAAATTCAATAAATTTATAAATTGTATAATCATTTCTTACATCTAATTATTCTATGTCTAACTTTTAAAGAATCTATCAATTTTAAAAGATCTTTATTATTCATTTTATATTGATTATTTGCAATTTACTCTTAATGTAAGCTTCAGAACTTGCAATAACGTCTTTTAATATTATATTCATATAAATCGAAACTTAACTTTTTCTAGGCTTTATTTATTAAATGATCAAAAAATATTTCATCATCTGGAGTTGTTTATTCTTTCTTTTAATTAAAATAATATCTCTATATTTATTTTGATTCAGGAATACTAATCATTGATTATTACTACAAAATGAGTAGAAGCAGTAATTTATGATTTTTATAGTTGAAAAATTTTGAACTGCTTTCAGAATATGCATTCTTTTTCTAAATTTATTAATAGTTTTCATTTTAGAATGTTATAATTTTAAATCGTTGAGCTGATTTATTGTAATATAAAAATTATCGCATAAATTTAGACATTAAATCTTTTTTAAATTCTTTTTCTTTTCTACCATCTTTTAATTAATCACATTTTTACCTTGTTTTGTTAAATGGATATTGCTTTTTTATTGTTCCAATAAATTAACCATATTTTCCAAATTATGAACAATCTCATATCTGATTCAATATATTCTTTATCTAAGATTATTTAGTTTAAATAAAATTGAGTTCGCTTTTGTATAGAATTCTTTTTAAGGCTTATCTTTCATTGTTCTAACATATTGCAATTCATAGAAGTTGTTATAAGAAAGAGAACTTTCAGATAATTATTTATTTATAAATATCTTTAAATAAAGAATTAAGGCTTAAATTGATTTAATTTCAATCTAAATAGATATATTATGAAATGATAACTATTAGAAAATAGCTTTATTAAATATAAAATTTATTTCAAAAAATTGAGTTAATCGACAGAAAGTTAAACTGGCCTATTTTGTGCTAATTAATTCAGACTAGATGAAAATGGAATTAAAAAGTTAAACATAAATTACTAATAGTTCATTAAAGATAATCAAATTCTTCGTCTTCAAAGTTTCTACCAATTATTTTACTATAATATTATAATAAAATTACTCGAATATTTCAGATTCTAAGTATTATTATTATTATGATTACTAAATGGTATTATTATTACCAAGAGTAAATTATAAAACACTTCGACCTACTTGCATTTCTATGCCATTTAATTCACTTATTATGGGAATAATAGTTTATTAGATGAGAATTAAAGTACCAAATTTTGATTTATTATCTGTTAGATAAATTTATCCATCAATTAATTTAAGTGTTCCATGATTTCTACTTACTGATATGTCGTTAACTCGAATTTCAGTTTCATTAGCTCTTCCTATTTTTAATTCATTAGTTCTAGGCATTTTGATTTCACCACAATTATTATCGAAAGTTATAATATAAACTCCATTACATTAATTCCATTATGTATCTTCACTAATATTATTTTCTTAAACTTCCTATTTTATTATGAGATATGAAACATACTTCATATCGTTTCTGAGTTATTTCCATTAAAACATATGGATATTCAGAAGGTTTGCTTAATTCAATTAAATTAAATACTCCTTCATCACTTTTGAAAATTGGAGGATAATTAAATTTGCATAATTCACATTCCAAATTTTTCCACATATAAATGATACAATGATCACTTTATTTAGTTTAGAATTTAGACTTTAACCATTTTTTTAAACAATTAAGATGTATATATTTAATAGAACCAGTACATTTACATGGATTTACAAGCGGATTTGATCTATTAAATGCACTACTACAACATACTCTACATGTAATTGCATCAGATTAACTAGATTTTGCAGAATCTGAATCTTCTCTTTTAATAACTAAATATAGATTACATAAGTTATCTTTAATTTAACTGAATTTCTCTTATTTTGAATTTAACTCTTCCCATTTTTATTATATCTCCTTATTTTAATTTGATACCATTATTACTCATCATTTATTACATTGATCTTACAACTAACCATAATTTACTTCCTTTTTCCATTAATTTTGTATTTGTTCTTTAACTCATACTTATTTTTTAATGATGGCTATATTTCTTAATTAAATCATTTGGTTAATGAAATTCATCTCCCTCTAATTAATCTAAATTTTCTGACTATTAAAAGTCTTTATTATCTCCATGATATTTTGTAGTTTGTTCTTACTTGTCGTCTTCATAATTTTATTTACATTCTCCTCTTTTATTTATTATACTAAATATTCCATTATTCTTTTCAATTCTAAATAGAATCTATTCTTATTTTATTACACTTTTATTCCAATCTACATCATCATCAATCCATTATAATTCATTATTATTTTTAATTAAATACCCTCCTTTACTTATCTTTTATAATTAATCCAATTACTTAAAAGTTCTATTCTTTTAAATGACTCTAGTTTTCATAATCAAAAAGTGAAAATGACTCTTTTTGCCAAGTTTTTATTTTAATAAAGAGATCTTTAACAGTTCCTTCTTAATTATTAACTCTATAGTCATCATTTGTAGCTATTTCTTATAAGTGTATATTAGAATTAATTTGATCAGATTCACAAAATTTACGACATTGACAACTTCCCATTATAAAATAATATATAAATATAAATTAATATATAATATCGTATTCAAACAATCAAAGCAAACCAACTTAAGAACAAATAAAATAAAATCACTGGATAAAGTGCTAATATTCTTTTTTATTCTGGTATTAATAATTTCATAAATCCAACAGCAGCTAGAATAAATAATAATAATACAATATGTTGACCATAAAAAGCAACCAATCACTAAAAACATCTTCAAATAAAAAAAGGAGAAAATGAGTGTAAATAATGCCCCTAAATTAATTGGAAAAACACAATATCCCAATACACAAACAGATTAGAAAAATGAACTTAATTATTAAATTTTATATTTACACTTTCCCACCCAATAATTATGCATTAAGAGTAACTACAAAGGATCCAATCCAAATCAATACAAAAATAGTAGCAAATATTCCTGTACCATCATTATTATTTCCACTCATACTTAAAGTTCTTCAAATATAATTAAAATATACAATGCTAACATTAAACAAAATATTAATGGTCCCCACAAATCCCCTAAAATATCAAATTTAATTCAATTACAATTTCTTAGTTCTTTAGCATTATTAGATGACATTGTAGGTACTAAAACGCATCTTAATTTTACTCCTATCTATCTTAAATCTCGAAGCTAAGATTAAAATTTAGTTATACTAATGTGACTGCTACACTTTCCTCTAAAGTACTAGAAACTTATATATCTGTTTATTTAATTGTGATTTCCTATTGTTATGCCTAGACTTAATTCACTTAAGGATCAAGATTTATAACTCCTTATATAGAGTTATTCCCTTAATTTTCTTAAGCTTCAAATTCCATTTTATTTTAATGAATATAAATTTTATAATAATCAATATCATCCACAGCATCCTTTCTTTTTTTTAGTTATATTCTAATCTTAGATATAATTAATTACTTTTAGTCTTAAGCTAAGTTCTTATTTATCCTTTTCTTATTTCTTTTATTCTTCCTCTAATTTTTATTTTTCAGCTTAGTTAACTTAATTCTATTCTTATTATTTATTTATATTTATTACTATTTTAAAGTTATTCTAATTCTTCTTTTAATTTCTTCTTTTCCTAATCTAATTTTTATTTTTCAGCTTCTAACTTTTGTAATTATATATCTTATTATTAAATATTCTATTCTAATATTTTATATTGAGAATCATAATCTCTTATTTCTTATGCTAATTCTTAATTAATATTAGTTTAAGTTGATCCTTTTTTATTTTATTTTTATCTAATTGATTTTTCTAATTTTTTTAATAAATTTGAATGAGTTGATTTTAAATAATCAAAAAGTGTAATTGCTTTATTTGCACCAGATCCTAGTTTATCATAATTTAATAAAAAACTAAACTGAATTAAATACTTACTTAACAAAATCAGTTGAAAAGAAATGTAAATCATCATAAGTGTAATTCTCTTTTTCTACATCTTCCTATACTTTTTTAATTTCTTATGCAATTATTTATTAATTTTTTCTATGTAAATATATTAATTTTACAATTAATGATATTGATCATTTGCATATATAGCTTCATTTTCTGCTTTATTTAACATCTCTGTAAGCTTTTGTTTATAATTTTCATAATGATTATTCATTTCTCTCACTCCAGCTATATGATGAAATGTGTCAAAACAATCACTACGTATTTATGAAAGTATTTAAATAGTATCTTCTAACTTTCTTTAATTTTTATCCTAAGTAAAAAAACTTTTATAACTATTCTAATAATTTTTTTGAGCTTAATCAAATCCTTATGCACATTCATTTTCTAAAATACTATCCCATGCTGTATCTATATTAGGAACTCCACCTCTATTAATTACTTCAATGTAATTATCTAACATTGCACAAAACATTCTTCCATTCACATTTTCAGAATGTATTTACTTTGGAGAACAGTTGTCCATTATATAATCTTTTAATTTTTTCAACTTTATATAAATAATTTAACATTTACAGTTTTTTAAAACTCTGGCCTTAATTAATTGAATGAAATTTAATTAACTATTGATAACTATGTGTCATCAACTGGAGTTATTAAAGGAAAACATTACCTTTCTCTAAAAAAATTAAGTAAAGATTTTCTAATTTTTTTACTTTATTCATTTGATTTAGCATATTAACTTTCATCATTTAAACAATTTTCCATATATTCTTTGGGTGATAATTCTTTTTAATTTTTATCTCTCATTTCAAGAACATAGTCTCTTAATATCCAAACAAATTTAGGTGTAAAATATTTTATTTAAGATTCATTAACAGATTCTTTATTTTAATCTTAAACTTATATATTCTTAGCTAAAGTTGTTGTTAATTACAATTAAGAGATGGATGTTTCATCAATGCATCCTCTTGAATTAAAAACAAAAATGGAACTCATCAAAATAGCTAAAGCAAATATTTTAGCATCATGATTTTTATTTCTATCAATTGATTCACTACCTTCAGTATCTAAAAAATAAATCTAAAGGTTGTTTTTTTAATTGATAATAGGTTTTGAATACATCCAAATACCTTATGTGCAAGAGTCAGTTGCTGCATCAACTTTAAACTATAAACTTTAATCCTAAACTTACTCCATCTCCTCCTACATCTAATAGCTTATTTAATAAAAAGCTTTTCCCTGTTCTATACTTTCCACAAACGACCACAAATCCAAAATCACCTTCTAACTCTTAAAAAAATTCTCTAGCCTCTTTTGTTATTTCAAATTCTTATGTTTCTTTTGTGTACTTCACTACTTGAATAGGTCTCTCTTTTTAAATACTCTTCATATTTTTTTAATTAAAATAATACCTTCTAAAATACTAACGGGTTAAAAAGAATAAAATTTATTAATATTCTCATTATAAATTATTAAATTATGAATCTCATTGTTTTTTTATAGTAAAAACATTATAACATAGAAATGCAACAATCTTATTTTTATTATCTTTTCTTTCCATGTTAGAAATATTATTATTAAAATTATCAAAAATATAATTAGATAAATAGAAATTATTAAAAAGACCAATATAAAAAGAAATTATAACCAAGCACTAAATGAAAATATTTGTTAAAATATATTAAATTTTCATTCGCCTAATTTATTTGATTAGTTTTCCTTTACTTTTCCAGGATCTTATATATAATCTGTTACATTATTTGATAAAAGAATTATTTTAAATTTTAATTAATAAGAAATAATAAGTGAATATTATGCTTAAAAGTTCATTAAAATAACTTAAATTTTAATACATATATGAATAACATTTTAAAAAAAAGACTATTTACCACCCCTGAATAAAGTTAATAAAAACAAGATTAAGAAGAAGAGCTACCTAACCCAATGGTTGATTCATTTTTTTCATAAAAATCATAAAATACATTGAAATCAAATTCTAGTCCACCAAAAAATATTAAATTAATTCTCAAAAGTGATAAGAAACCTTTTTTTGTTAAACCACAATAGTATTAACTCTTAAGAAATGTTTAAGATAATTAAACTAAATTAGAAAAGAAGTATGATTAATTAGATTGCTTAATTCCTTCTATAAAATTGATTTAGGTTAATGAAAAATAACATCAAAGTGAATGTTTTAATGGAGAAGAAGCCATAATAGATTATAAAATCTATTTTAATTAATGTCATGAAATTAGAAATATTTATTATATGACAGCAATAGGTTATAAATTGGGAATCGAAGAAGTATAAGAAACTTAAGAAATTTAAATGTAAAATAGCATACCTGTATCTGAGAGAATGTCAATCTCATTAAGAGCTAAGTAATAATTCTAAAAAGCAAAAAATAAGATAAAAAAAATAAATTTAGTATCTGAAATTTCTAAGGAAGATCCAGATGAAGAAAAAAGATTGAAAAAAGATAGAGAAAATTCTGATCATATAAATTAATTACTTAATGATCCTACTAATATTATTAAAAACGAACATTTGTTGGGAGAGTTAATAGGTTAAACTAAAGTTGTGAATACATATTAAAATTAAGAAAATAATTAAATAAATTAAGAACCAAAAAATATTGAACAGAAAAAGTAAAAAGTAAATATCTTTATAAATAAATCACTAATTACTCATTTGATGAGTAGTTTAGTTGTTTTTGTATTAATTGTTATTTCAGCATATATAAAAACAACAAAGGGATTTAAAATATAAGTGGAAGATTTATGAAGTTTATTTATTTATTTTTTATATTTAGTATAATGATTATCAAAAAACAATAAACATTTTTATAACAAAATATATCAATTGATATTCTTTTAAAAATGAAAACATTAGATAGTATGTAAATATATAGAATATGCAATCTGTATCATATGGAGGTATTTTAGATACAGTTGGTTGGAGAATACTTGCTTAAAAAACTTTTCAACTTCAGATAGTATGAAAAAGAAATTATCTATTAAGTTTCAAATGAAAGATATATCGAAATAGGTATTGTTGATATTGGATCTATGTTTACAGATGCTTACAAGTCATAAAATATAGTGATAAAATCTAAATTAATCAGATAGTTTGATTCATTAGAGCAATTGATAGTATAAATACTATATTAAGCATTAGAAAAGGCATTGAATAGAATTACCTATTAAATGTAGAACAATTTTGTATGAATTAATTTTGTGGAACTTTTTGTTAGTTTAGGTAGCAATAATCAGTAAATAATTTAAAATTAAAATGATATTGATAATCCAATTATATTGAAAAAAGATTTGAAGTTGAAAGAATCTCTTCAAAAAACTTGATAAAAATAGTTTTTGATACATATTGAAGATGAATTCTATGAAATAATTCGTAAATACTTCAGAATGATGAGTATTTTTAATAATTTTAGAGAGGAATGAAGTATGAACCTACTTTTGATGTTAAAAGCTTGATTCTTATGTTAGATTTTGATGGAGACAGAAAAATTGCATTAAAAGATATGAAAATTTAGTTTTGTAGTCATTGCAACAATAAGCAATTTCATATAATTTTAGTTGATTTATTATTTTTATTAATAATATGGATAATTATGAATAGGTTTTAATAGTTAATGCTATTTAATTATAATCTGTTCAAAACTAATTCGAATCAATCAATTAAGAACTTGCTAAACTCATTACAAAAGTATCAAAACTTTATAAATTAGAAAAAATATAAAAAATTATATGCTTTATTGTCAAAATTTTTTGATCGTTATGATCATTCTAGTTAGATTCATTTGAATGATAGAATTCACTTTTAAAATATTCTTCTTAAAGCTTTAAATAAGATATTTTAGAAATGCATTTTGAAAGACATGTCTCGAAAAAATATTATCGACATAAAAGTTTGGAAATAGAAAATTTTTAAATATTTAGAAATCTATCCAACACTTCTATCTAAATTAACTTGTAATTTAGATATGATCTAAATTGAAACTAAACATAGATTAAGAGAGCAAATTAGAAGCTCCTTATTAAAAGATTAATTATCATACTAAATTCATTAGTAAAATAATACTAGACTTAAATTAAACTAAATAGTAAATAATTTTTGTTTAGAATAAGAATATGATAGTTATATGCAAAATATTATGATAGCTTTACGCCTTTTAAGTTATTAGGATATTAAACCTTAAGAAAAAGTTAAATATGCTAAACTATCATTTGAAATTAGTAAAATCTTACTTTAAGGAAAAGGTAAAAGAGCTTTTAAATTATCTCAATACATTTTATGTGCAACTAACTTATTTGTTAAGAGTTTCGAAAATGATGATGATTTGACAAAAGAAATCTTAGAAGAAGTTAACTCTTCAATTACAATAAATTATTTATTATATTTAGTCTAATAAATTGAGGCAAATAATGATTTTAAAAAGAAATTAAAATGTAAATGGAAATTTATGAAATTATTAAAACCATTAACTTGGTTTTGGATGCAATCTATATATTATTATTAATCAATCTTTAAATTTGAAAAATGTTAAGCTATAATGACTTTATTGAAATGGATAAGCTTTTATTATTTTATTCAAAATGATGAATTAGCAAGTTATATTTAAAATGTATCAACATAAACATATTCTAAATATAAAGAATACATAATATTTAATTATGTAATAGAGTCTATTTGTTTAGATGAAGAAGTTGGAATGCCAAGATTGAAAAGATAAATGATAGAAAATCAAGAATAAAATGAAGAGAAATAAAATTATAAACAATCAGTGAATTATTATTATAATGCTCATGATAAGAACACTTCTTTTTAGCCATAATTCTATTATTGCAGTCCTTAAGCTAAAACCTAAATAATTAAAAAACCTGATGTGCCAATTATTGATATTCCTATTGAAAATTTAAGCTCTATGGACACTCGTTAATCTAGTAAAACTTTAAAATGTCCTAAACGATTAAATACATCATTTAATATGTAAAAATCATTTCGTGGGTCAATTTCCTAATTCTCCACTAGTTTTTCTGAGAAAAAAAATTAGTCTTAAGTCTGCAATGCTTAATAAATATAACCAAATTAATAAAAAAATATACCTATGCTTGATAAAATGATTAAAAAAATGATAGAAGATAAAATAGTTTTAGATAATATAGAGTAAAATATTATACTATAAAATTAGAGATAAGAAGACATAGTCTGAATAATTATTAAGTAAAGAGAAATTATAATAAAAAGAAAATGATTTTTATAAAAAGCTACTAAAATACAAAACATAATTTTCAAAATTTTTATCTCCTGTAAAAATGAAATCAAATTAAGAAGTTATAACAAAATAAGATTTATAAATGAGAATTATTGAAAGATAAACATTGGTTGATTCAAAGAATTCTAAGAGTTTTACTTTTTAAACAAAATAGAATGATTAGGATACATCATTGCTATCTTTTGAAAAACCTGGTGTTTAATTAGGTCCACTTTAAAAATTAAAAAAAATTATTTTTAATCATCCTGAAGTCTTTCAACTTCAGAAATTAAGGAGCAAACTAAAATCATCAAAAAAATGGTATAATAGAGTAAATTCAACAAGAATTTCAAATACAAGTATGTATTAGAATATGATAATAGGAAGATCAGTATTGGTTTAAAAATCAAAAGATTAAAAAATAGTAGATTTAAATTAATTAAGAGATAGATCTTAATATTAATTAAGAAAAAAACTGAGTGAAACTTAATTCCAATTAGAAGCTGTAGAAAAAGAAATAAGAAGCCATAGTGTGAAAATCAAGCAATCTAAATAGAATATAGATTAGCCTTTGTAATTAGACAATAAATATTAAATTTTAAGTCGATCAATAATAAAATAAGAGATGATTAAAAAATAAATTTGATATAATTTTATTGATATTTTTCCTACTTTTTTATAATTTGAATTTGAATATAATAATTAGCGGAAAATATTTTCTCTAAAAATGGATGAAGATCAAAGTAATTATATATTTAAATACTTATTAGACGTAGTCTCATTATCTTTACTCAATGATGAGTAGGATTAGAAATTATTAGAAAAAATATCAAACAAAAGTAAAAAGATTTTCAAAATTGTCTATTCAAATAAGTATTTACTATTATGAGTATTCTTATAGCAAATAATTAATAAAATACAAGATTTACAATAGAAAAGAAAAAAGTTTAGAGGAATTAAGTAAAAAATTTGTTCGTTGCCTTATTGATTATGATGAAAAAATTGTTTGTTTAGATTAAATTACAGATGAATTGGGTATATTATTTTATTAATATAGGGGTTGAAAGAAGAAGAATATATGATATAATAAATATCTTAGAAAGTTTATAAGTAGTGAAAAGAAAATGTAAAAATAAATATAGTTGGAGTGGATTCAAAACTATTTATTAAACGATTCAATAAGTATTATTGTATATATATAAATTATAGTATGCAAATAAATAAGTGAATTTTGATACAACTTAGCACAAAAGAGAAAAATCTTTAGAAGTACTCTCTGCTGGATTTATTCAATTATTTATGTAACATAAATCTATTTGGACTTTAGAAGAGGCTGCAAAATATTTAGGTAAGGAAGTTGATCAAAATAAATTGAAAACAAAAGTTAGAAGGTTATATGATATTGCAAATGTTTTAAAATCTATTGGATTAATTAAGAAAACTCATTTGATATCATCGAAAAAACCTGCATTTTAATGGGTAGGTGAAGAAGGGTTAAAATAGTTTTAACATAATTTAAAATAATAAGAATTAAAAAATAAACCTTAAGAAATTAAAGAGAATATAGCCATTCAATCTTTTCCTTAAAATTAAAATTTGAATAAACCTGATAATTAAAATTTGAATAAACCTGATAATTAAAATTTGAGTAAACCTGACATTTAATATCAGAGAAAACCTGACGATTTTAATAATTATAATTCATATGTTGATAAATGTATAGATGTGCTTATCTAATAATAATTATATGATAGAAAATAATAAACAGAATAAAAAATTAGAGAACAGAATTAGAATCAACTCACAATTATAACTCCAAAATTAAGAAAAACATACACCATTATTGTAATTTAATAAAATTTAAAATTAGCCTCCTAGAGTTACAACTCCAAAAAAGGCTTTGTCTTCAACCCCAAAAAAAAAATAATCTAATAATCACACACCTAATAATAAAAATGTAGTTGGTTCTCTTATTGGGAAGTTTAATTAAAACTTATGATTCTTTATAGATATCTATATTTTTCATTAAATTATTTATTATATTACTCTTTCTTTTTTATCTTATGTGGAGAGATAGAGTTACTGAATAAAATTAGTAAACCGTAGAAAACATCGAATAGGTAGGAGTTACGTAATATAATTTTTTCATCTTTAGATTTAGACTTGAATAAGCAAATTAAATTATGAGCTCAATATTGCTGTCTAACTCTATTTATGCTATTACAGTGTTGTTATTCAGTTTTTAGTTGAGTTTCGATGGAAATATGTTATTTGTTATCTATTGCATTTATTCAAAATTGCTATTGTAATTTATACATTTACTGTATTTCAACCGAATATTTCATCATTATAACATGTATGAAAGTTTTATTAAATTTTAGAACAGATAAACATATTTTAATAAGACTAATATCAACTTTAGTGGAAGGCTCTTATTTACTTGTACTTAATTTATATTAAATATCTGCAACAAGAGATTTATTGTTACTTTCAAACATATTTCCTTTGTTAAATATGTTTCTTTCATTGATTTTAAAAATAAATGAAGGAAATCACTACTTTAAACAATCGATATCATAAATCAATATGTTTCAGGTTTTTCGAAATATTGCAATATTGATAATATCAATATTCTTTAGCTTAAAACTTGAAGGATACTTTGAGATATAATGGTTATATGCTTTATGGATGTTTTGGATACTTTTTGGTGTTTCTGCATCAATTGTGATTTATTACGTTTTTGTAATTTTGGCTTTGGGAATACAAAGAATTTTAGAATAAAACATCAGACTAGAAAATTTAGGTTAGATTTACGTTTATTATTAGTAATTGTTAATTTATGGATATTGTTTTTTATGATATCTAATACTGCGATGTATCTTTTAATTCCAATATCAATATTAAACTTTCAGAAAATTGGATATTATGGAAATTTAATAGATACATTAAGGGTTATTTTAATGATTAATTAAGTTCTTTTTTCTTATTATACAGTTAGATTTAAGAGAGAATTAATATTAAGTTTATAAAATTATTTATCTTTGAATGATTCAGTAAATCCTCTCAACACTCTGCCTACTTAATAAGCAGAAGCATAAATATAACCATATAATAAATAAGACTTTGGTGATAGTTAAATAAGTGAACATCATATTTAAATACCAAAAGTTGTCAAAAGAATATCAAAAACTTATTTTGGATTTGATGATCTTCTCTCTGATAAAAAATCTGAAACGTAACTGTCTGGTAAGAAACCAACTCATCATAAAGCATTTTCATCTCAAATATAAAGATCTTCAGATTATTAAAATGAAAAAATAAAATTATCTTCATTAATCAACATCAAGAATACTCAAAGATATAATAGTAATGTTGATATTCAAAATAATTCAAAAGAAATTGAACAAGTACTATATATAATTAATATCTTCTATAGAGTAGTATACCAAAATCTGTATCTTTATCTTCTATCAATGCTTGTTGTATTTGTTTTGACAATGATCCAAATGCATTATTCATGTAATGTGGTCATGGAGGAGTCTGTTACAATTGTGCTATTGATTTATGGAAAAATAAAGAGGAATGTTATTTATGTCGAAGTGTAATTCTTTACATTTATTCTAGAAAATTGATAGAGTTTTAAAAATAAAAATAAGTGAATAATAAAAGAACATTTATAAAGTTATTGGTGCTACTGAATTAAATAAAAAAGTTAAAGCCTAACAAAAAAAATTAACTTAAAATTAATAATATTGATTTACTGATTAAAAATTAAAAAATATTGTAATTTCTTCGAAATCTAATTTACTTTCTAATTCTAATATCTGAAGCTAAACTGAAACTATTTATCTTATAATGATAATAAAAAGTTGCATTATTAATTTATAAATTAAATAAAAAGTTTCAAAAGTTTATAGTTTGTATATTTTTAGATATGGCATACAATTCTTCTGGAAAAACAGCGTATCTATGATAATTTGATAATCTAGAACTAATTGTTTGTTTTTTTTAACATTTTGGTTCTATTTTAGGGAAAACAATTGAAACATCTTAATAATCTTCCCTTCTAGAAACAGATTAACTTTTCATAGACTTATGGATGCTTACTGCTTTTTAAGATTTTTCTACTGACTATGTTCTTGTGGTTTTCAATTATCGATTTATAATCTTTTGCTCCTATCTTTCTAATAAACTAGTGAAATTTTAAAATTCTCTTATAAAACTTATATCATTATGATTTTTTAATTTAATTTTGGCTATTTTTTCTTTATTTTCTATTAAAGCTTATTGTTGATATTGTTGTTTAATTTAAAAATATTCACTTTGTTCATTTATATCTTCAAGTCTGAATTGCCTTTTTTTTGGTTAAATTGAAAGAACACTATTATTTTAAGCCTCACTTTGTTCTTTGATTTTAGAATTATTTAAACTATTATTTTAGGTTCTAAATCTACTTGTCATAACAAACTCTTAATATGACTATTCAGTTCTTCTTTTAAACTTGGGTGGTTAAAATTAAATACCTGAATTTTCTAAACACATTATAGAAAATTTGACAGGCAATTAAGTTGATTTGCTACTACCATCAATAATACCTGATTATGGAGATAAATCAATAGATCTTTGTTGAATATGATTTTAAGTTATCTAAACTTAATCTTATTAAATATCTTCAGTTGATGAATTTACAAACTAAATATGAGAACTATTTTTTAAGATATTTTAATTTAATTTTATAGAAATTTAATTTTTTAGAATTTTTAATTAATTTGAATTTTCTGGACACATCCAAATGAAATTTTATACTAAACGAGTATTTTCATTAAAAAATGAAAGTTAAATTGTATTTTTTTCATATTTAAATTACTTTGCTTGTAAGTTATTTAAACATAATATTACTTTATTTTATCTACCAAAATACAATTAAGAAGTTTCTAAAGCAGGTATTTCTGTTTTAAAAACACACTAAATTTTGTAATAGTATTTATTTAAAAATGGAATTATTTTTTAATTTTTACTTTCCCAAAGATTATCACTTAACATGAGAATACTTGTTCCATTAAGTCTGAATCTGTAAGTAATTAAAGCAAAAGCAATTGCTCTATATTTTGCTTCACTTGTAGATACATATGAAAATTTAATGTAATCTCTATTGTTAATAAAATCAAAAGAAATAGAAGCTCCAAAATTTAATAATCCATAAATATCAACTTCTTTTGAATAATTAAGTTCTTTTAAGGATTCTTTTTATTTTGTTAAATATTCTCTGTTTCTACAATTCCACTTTGTTTATATTTATTCTTATTTTATAATACTATAATCGATAAGTTTCTCTTCTTTGATAGGTACCATTTGAATTTCTTGAATAAGCCATTTAGGAATTATTGCAATATTTAAATGATCAAATTAAGCCAAAGATTGGGCATATGTAGATTAAATTGAATTATCTAAATTTTAAGATTTAAACTGCAGCCTTACTGTGTCATTATCTGCTTTTATCTTAAAATTATTATAATTTTACCACATTGTATTATTCTAAAAATTTTAAAGAATGTTATTAATTGTTAACAATCTCTTGAATTTATGAATAGATCTACATATCAAGATACAAATTTGGTGTAGGAATTTGAGAAACATAGAAAGAGATCTCTTTAAAAAAATTAATTCTATGATTCCATCTGATCCTTCTAAACCATCTTTGAATGACATAAATTGCTCTAGATTGATTTATCAATTTCATAATAGCTACATATTTCATCCCATTAATATTAATATTTCTTTTTGCTCTAAAATACTTTTGGATTCGACATACAGCTGCAATCTCTCTCAATTAAAAATCAAAAAAAAGATGGAGTTAATTATTTCTATTTTGACAATTATATTGATAAATCTTTCTCAAAATATTTATATTATCTAATTCAATATATTTTATTAGATTGTATTCTTATGTTTAAAATTTATCAATTCTTTTAATTAAATGCTGATGTCTCTTGAGCTCTTGATTAGAGAATTTATATTATTTATTAGACAGTTTAACTTTAACATATTTAATAAAGTTATAAAGAAATTCATATTTAATGTTATCTCTATTTATATTAGTTTCTCCAAAAGTTTTTTTTAATTAGTGAAAATTAAACAAAATAACAGCAGATTTAATTCTATGAAATAACAAAGGTATTAGATTTTTATGTTAACAATTATTTTAAATGTTTAATCTTATTGTTTTAATATTTACTTCTTTGGCATGTAAATTAAAGCAATTTTAAAATATTAACTCTTAAGATTTTAAAATATAGAATCGTTTAATTTAATTCTAATTTAAAAATTATCTAAGATGTTTAACTTTCCATAAGTTGATTTTCAAAGCTTTATAGATTAAATGAGATGCGTTGTTGATAATATATTATTAAAACCTTCTTCTTTTCATTTCCTTATAAGAATTTAGAACTCTTATGTAGCTTTATTTGTATTATTCAATAAGAATGCTCCTTACTTCTTTTCTCCTCGATACAAAGCCTTTCCACTAATTAACAACTTTTTGTGGCAATTAATTATTCATAAAATTACAAAAAAATATCAATCATTCATAGTTTAATTTAATTTTCTGTTTATGATAATAATTAGTCCATGCTCCTCCATTATTAGAATAATAATCCATAGGATATATTTATTTCCAATCAGCTTCTCCTAACATAACATATGTCTCATAAGGAGTTAATAATGGTTTTTGAAATTAGACTCCCCAATCAATTGAAAGTCTTGGACAAGCAATTTATATGAATACATCCACTTCATTCAATTAATTTAATTATTCAAAATTAACTTCACTTATTAAAAGAGTGAAATATTGTATTTGATGTTTCTTTAATAACTCTTCAATTCTTGATAAAATCTGAGTGCTGCCTTGTCTTCCAAGTGTACTCATTATTATACATACTAACTAAGGCTATACTTTTTAACAATGTAATATTTATTAATATCGCAAATTCATCATTTTTGGATTATCATATTTTTCAATAGTTAATCTATAAGTGTATGGATCATATTAAAAGAATTCAAATTATGGATTTTAAATCATTGTTGATTCCATATGAAATCTTCCATCACATACAAAGATTACTATATTTCTACTATCTTAAGATACCTCTAATTTAGGGGAAGTGCATCCCAAGACTTCTCCTGATGATCTTGGTTTTTCTTAGGGAATTGCAATTTTATATCCATCTTCTTCTAATTATTTTCTAAGTAAGTGAATATAAGTATTAAATTGTATTGTACCCATCAAATAATATTTGATATTCTTATCAGGAAAGTTCTTTTTAATAGTTTCATAAAGATGTTTAATATCAATATTGATTTCAACAAAGACATAAAGTGTTTTAACAGCACATTCATTAATAGGTACTAAACAACTATGACCATAATGAATAATATAATCAGCTTGCATTTCATCAGCTGTCAAATCATCAATACAACATGCTCCATATGTGACATCTCCACTTATAAATGTATCACAACCTGTAAAAGTTGTTAGAATATCTGAAATCATGCATGAATATAATAATAGTCCTTCTGGAAATTACAAATTGATTAAAATATTTTATTTTTAGAGTCTCTCTTAAGTTTCAATAATTCTGCTTATTGTTTTATGAATTTCAAAATTGTAATGTTTTGGTAATTAACTTATCGCATTATTCAAAGCTTAATTATTTAAAATATATTCTGGAATTTAGTTTAACATTTTAGGTTAATTCTAAGCATTTTAAATCATTAATAAATATTTTAATATTCTAATAAAGAATATATAAATAAATGACTATAAGGACTTCTAACACAAATATAAATTTATTTTAATATTTATGATGATAATTCATTCTAATTTAGCATCATAAGTAAAATCTTAATATTTTTAACCAATGCTTTCACCTCCCATTGATAACGAATTTGGATCATGTGATTCTAATGGTTATTCAGTAAATTCTGGGTCAAAGTTAGAAACATCAACTTCACTTTTTACTAATGGAATAAAAGGTGGTTTATATAATTTTTTCAAAAGGGTTTCCCAATTAACATTTAAAAACCAAGGATGATCTTTGACTTAAAAAAATGAAAATTATTTCATACTTTCTTAAGCTCCTTTACTTCCAAGTCTTTTATCAGGGTTTTTAGAGAATAATCCTTCTAACAAAGATTTGCAAGCTGGAGTCAGACTTACTGGATATTTCAATTATGCAAATTTAATGCTTTCAAATAGTTCTTCACGATTTTAAGTATAAAATGGAGGAAATCCTGATAACATTTCATAAATGATTGCTCCTAAAGTCCACCAATCAACAGGTTTTCCATGACCAGATTTTAATAAAATTTCTGGGGCCAAATATTCAGGTGTACCACAAACACTTTATGCATCTTTAGTTCCTTTTACATTTCTTTTTGATAGTCCAAAATCTGTTATTCTTATATAACCTTAAGCATCAATCAAAACATTTTCAGGTTTAAGATCTCTATATATTATATCATGATTATGTAAATGTTCAAGTGCTAAAACTATTTAGGCAGCATAGAATCTTGCCTTTTTATTATATTCTTAAATTTTACTTAATCTTCTGTAAAAACTTTTCGCTTTTATAATAAATTAAATAACTCTCCTCCTGAACAATATTCAAGAACAAAGTATAATTTTACATCACTTTTGAAAGCATAAAACATTTTTATGATAAATGGATGCTTTACTTCTACAAGTATGTTTCTTTCACCTAATACATGTTCTTCTTATTTTCTTTTTTCGATATTTTTTTTCTTTAAAATCTTCATTGCATATATTTCCTTATTATCCTATATTTAAAAATCACTTCATACATTCTTTTTTACAAGTACTACCTTTGCATAAGAGCCTTTTCCTATAACTTTTAGGAGTGTAAAATGATCGATTGTTAATTTCTCCATTTATTTATAATATTTGTAATGAGCATTTCAAGATATGTATATATAATCTAAAATTTCTTAACATCGGTATAATTTATTTTTAAATTATTATGGATTCAATTTTCGGGTTATAAGGAAGTGATTTTGTAATTGTTGCATGCGATGGTAGCATTGCTCATAGCATTTTAAAAATTAAGGAAACAGAAGATAAAATTCTAAAGCTTGATGATCATAAGATTTTTGGTATTTCAGGAGAAGGAGCTGATAGAAATTCTTTTGGGGAATTAGTTCATAAAAATCATTGTCTTATAAGATATAAAACAGGAGGATATATGAATCTAAAAGAAACTGCTCATTTTGTTAGGTATGTTTATTTATAATATCAAAAAAGATCCATGTATGCTTAAGCCATTAGATCAAGAGATGGTCCTCATTAATGTAATGGTTTATTGGGAGGAGTTGATTAAGATGGCACACCATCACTTTATTGGCTTGATTATTTAGGATCATTATAGAAAATTACAAGAGGAGCTTAAGGATATGCAAATTACTTCTTATTGGGTTTATTGGATAATCAGTATAAACCTGTATTTTATTAATAATTATTATAAGAATTTAACAAAAGAAGAAGGAATTGAAATTATTAGGAAATGCATTAAAGAATTATAAACCAGATTCCTGATTGCTTAAAATAAATTCATCGTTAAAATTGTCACCAAATAAGGAATAGAAGTATTCACAATTTGAACATAATTACAATTATCAAATGTTAATTTTAATTATTAATATTTTTCATACATACCGATTTTATCATTCATAAATTAATTATATACATAAAACATTCATTATTTATGATTCCTCCATCTCTTAAATAAATTTTAAAATTTAAAGTATATATTCATTTATTCCTAAAAGGATATATTCAATTATATTTAATTTCTCTTTTTTTGAATATTTTTCTTTTGATATAAATCTTTTAAGATTTTATAATATTTAATACAGATAATATGATTATCTAAATTTGATAAGATAAAAATATAATTAATCCCTCTAATTATTTTGTTTGTAGAATGAAGGATTTAAATAAAAAGGAAATTTAGATTTTTCATAAGAATAAAAATAAAAAAAATATCCAGATTAGATAAATTATACTAAACTAAGTTAAAGTAATAATTTAAAAAAGAGTCATTTAAAAATATATGTAAAAAAAATGAATTAGTTAAAAGAATTATTTGAATTGTATTTTGCAAAAAAAGTGATTGATTATTCTTTTTATTATATTTGCTCTAATATTTTTGTGATGTATTATATGAATATGATTTATTTAAATGGTCAAGAGCTTTAACCCAATAATTCTTATAGTTTTAATTTTCTTTACTCGAGTTAAGATGTCTCTTCTCTAATCTTTCTAACTTCTTCTTCTAAGAGTTCTCTTGTGATATGTGTTTGAAGGAACTATTCACCTTTGCTTTAATTAAGGAGATTGTTGTGACCATATAAAATGATTAAACCCTAGAAATTAAGAATATCATTTACAAGTGCTCCAGTAAATACAAAAATCAATTCATAAAGTGGTAATTCAACATTATTTTCTTGTGTGAGGGGCTTAAAGATATATACAAAATTTTACATCATCCATAAATAAATAACCATGTGGTTAATTAGCTAAAGGATCAGTTTCATCAGCATGGAAATATGGATCACACCAATAGAATCTCTCAAAACTAAAATATAAATAAAAAAATAAACCTGAAAAATGGAGCATCTACTAGATGTTGATATGGGTTTGTATTATCATGATGAGGATGATCATGAAGATCAGAAAAGCCAGTAATTCCAACTAATTTACCTCCATCATTTGATATCCAATTTTAGACTGTGTTTAATTTAACATGTTGATGACCATGTCCACCTGATCCAAATCTAAATAAACTCAAAATTCTTTTCATTATTTTATTATTATAAATAATAATAATAACAATAGTTAATAATAAATAATAATACATTATTCTAAGTATCAACAACATTTATTACCATTAGGAGTATCTATTTTTTTTAATTATACAGCTTCTTCATATTTATGAATTATCTTTATTTCTTTCTCTCTTTTTTTATATTATCCTCCAATCTTTATTCCTGGCTACTTTAATATATCATTATTTACATCTTATCCAAGTAAAATCTTTTCATCATCTATTTCTTATAGGATTTTTTAAGTTGATTAATAGAATGCCGATTAAATATTGATGCCTTACTTAGCTGATATTTCAAGAAAAATCAATTTTTATTATTATGCATATTGCAAACCTTCTTCATATGTAATTGCTCGTCTCTACATCAAATATATACTTATTACTCAGATTCTAAATCAATTTTATTTCCACATAATACTATTATCATATTAGCATTTCCATTATTTCTTATTTCTTCCATCCATCTTTAAAGATTATGAAATGAGTTTTTATTGGTAATATCATAAACTAATAAAGCTCCTTCATATATTATTATCAATATTACCAATTGCAGATCTATAATAACTACGAATAATCGATCTAAAGTTCTCTTAACCAGCAGTATCCCATATTTATAATTTTATATTCATTCCATTCATCTTTAATATTTTAGCTCCAAATTCAACACCTATTGTGGCATCATGTTACTCTCTGATTTCATTTTCAATCAACTACAAAAGAATACTTGATTTTCCAACTCCTAATCATTAAACATGTTTTAACCTGTATCCCCTATTATTATATACTTAAACATTAAGCTATAATTAGACATTATTTTTGTATATAAAATTATAATTTTATAAACATTCATATTATCTTTTGTTCATCTTTACAAATTTTCCATTGTAGAATATCTCCTTAAGCAGTTCCACCAATAAGTTTATTTGTAAAAGGCAATTTCAATAATACATAAATAGATCCTTTTCCTACTACTTAACTATTCAAACAAAGACTTTCTTTCCAATTCCATATTTTGATCTTACCTTCTGTACTTGATGAAGCTATGGTATCATCATCAATCATTTGTATTGACCAAACAATATTTGCATGACCAATCAAAGTTTTTAATATTTCACCTGTATAAAAATTAGTAATTTGTATAGTAGCATCAGATGAGCCACTGGCTATTATAGAACCTTTCAATTGTATCATACAATTTACATATTATTTATGAATCTTTAATTCAGATATTGCTTAACTCTTCTCTCCTGATTAACCTGTATTAAACACTTTAATTGATCCATCCCTAAATTGATAATCTAATTAAATTACTTATTTCCACTTAAAATAGCATAATGTTCTTAGATGGCCAAAAGTGACCATATTTCTAATTTACTTTCAACCTTCCAAATACATACAGCAGTCTTCCAATTCCATGCTCTAATAGTTCCATCTTCCCCTCCACTTACAACCATAGATTATGTTTATTATAATACCTATAAACATAATACAGGTTTTGTATGACCATTTAAAGTATTTTAACATATCCCTTTTGCTATATCCCATATTTTTATTGAAGTATCATAACTACCTGATATTATATGTTTATTTTCTTGAAGTAATCCGATTGCTTTTATATAACTTTGATGTCCTCTCAAAATTAGCTTTTCTTAAGATTTCATATTAAAAATTACTATAGTTTTGTCATCAGCAGATGATGCTACATATGGATAATTTATTAATAATAATCCGTATACACAATTATCTTGATGATGATAAAAGGTAGATTAGTGTTACAGATGATAATTACAACAATTTAAAGGGCCATTCTTAATTCTTTTAATCTTTCCATCATAAGTCAAACATTATTCACCTACCAATAAAAAAGGCTTATTATCTACATATATAGATTCTCTTAATTAATTTTGCTAATCCATATTATACTCATTCAAATATCCATTTTATAATAATACTCTCAATATTTTCTAATCTTTTTAATCCAAATATATCTATATATCTTAAATTTGTTATTCAATCTTAATTACCTATATAACATTTTCTAATTCCCAATTCCAAATGCATATTAGTTAATCTGAGTGAACTGATACTAATAAATCATTGTTTTAAGGAATTATTTCTAATTTAATTACATCATTATTTGAATTTTTTAGTTTCTTAATATGATCAGCTTATAATTAAGGTTTAGATTCATTTAGATAAATAAAATTGATTGAACCATCAAGACAACCTAAAAGAATAAAATTACCTAATTATGAGTTACAAAATATAACACTCACTTAATATTCAATCTATTCATGAAATATTAATTATTGATTCCACCAAATGCAATATATATTATGAGAATAAGAAGAAATTAAATAATTATTCTAAATTAATTAATAACACTTACATATGTTTGCATACAAACAACATGATATGGTTTTTCTATTTTTAATACTGATGATAATTTTAGAGTTGTTAAAATCTCTAATTATTTACTATATAAAAGAATATCTCCTCCTTACATTCCTACTGCTAAATTGTTATCTTTTAATTTTATAACACAATTTATAACTTAATTCTCCAAATTCTCTGTATGAATTACTCCAGCATTCCTATACTTAATTATTCCATTAGAGAAACAAAATACATTCATTTAGTATTGGCAAACTATTTTTGGATTGTAAAGCTATTCGATTCTTCTATGAGCAAAATATAATTGATTTTTAAAAATTTTATTTTCTCTTTTAAGACTTTCAAATTCTTAATTGATAAATTCATTTAATTTATTTAATTAAGCTTCATATTTTTTATCTATTTTATCAATAAACACATCAATAGCTTGCATTTTAGAAGTAACTTCTTCAAAATATTTATTAATATAGCTGTCTAGTTCGAACTATTAATCTAATTCTTCAAATAAAATCTTTACAATATTTTGGTTTGCAGTTAATTCCGTATTTTATTAATTGACATAATTGTAAAAGAGAGTTCTTAATTAAATATAGTGTTCTCTTTTCAGATCCTTCAATAAGAATTTGTTATTATTTGTTTGACTATCAATGCTCTATTCTTGATTATGAGCATAATTTGTCAGTACTTCAAATTTACTTGTAATAATAATTTCTCTAATTTTATCAACCAATTATTAACACAATTATCTAATATCTGTTCTGTGAACAAGTAATCCTTCTCCTCCAACTTCTAATAATTGTTATGCATAATCTAATCCTTCAATAAGATTGATTTGTTATATATTTTAGATTGCAAAAGATAATAGTTATTCTTAAACTGTAACACCTTCAATTTAAGGTGATTAAGTTATTCCAATGATATCACATACTTTTAATGCTTACCATACATCTTGAATACAAAAATCAATTTTAAAACCAAATAAAAGTTTAACACATTATTCAACTACAAATGCTTCTTTTTCAGTCAAGCCTTAAATTTCAACTTCAATCTTTTATTGAGTTTTATTCATGAGAACTTACTCATAAACTAATTTAGACCATCCAGCAGCTAAATCACTAGATATTCCAAATGAAAGTGGTATCGAAGGGAATATCAATGTAAAATCATAGGCTGACATGAAACGATTATTTCTTAAATAAGATGCTGTCAGAGATGGTTGATAAAATAATTATATGCTGAGACTCATAATTATAAAATTATATTTAATTATTATAAGGAAGTAGAAAATTAGAGATTGAATTTATCATAAATGTTTTTATTTAGATATAGTAATGTATTTATATAGAAATATAAAATGCATTTATAGAAATATAAAAATAAAAGGTTCAGGAAATATAAATTAAATTTAATTAATTTATACTTGAATGAATATCTATTAAAGTTCAAGTTTTAGTAGCTAATATCGAGACAGTCTTGGACTCTTTGGGTAATAAAAAAATGTATTCTTATCTTCATCTTCTACTTCTAGGGTCAACTGAGAAGTTGTTAAGTAGACTGAATATAATCTAATGAAACATTTTGATTAACTTTTTGAGAGATTATACACACTCACTCAAAGATTCATTATAAAATGTTTTCTTAATAAATATTATAAATTTGAGATAATATGATGCTAAAGATTTGGTTTAAAAGGTCAAAGATAAAAAGTTATAATCAGTTGTTCTAAAATCACTAACTTCAAATACCTTTAAAATGATAAGGATGAATTATTACTTAATCTTTCATTTATTAAAGGGTGAATTAATAGCATGGGTATGTAATAATTTATCAATGACTGATAAAATAAAAGGAACTAAGGAATGGCTCGATTAAAAATTAGCTGAATTAGAAATCTTCAAACCTAAAGAAATCATCATTTATTCTTATACACATTTAGATGTCCATTATTCTGATGGAGCACAATATGTTAAATTATTAATGAATTATGTTAATGATGTTAATGATGTTCAAAATCTACATATGAAAGCATAAGAAGAAATCTGTAAAAAAATTGATATTTCATGATAAAAACTTGAGCAAAGTGAAATGTTACTTATGAAAAGAGGACTTAGACAACATTTATTTATGTTACAAGCTTCATTAAGATAAAGAATCAAGGATAAATTACCTAAATAGAAATAAGTTTAGATGAATGCGACTAAAGAAATTATTGGATATCAGATCAAATTATTAAATGAAGAATAAAATTTCCTAAAAAATATTATTGATAAACTACCTACCTTCTATGGTTTATATCTAATAATTGGAGATATGATATTTGAAGATCATAGCTATGAAGAAGAAGATAATATTTCAAATCTTGAAAACCCATGTATTGGTATGATGGGTGCATTCCTCCATAAATGTTTTAGAAATAATAATAATAACAATGATAAATGTAGATTGCATATGACATATAAAATAAATTTATAAATATTGTCCTGATTTTATTTACAATTCTAAAAACAATTCTAACAAAATTAACGTAATAATTATATTTCAAAATTGCTTTGAATGAACTAGTTCATCTCAAGTCCAAATCATTTATCAAATAATGTTTTAGATTAATCAAAAAAGACTTTCAATCAAAAATTACTCAAAGAAAAAATTAATGAATTACAAAAAGTCATTCAAAGTGCAGAAAAAGAATAGAATACAGATATTCAATATAGAAACTAAACAGATACATTCTGCTAAGAAAAATAAACTTTCAATACTTTTGACAAATTATCTGAATAAAAAGATTCATAAATATAAAACTTAATCCTAGAGAATCAAAAACTTGTTAAAACTATTTAAAAATTAGAAACTAAAGTCGATAAGGCTATTGAATTATAAAATGAAAACCAAATTCTTAAAAAGAATCTCTAAGACCTTAAATAAGAAAATGAACAATTAAAATAAAGAAAAACGTTAAAAAACGATATTTAATTGTCATCTGATTCAGCTTTAGGATTTTTAGCAGCCAAAAGAAATTCAGAAATTTAAATATTAACTAATGAAGTTAGAGAAATCAAATAAAAGAATTAAGACTTATAAGCAAAAATAGATTAACTAGTTTCCGAGAATTCAGATTTATAGTCTGTAATTAGAAATTCAGATAACTAATTCTTAAGATTTGGTTCATAGGCTAATTCAATTAAAAAATATATTTATGATGAATAATTATCTGATAAAAAATCAACTCCATAAAAAGATCAATTATTGTAACTTTAGTCAGAGTTAGAGGATGCAAAAAAAATAATAGATCAACTACAAAGCCTGAATAATAATAGTAAAATTACCTAATAATCTCTTAATTATAAGTTTAGTAATTCAAATGATAAGATTTCAAAAAGCTAATCTATAGAAGCGTCTGATTATGAAAAAGATAAAAAGATAAAGTTATTGGAAGATTAGATAAAAAAGTTAGAAATTGAAAAAGATAATTAAATTTAAAATGCTAAATTAGAATGCGCATAGGATATGAAATCCTTTTAGGATAAATTGAAATTAGAATATGTGTTAAAATAACAATAATTTTAATAGGAGGATGATAAACCTACATCAGAGAAAATAAGAAAATTAAATGCTGAGAATAATAAATTGTAAATTATGCTAGAAAGATAGAATAAAGAAATTATGAATATGGAAAAAAAATTGGCAGGTATGTATATTAAATTTATGATTTTTAGAATATTTGATATAATAAGAGGAACTAAAAAAAAATGTATTAAAAGAGTAACAATTTTAAAATTATTTGAAAGACGAGAAGTAAATGATAGAAAATCAATTAAAAGAGAAAGATAAAGAAATTTACGAGCATAAGGATGATATAATAAAGTTATCAAAAGAAAGACATTAATTAAGAGATTAAATAGAGTAACTAAAATATTAAGTCTAAATGAATTAATATAAAAGTAATAATCTGCCTCAAAGTTATCAAAGTGAAAGGATTAAGAGATACAGATGATTATAATTATTAAAAATCTGTTTATACAATGGTTAATAAATAATCTATGATCAGTGATTAAAATTAGAATAATTAATTGTATGAAAATAGTATTTGATAATTTTTATAATGAGAATATTAATTGTAAATGGATATGGAAAATCAGAAACTGGTAAACAATAATTTGAAAGGTATTGTGGGTAGATTCGAAAAGTAAGCTTTTAAAATAGGGATAGTTATTTCTGAATTAGAAAGAATTATTGGACACTGAGACAGAATTTTTTTCTAGAGATGCAAATGATTTAGATGAGTTTTTATATGATTAAGACTCTGGTTTTTCAAAATAAGAAGCAGCAAATTAATTTAACTTTATAGATTTAGTATTTATAGAAATAGATGCTAACTTAAGGCCATGGTCGAAACATTTGAAGAAAGTAGAAAGATGAATAATAAAATAGGTAATGGTTTTGATTAGAATGTGCTTAAGAACAAATAAAGTTTTATTAGCAACAGCAGGGGCTATGTAAGCTTTAGTATTTTTTGTGGCAACTAATTTAGAAACTGTATAAATAAAATTTTAATATGTTTAGCCAGTTGAAGTAGTAAATGGTCCATAAGGTGGTCCACTAGGTGATATGAGCAAGCTTTAAAAGTCTCTTGATTAGATGACAAAGAATGAATATTTTTTAGATAGTATAACAGGGGATTTGTATGGAATTTACTTTGATAAGATTGAGTCAGCAAATTGTTGGATTCCTATAGCTAATTGTGGGATTCATTCAAGAAGAGCAGTTGAAGAATTCAATACTGTTGGAAAGTATATGTTGTAAGCACCAGTTTATAAACCTTAAAAAATAAAGGAAATTTATGGTCTTTATACATCAACATAGGATGAGGAAATTTGCATGGTAAAAAAGAACTTTGTGTAACATTACATATTTAAAGATGTAAAGTAGGAATTTTTAGTTCATTCAAAGCATGCATGGGATATTCATCCGTTTAATGTATTAAATCCAAAAAAAACATTTGTTGTTTTGGCAGATTCATCAAAAGGACCTTAAGTTATAACAGTAAATGAAAATATAGTAGGGTTACAATTTGATATAAATCAAAAATATCCTGAAACACAATTAATTCTAAGAAATTTCATAATCCATTATTTGATATAAATACGATCTTGTATCAATATACCTTTGTCAATATAATAAGCAAATAATGATCTGAGGAAAAATAAGTTAGATTTAGAAAACATGACTAAATAATAAGCAGAAAGCCAACAAAATGGTGAAAGAACAGCTTTTAATTTTGAAGTGTTAACAAAATTCAAACATGTTGGTTTTACAGGTAAAAAAGCAAAGAAATTGGAGATTGTAATGAATAATGCTATAAATGATTAAGGATAATTATAAGAAGCAATGAAGACAATGAGATAAAAATAATCTCCAAGAACTAAATAATAAACAGAAGAAAATGATTTAGAGAAATCTAAATTTGCAAAGTTTTCAACAAAATTGAATTAAGAACATAAGGATACAAGTGAAAAGTTTAATAAAACAGCAGCTGAAATCCGATAAATGTTACATCCAAACATTGATGAATAATTATTACCAGAAAATGAACCTTTATGGGTAGATTTATAATAAATATTTAATAGGTTCCTGGAACTATGAATACATCAATGTTAGCTAGTTCTGGTTAAAGAATTAGATAAAGACCATAATCTACAACATAAAGTCGTACATTTAAATTAACAAGAGTTTCAACAGCTAAATCTAGAGTATCTAAAGGTACAACAAAAGAGGATTATGATTTATGTAGAGAACATCCAATAGTTAGATGTTCATCTCCTTATATTACAAATGTAGAGAGAGATAGGATGGAGTAGAAATAAAAGGATAAATAAATAATAGGACCTAGGAGTATTAGAACTAGTGTTATAAGTACAATAAAAGGGGGAACTCCATTTATTTTATATGATAATCCATATAGCAATCCAGCAGATTATAAACATAGAGATGAAAACAAATCAAAATGGGTTGGCGGTCAGAATTTTAGAGTTTGTTGATTTATAACTATAATATTATAATGGATTAAAAAAAAAGTCTTAGCGATTTGAAATAGGCATTGACTTATCGTAATAGAAGCAAAGATATTATTGATATAATCGCTAAGGGAGTTTAAGATCTTAAATTCTTTAAAGAAAAATAGTAGTTATTTGATCCAGCATTATATTGTTAGATGCTTAAAAAAATTTAGTTGAGAGAATTCAAAAAAGCAGAAGTCGTATTTCATTATGGTAATATCATTTTGATTGGTAGGCTCTAATAATGTTGAATAATTTTATGTTATTCTTTAAGGATAAGTTGCAATTTTATGTCCAAATGATAAAAACATTACTCATCAACAAGTTATAGATGAATATTAAAAAGGAATTGATTCTAATTCATCATAATTAAGAAGATCTTCAGCTATTTATAGTCCTAGATTATCAGCTTTTAATAATAGAGCATTAAAAGATATAATTATGGCTTAAGCTTACGGCAATTTTCTAGGAATCAGTAATTATTCAATTATATAGTTGATTTTTGTAGATATTCAAAAAGTCGATTAAGAATCCTTAATTGAAGAATACACTAATAATCCTAACTAAATATCAATCGATAAATGGTTAGATAATTTAGTTAAAAGACTCTTTCCAAGTTTACATATAGTAAACATGTGTTGTACAGGAGATTAATTTGGAGAAATTGCCCTTATTGGAAATGTTACTAGAACTGCTACTGTTTTATGCACTTAAGATACAGTTATGATTACTTTAGCTAATCCAGATTTTCAAGCTATTTTATAATAATATCATGATTAAGTTAAAAATGAAAAGATTTCTCTACTTAGAAACTTTGAACTCTTTAGTAAATTATCTGATAAACGATTAAGAAGTATTCTAGAAAACATTATCGTTTAAAAACCTTCAATGTTTAGTGTCATTTATATGGAAAATTCTATCCCAGAATATATTTATTTCATTAAATAAGGAGAAATTGAATTATTAAAAGTATTTCCTCGCAATAAAACAGTCTCTATTACCTTACTTTAAGTTGGCTGTGTCTTTGGATATGAAGAAGTTTCATAAAATATCCCTAGAGAATATAGAGCTATATCTAAATCTTCTCAATGCGAATTATATTTATTACCAGTTGAAACTATATAATAATTTGAAAAAAAAAATTCATAATCTTTAGAAAAAAAATTTCATCATGAAAGATTAGATAGATTATTAAGTGATAAAAAAATTTAGAAAAAAAATTCATAAATTACTTAAAATTCAATTGAATTATATAAAACAGTGTTTGAAAAAGAATATTCTAATCTTTTTAGCCATGCTTTACTTAAAAAAAGGTATTTTATCCATATTATTTTTAGAATTATATCACCTAAACATAGAAAAATGTTATCAGAACCTTTTACTCCTTTCTTTGAAATAGATAAAAAATCTTTCTCTTCTAAAAAGCAATTAACAGATAGGAAAACCATGAATACTACTACAACAAGATATAATAAAGAAAACTCCACAAGATAATTCAGTACTTAAACTACTATTAATATACACAGGCATTTGTTTAGTCCTAAAGTTAGTAAAAGACAACTAGATACAATCATGCCATTCAAAAAAATTCTCTAATGAGACCTTTTTAAAATATATATATATTAAAATTTATAGTGAAGTAAGAATCAATTAAACTTTCACCATTCTTGTTCAATTTAATCTTCTCTTCCATTATTTAAGTTAAATTAATTCATCATTCTGCTTAAAGTAAAGTCTTTATTATTAATTAATTCATTGATATTAACAATTTAATTCTGCTCATACAAACAAATTTCAAAATTTTGTTCTTGTTATTCTCGAACCATATCTTCAGAAATAAATCCACTTTCTTTAATTTGCTCTTTTAAAATATTCATAAAGTATCTTAAATAAAAAAATTATTGATTCGCATAATAAAATTTAGAATTTAATATCTTCTAATTAATACTTAATACGTAAAACATATAATTCTTTAGAATATATTCTACAAAATTAATATTATCAGATATCTCTTTTTAAAATTAATTTAACTAGATTTACATAAATCTGATATTTTATAAATAAATCTTATTCAGATCCCATTTAAGATTCATTTAAATTATAAAAAAAAAAAATATTCATGTTTCATTAATTTTTGTGAAAAAAATCAGAAAAATTTATAAAAAATTAGAGTTTCTTTGGTTTAAAAAATACGAACAAAAGCAAAAAGGTATGTAAGTTCATAAATTATTTACTTGCAATTGAGAAATGTTTATATTTACACAATGAAATAAACGTTTGTAATACTATATTTTTTTCATAAATAAATTCAAAGAAGGGTGAGATTTTAAATGAAAAAGAAAAGAACAGGAAAAAATATTGATTGCAGAAAAATAAAATTAATAGAATTTTACAATCAAGTTTCAAAATAAGTAGGAAATAATTCATAAATAATAGGAAGACACTTATTTTTTATTTATAGATAATGATGCGAAGTAAGATTATGAATAAGAAATTTATATCAAGGAAGGAAAGAGGATAAAAATACTTAAAAAATGTATGAAGAAGATAAAAATTAAGAATTAGATGAATATGTTGATTAGTAATTTAAATAGTAATAATAATAATAAAATATTCATTATAATTCATTATTTATCTATTCAAGTAATTTATCATTAATTAGAGTTGTTAATGGACTTAATTTGATATCAGAAACAACTATATCAGGATTACTTTTTTAAAGTTGATTTTTCAGATCAATAATTTATTAAATATTAAATAGTCCCTCAAATGATATTTTATACTCTTAATTATTGTCAAATAAATTTTATGTTTCTTTTTCAATCTAATCAATCCCATTATATGTTTACACACTATTGAAATAAGAGTTGTGAAATGTAAAATTAGCAGCTACATCCATTATCTCTTTTTCTATTGCTATATTGAGTATAATATTGAATAAATATTAAATGTGCTTTCTTTAGATTAATGATAAAGTATATTTAGTAGGAAATTAAGTTGGGTTTGATGGAAAAAGAACTGATAATGGAGTTTCAATCCCTAAAACTGTAGATTCTATTTATTTTTGTTCTAAAAACTAAGATTTTTATAGTTATTTATTTAAAGCATCCTATCTTGTAATAAAGAGACAATATGGTATTTTTTAATTTGAATATGAAAAAAAGGCCAAAAAAATAGCATTTGAAATCATAAAATAATTATTAGTGTTGTTTTTATACTCTTAAAAGACATTAGTTAAGGTGTAAAATAGTTGTGTTTTACTTGAAAGTGTTGATGATGATTTTAAATTTAAAAGGCTCCATTCTGTGTCAGCAATTTTATTTCTTTTATCATAAACTTAAAATTGAGCAAAATGTTCATGAAGTGAAATAGATTAGAATTTAGTAGTAGAATTGAAAGTTACTTAAGTAACTACAGCATATTTAGTAACTCCTTTTTCCATCACTTAACCAAGTTAATCTTTTCTAATTAGATTATTTGAAAATATACTTTTATTAATTGACCATTTTAACAGGAGTACGTGGATAATATGATTGAAATATTTATGAAAAAGAATTCGAATTTGAATTAGGTGATGTAATTGGTTAGAGTGTATGTTTTTATTTTGGTGTTTAACATTATGGTTAAGATGGTTATTATTATTTTTTTTTCATATAAATTGAATATGAATTAAATAGATATAAAATATTAAAATAAATCAATGAAATAATGTTACCTTATGTATCATCTTTCATCACAGATACTATCTTCCTTCACATCTTCAATAGGTTAAGGTTTTTATGGGTTTTAAGAATTACTAATGATAATATCGCCAGCAGTAAGTTCATCATGAGTCACAAATGAATCCTACATTTGTTCTTATTGATCTAATTATGGTTTAGTTTCTATTTAAATTAATACAACATTATCAGGATGTTTATATGCTGGTTTTTAAGTTAATTTTTTTTTTTAAACACATTATAAGAGGACTCTCCCAGTTTAAAATAAGATTGGAGATTTTCCATCTTCTGGTATGATTAATAAATCTTCATCTTGAGCTAAAACCAAAGTTCCAAATTTGCTTTTACAATCTTAAACTCTAATAGTATAATCAGGATTATCAAGTGTATGTTTATTAGTTGGTATTAATTTCAACATAGCATGAGAACGAGAAACTGAAATATCTCTTAATTTAATATCACAATCTGGAACTCTACCCTAAATAAATTATAAAACTAAAAATTACAATTTTCAATTCCGTTTTTTCACCTATTTCGACAACATAAATCATAGCCTCTTTAGATTTATCATCATTTGTAACTTTGAATGTTATATAAGATGACTTTGGTTTTGGTAATTTTAAAACAGAATAACTCTTGTCTTAAAAAGTATATGTATTTCTAAAGGTAAACTTACAGATTTCACAATCTAATCTCTTAAAAAGATATTAGATAAAATGATCGCCTTATTTTATTTTTAATTAAATTCCAATCCATTTTTATAAACATTCTAAATGAATATATTTTACTGATCCTTCACATTTACATGGACTTATCAAAGGATTTATTTCACTTGCCTTACTTGAAAAGCATATCCTACAACTAGCTACATCACTAATTGTTTAAATTTCTTCTTCTTATTCATCTTAATATTGAGTTGCTTCATCACATGGAGTCATAAATGCATACTCTAATAATTGCATTCTTACTCTTCCCAACTTTACTATATCTCCTATTTTTAAATCCCAATACTTTAAACATATAAAAACTCTTACATCTATTGATTAAAACTAATTAGCTTCTGATTTCAATACAGCCCATAATTTATGATCTTGTTATTATGATATACTGTGTATTTATGCTTATTATTCGTTTAATATTATATTTGCTATTTCAATCGAGTTACGAGCCCATTCACTTTTAGTTAAAGCCACAAGTTCCTTATCCACTGTTGCTAATTGAGCTAAAATTATAGATTCTTCATCATATTACCTGAAAAATCAACCTCAATCTCTTTCACAGCATATGAACTAGACTCAAAATCAAATAAGTTATGCTAATTCTTTGGCCATATTATCGCCATTATATGAACCCTAATCAGATACTTCTATTTTTTACTTATATGGCATTAATGTCCTCACTATCTCATATCTTTTTTGTTTCGTTGATGTACAAGCTCCCATTAAATAATTTATTTATTAAATATATTTATATACAAACATTCCAAAATCTCACCTATTAATATTATCCAATTTATTCAATCATTCTATTCAACTTTTTTATTTATCAATAACGTCATTCTTTACAAACTAATAATATTACTTAGCACACTATTATTAATTAATAAAAAACTGAAATAACTACTCTCCCAATATTAACATATTGCTGTCTAAATTTCAATTTATCATAAATTCTAACCTCTTTAAAACATAATAAAATTTATCATTCTTAAATGGTTTCAAAAAACCTTTATAAAATTCATAAGTCAACCAGCTACTTTCTATCCATAATGATTAGCCTTTAAACCCTATCACTTATTAAAAATCGACTTTTTTTTATAAATTAAGCTTTTAATCAAGGATTTTATAATTTTAAAATATTCCTTTTTTCTTAAGATGTTTTATATTTTGAATTTTTTTTCTTGATAATTTTTTTTTCTTTTCTTCACAATTTCAAATCTTTTATAAATAAAAAAAATAAATTTTTTTCTCCCAAAAATGATTTCATTTTTAATTTCTTTTTATTTGAAAACATTTAAAGACTTCAAAGATAAATTAGAAATACTAATCAAACTTAAGAATCTTCGTTTGTTGATAATTTTCTTAAATCTATACATCAACACTGCTTATTTAATTAATGATGTATCTCTAATTTAAACTAAAGATTAAAAAAATATCTTTCCAAGTTAAGAAATCAATAAAACGGCAAAGAGAATTGTATAAACAGAACAATTTATTTATTAATTATTGATGATATACTAATTTACATAAATAATTTTTCAATTTTTTCTACTATTTACATTCATAATGCAATTCTATTTATTTCTCATATTTAAATGATTTCTGTAGATGAATTAACAAACTTTTAATATTCATTTCAATCTTTTGTATTTTAAAATTTACCAAAAAAGTATGTTTTGAAGAATTATTAAGAAACTATTAATAATCAGAAATCTTTTAGAAAATTATGTAAATAATATGATATTTTAATTTCTATCATTTATCATTATTTATTCCTTGATGGGGATTTTCCTCTTTATTACTTTGGTCTCCTTTTTTCCAATATTTTTCTAAATCTTATTCCAATTTATTTTTCCCTAAATATAGTAAAATATATACTCTAAATCTCTTTTGCAATCTTAAGAACTTCAGAATTTACTTAATTCTTTCTTCTTCCTGTCTTAATGAATCTTTAATTATCTCTTTTTTCACCCTTTTTAAAATTTAATTAATTACATTTTAATTTTTTTATTTAAAACCAAGTCTTCTTCTTCGCTAAGAAACTTATTATTTGAAACCTTATTAGTTTCCTCTTCCTCTTTAAGTTTTATTTCTTCTATTTTAATTTTGGCTTCTTTATCTATCTGTATTTTGATTTTGATTTTAATTTGATTATCTTCTAAATTTATTATTTTAGAAATTTCTTTATTAATTATTAGGTCTTTAATCATTCCCTCTAGAGTTTCTGAAATTTTAATTTCCTCCTCGAAAATCCCTTCCTCTTCTGTTTCCTCCTCTTCTATTCCATGACCCGCTAAATTATCTCATTAATAATTAATATTAATTATTAAATATTATTCTTGAATTCAAAACTTATATTATTTTTCAATTGAATATATGTTAGATATTCCTCAAAAAATATATTTCAAAGTAATACAAATTTTTCAAATTTTAAGTTCCTGATAGAAACTGACATTCTAAACCTTTTATTCTCATATTAAGATTTTATATGGTAATTATTTTAAAATATTCTTCAAATAATTATGACCTTCTTAATTTATAATAATAATAACTAGAATAGTTGAAATAACAATAATAATCTTTCTTATTAGTTTTTAATGTTGATTTTAGCTTTTCAATCATAGCTTTTAAGAATTTATGAAATTATCTATAATTATTAATTATTTTATTTTTTTCAATTTAAAATATTTTTTATTAATATTCCAAGCAATATTTAAAGTGAGTTTATTCTTTTTGAATGTAATTTTATTTAATTCTCTTAAAAAATTTAGATTCACAATAGAGAAAACAACTTTGTTTGATTCATAAATCATCATAAATGAAAATTATCAATATGTTATAGAATTTTAAATCAAATTTACAAACAAAATGATTTTTCTACTATTAAAATATAATATATTGTATAAATTTTATGTCTAATAGTTCAAATTTTATAGGAGTACAGTATAATTGTTTTCGAAAAAGAGTTGAAACAAAAGAAATAGATTTATCTTTCAACTTTGTGAGCAATAATAGTTTTGATAACGACTAAATTGGAAGAAATTACTTTTCAAGAATTATGTCAAGAAGAAATGGTAATAAACGAATTGACACTCAGGAATCATCAATGACTATAAGAAAGCAGTTGAGATTTCCTACATTAGAATCAAAATAAACAATAAAAAAAACAGAAATTGGAAAAAGCATAGGGTTCTAAATTTAACCAATGTAAATGTAACTAAAAATCTGTAATCTAAAACCTCCTGAATCATTTACAATAGAAGATCTTTAAGATCAAAAAAGAGCTTATTGTATGAAATAATATAGAAAGTATCAACAATAAAGATTATTTCAATAATTGATTATTAAAAATTAAAGCATAAAAGAAACCATCTAAACATGGATATAATCCTAAAAAAAATGAGTGATATCTAACAGAATTAAGTTAGTTGTATTACAAACTCGATCAGTTTCTCATTTAAATATTAAAAAAACTTGTATAAAACATGGTTACATAAGTACAAATACTAGCATAAACTTAATTATAAAGTTTGTTTGTATTATTAAATATGTTACCAATTCAAAATTATTCTTAAATATTTTAATTGGGCAACTTACCCTAAAGTTAATTCTGCAAAGAGATCTCATGTTGTTTTAGAATTAATATATCAAGTGATTATAAAATTTCTTTATTAAATATAAAATGACAACTTTGCACAAAAATTCTACATAAACTTTGAGTTTTTATTTTTGGTCTTATAAATTATTAAAAAAATTTATATATAATAAATTTATCTTACTTTTTCTCTCTAGTTTTTAGGAGATTTTAGTGCAATCATAATTTTTGATGATATTCTAAACATAATCCATTTAAGAATACTATCTAATATATTTTGATTTTGGGAAACAGCAAGATAAATAAATAATGTTTAGAGGATTAAATTAGTAAAAAATTTTATCAATCTACACATCTGCATTATAAATCTGAAAATCCTCATAAAATTTCAATATACAAACTTTAATATAAATTGTTAATTAGCAAGGTTGTTTTAAATCATAAAATTCATAACTTTTTGTATGACAATAAATTTGAAATTTTAAGTAATTAATACAAAAAGATGGATTAACCCTAAAAATAAATTTGCTTTCTTAAATAGTAAACTAAGCAAAACTTAGTTTTAATTTTTTTTTCTGACTTTCCCCTTATAACAAAAGTATAAGACATCCACAAAATAAACAATCAATTTTAAATTTAGTAATATTGCGTTATTGATACAAATATATGTGAGAACCAAAAGATGATTATCTTATCGTTTGCCAATGAAAAACAAATTAATACTGTTAAAAATTTATGGATTATTAAAAAAATGAATTATATGAGACTGCTCTTTTTCGAAAATTTAAAGAAAGTTTAGAAAAAGAAAAAGAACTTTAGATATATAATAATACTCATATTGATAAATTTTATAAAGCTATGCCTTGCACTATAAGACCAAGAAAAATAGAGAACAGTCCAATTATTATTGCATAAATGCTTGTAAAAAATAGTCAAATTTCAATTAGTCCAAAAATATAGTCTTTAGGGAATAATTTTCATAAATGGAAATTTAGGAAAGTGATAGGAGTAGAGTATTTTCTAGAATTTAAACTCCTTCTAAAAATGACGATCGATAAAATTTTATGAGATCATTAGTGTATTCAAGAAGAGAAAAATAAAGATCCTCTAGTGTTAAATCAGATGTATTTGATCTAGCAAATATTTAATTGAATCAAAATATAAATGACCTGCCAAAAAAGTTAAGAACATCAAAATGTAAAAGGGCTTAACTTTATTTTTGCAGTCATTTAAGAGATCGTATAAAATCTCCAAGATTAGGGATTACAATTCCATAATATTTAGCAAGTAAAATAAAATCTATAAAATGATGTCAATTACTTGGATTTCTATATTATTTTTATATCATATTTCTAAATTTTTATACATAAAACAGATTAACAAAATCATTTTAATAATTTATTTCTCATTTAAGGGTCTAAAAATTAAATGCTTGTAATCACTTGAGTAATTTTTTAAGGAAATTGCTATTTTGTTTATTCTAAAACAAATTTCCATGTTTCAATATTAGGATGATATTCTGTTAATTTCATTAATTAAATAAAATCTAATTTTCTTAATTTATGGTATTTAAGTGGGCAAAATTACTTCTATTTTTCTAACCAATTAAGAAGTTATTATTGTTCCTCACTATTTAATAATGGAAAATATTCATCTAAAAAGGTCGAAAAAAGTTCTGTTTATCCTAATAAATTCTGTTTTGCAATATCAAACGAAAATTCTTTATTGTATAAATGAACTAATAATAATAATATTTCAAGTAATTCTTTTTTATTTTTTTATTTTCGAATTTCTTATAAGTTTATTTAATCTATTTGTAAATAACCTTTCGAAAGTAGTTAAATTTTAAATTTTAAAGGTTTGTTTTAACTTTCTTCCAATAGGATTGATTAAATTTCTGGTTATTAAAAAGCTAGTTCCCAAAAATTATCTAAAGTAAGCGCTTTTTCTCTAAATAATTATAATAATTCTTTTTCATAATTAATGTTTAAATCTTTTAATTTTTCAAATACTTATGGATCATTAAAATTTTCTATTAAAAATTAATTTATTTTTTCTGAATTATCCAATTATGATGTTTGAAAAACTTCCTCAGCTAAATCAGACTAATTATGATTCATCAAAATCTTTTTGAATGATATTCTTAAATCAGAATTATCACAATTTTCCAATGCTAGTTAAATTATTTATTTAATTCCATCAAGCTATTTTGATTTAATCTAAATGATAGGTTCAACTGTATTTAATGGCAAAAAGTCATCATTATTTTTGATATTTTAATTTTCTTCTTATCCTATTTGTAATTATTTCAATTCGAAATCCAAATAATTTCCCCATAATTGTATATTTTTATTATTGATTCTTAAAGCTTAGTAAAAGATTTTTCTTGCTTTGATAGGATTATGAGCTTTTTCTAATTCAAAAAGAGCTCCTGCTAACCAAAGATCAATACAAAATGGATTGAAATTCAAGGCTTTAGTAATAACTTTGAAAAAATGTTTTTTGGATTCGATGATATAGCAAAAACTTAAATATTGTTTCCACAAATCAATATTGTAGCGATATTTATTCATAATCCTATCCCATATATATATAATTCTTTTCACAATAGCATAATCTCTAGTAGTAACCTTCTTTATTTAACGTTCTTTATTTCGTTATCTTCTTAGTCTTTCTAAGCCGTACTCATAGTCAAGCAATTACATATAGTTGCTTAGATTGTGTGTTCTACGTTATAACATGTATTCAAATTCTTCTCTTTTATGGAGAATATCTTTGACTTCATCTTTAGAGAATATTTGCTTTTTTTAGAGAGCCAGGAGATCTGGTATAAACTTTTCTAAAGTGTACCTAATTTTGTCAGCCATTAATTAAATAAAATATATGATTGCAAAAAAATCAGAAAATATTCTTCTGATAATTTTAAGGTTTTTTCGAGAAGGGAAATGTTTCGAGGCAATGAGTTGCTTAAAACGTATATTTTCTGGAAAAGAATAAAGTTTATTAGGATTAGATTTAGTATAAACCTTGAAATAATTGAGATTAGAAAATGAATCAGAAGCATGCAAAAAATTAAATGAAAATACTCGTTAAAGTCATCCAGGATGGGTTGAATTATTATGCAGTTTACTATAATATTATATGGAAAGAGAAAGAGGAAGTGCTTAAGTTATTGAGCATTTTGAAAATCTTTTTAAAAATAGTAAATGGCTTCTAGATGAGTAACGTCATGAGATCTATCAATTTTTATGTAAATAGGTTGTTACAGAATAATATAAAATTGTTTAAATTATGAAAAGAAAAGCAAAAGATTCTGAGGCTGTTAAAGAAGCTTCTCATGCTTAAGAAAAACTTGAAAGCAAAAGTTTACAAATATTTTAAGAAATGGGAAGAGAAGTCAATATTAAGAATATGTAAAAACTTAAACTATTAAATGCTAATTAATAAATGAAAATTTATTTTAAAGCTTTTAAATTTGATAGTGCTGCTGCATGTGATAAAGTTGAAAAAGAATAAAATCTTCTTTTAGCATCACCAAAATAAGATTAAATAACATATCATTATTATAAAGGTAGAATTCTTATTTTTGATTCTAAATTTTATGAAGCATCCTAACATTTAACTTAAGTTTTGTAAGAATGTCCGAGAACCTAAAAAGGATTGTCATGTGCAAGATAAGTTTTAAAATATTTAATTCCAATTAATATGTTTATAGGAAGATATCCTAATAAAGAATTGATTGATTAGTTTAAAGAATATGAATTATTATGTACAAGTGTAAGATAAGGAAATATATCTGGATTACAAGAAGCAATTGATAAATATCGATCCATATGGATTAAGAGAAGTTTATTAATTTTGATGGATCAATTAAAAGTACTTTGTTATAGGAATTTATGCAGAAAAGTTTGGCTAATTAATTAATAAGCCAATAAAATTCATTTGGAGTAATTTTAAAAAGTAATTTAATTACTATTTATTCAGGCCTTTAGGATATCACATCCAGCAAATAGCAATCCTACAATCTCTGAAGTATGTTGCATAATAGCCAATTTAATTTATTTAGAATTAATTAGAGGCCACATCTATTTGAACAATGAAAAAAATATTTATGCTATCACACTCAGCCCTTAATAGCCTTTTAAAGATAAACCAGGTGAAATTAAATGGTAACAATGATATCTGTATTATATTATCAACAATCACATCCAATAAGTTTGATTTCTGTTTTGAATAAGTCTGTAAATTGTTTCTCTGTAAATTACTTCATCTTTTTAACCTAACTTTGTAAGTCTCTTAATTAGTTTTATAATTTAAATTGCTCAGACTTCAAATCAATTATTTTATTTTATGAATGAATTATGTTTGATTCACTCTTTTTTATTGAAATAGCAAATTCTTCCAAATTTTTTATAATTCTTTATTAAGTTCTAAAATTTATTAAAATTACTTTACTTAACTGATGATTTCAATAGCAAAAGTTATCTAAGCCAAGGATTCATCAATTTTTCTAATAATTAATGTAACACAGTTAAATAATTCAATAGTTATTGTTAAGAAAGTTCAAATAATTTATTTTGAGAATCAAAATTAACTATTGATTGATCTTATTTTTATTAATCTAGTCTTGCTTAATAGAATCCGATTAACTAAAATATTAATATGATTACCTCATTTAAATTAATTATAAGATTGCTTCGAAATTGTGTATTCAACAGTTCACTATCAGGAATACTGACTTATTAAGGTTATATATATTTCATCCAATCGATTTCTTCAGATTTAGGGGCTTCAATGATATCCCAATCTACTGGTTTTTAATTTCCTTTCAATACAAATGATTCTAAATGTATAACTATGTTTGATTTATCTAAAGAGGCATTAGTGTAAATGGAAAATTATCTGTAATATTCAATGCTATCCAATATAGTTTGATTTTTTAAGGCTAATTATTCAATATCTTAAAATAATTGTGGGATTTGTAATATCATATTTGGAACTTCTTCCTCAATATTTTAACCATTAATTCCATATTTCTTACACTATTTTTCAAACTATTATTTATGATTTTGTATTTAGACTTGAGAATCAATAATTCTTTACTCGGTTGATTATAATTATTGATCATTTAATATTAATTACTTTTTAATTCCTGGTCTTAAATAAATAAATTAATTACATGTCATATGTCAAAAGTTAAACCAAAGCCTACCCCATATTGACTAAGTGTAGATTTTCTTTTTAATAAAGTTTAAGTAAATTCTCCATTGTTTTTATTGATTTAGAAGAAAAACCACCAAAAATGGTTTTTTAAGTTCCTTCATCTGAATTCTTCAACTTATCTAATTCTTCAAAACAATCCTGAAAAGTATAAGCACTTTTGCTTTCTCCTAAAATTTCTAATTATTTTAATTGTAAAGCCTTATATTTTTTTGACCATTCTTGACTTAATTTGTTTCTTTCTTGTAACCATTACGGTATTCTTTTATAATCAATTTCAATCATAATAATAAAAAATAATTAATAAATCAATTTAATTTGAATAAAATGATAAAAGTATTATATAACATAAATTGAGGAATATTTAAAATGTCTATATTCAAAGAATAATTAAATAAAGAATAGATGCCTAAATATTGAATTCCTGCTTAATTTACTTTTTGTTAAATATGATATTATAAAACAATATTTAGACATTTATTTGAGAATAATGGATAAAAATAGCTTGATGAATGAATTTATATATATGTAAAATTTATTTTAATGATTTCAATCTTATTCTGATAATTAAATTAAGTATCCCTAGTCCCATTTACCTTTGATAACTTATCCATCAAGATTAGTGAACTCTCCATCACCATGTACCATTCCATCCTCAAATTCTCCAAAATATTATTCACCATTAGATAAAATAAGTGTTCCTTATCCATGCATTTTTCCTTAAGAAAAGTTTCCTAAGTTGTTGATTAAATATATTTACCTTCATATGATGCCCATCCATTTCCAATAGTAGTCATATTGTTCCAATCAATAGGTTCTTTTAATTCTTCAATCTAAAGATTTGTCAATCTTCCTTAACCATCATATAAATTTTCATTCCAATATCCAGCATAAATCTGTTATCCTTCAGAATCAGTTAAAATACCAAAACCACTCCTTGTTTATGGAGGATATCCCTAGCCTCTATAAATAAATCCATCCTCATATTACAATGCCAATTCTATAATTGAATGGAATATATATATATACCTTATCGTTCGCCATCATCTTCTTCTGCTTATTAATTTTCTTAATTAGTTTAACGACCTTTACTACCAGAATCATCCATCTAATATTTTTTTATGATTTATTCTGTGCTTTTAAGAGCATTTTAATATCTCTTATCTAAATCATCATCTTGTTTAGGTTTTTAGGTTGGCTATTAATTTTAAATAGGAGGAGCAGGTTGTTGTTATTTTTATTAATTTGGCTTAGGTTATGGTGTTTCTAATGAATTAGATATACAATAAACATTATTTTGGATTATGATGAATTTAAGGTTGCTACTGTTAGGCATTACGGATGCGTTCTTGTACTTGATCATATGTTAAATATTGTCTATTTGGTGATTATAGCTAAGGAGCAGGTGATTTAGGCACTTGTTGAGATTGCATCAACATATTTCTAGGTGGTGACTATGCTCCTCTTAAACGATCTGGCGATTAGAATTATCGTTAAGGAGAAGACATGATTTAACTTAACATAGGTTATGGCTAATATGCAGGTGGTATGATGGATGAAGTGTATGGGTTGTATGGATTGTATGGATTGTATGGATTGCAGGGATATTATGTAGGCGGTATTCTTAATCCTGGATATGGATATTATGGAGCATTATAAACTGGTGGTCTCCATTACTATGGTACTTAGGGTCGTACACCATAGGGTTATTACCTATATTATGGATATCTTTAAGGATAGAAGGACTAAGGATAATACATTATATTTAAAATCTTAATTAATCAAATAGATAAGAGATCGTTCATCCTCTGAAGATTATTGTAATCCTAAAGTACCATCCAATAAGAAACAGTTTTAAGATCAAAAGAACAATTAAACTAACTATACTTTTGAAGATGGACAGTATTTTTTTGAAGTAATTTTCTTTTTTTACTTAATTTTAAGTTAACTTCTTTTAAAAAAGTTTCTATTTCAAAATTTAAAGGTAAGGTGATGGTTAGTATAAGGGAGTTCTTTAATAAAGATGGATAATCTTTACCAACTAAAAAAGGTATTACTTTGCAACTTTATAATTGGGTAAAATTTAAGCAATATATTGGTGAAATTGATGAATGTATAAATAAATTAACTAAATGAAAGCTTATAATATTATAAATATTATTAAATAAATGTACTTCCTTAATTAGAAATAGTTTTAGATTCTAGTATCAATTATATTTTTAAGATAATCTTTTAATTAATTTTAATTATTCACAATCAAATCTTAAAAAGATCTAAATATAAAAAAAAAACTTTTTTAAATGATTTAATAATAAATTGTTCATCAAATGGTATCATTTTTATTGTAAAATATTAAAGAAATATTCTACTTCTAGTATGCCATCTTCTGGAAGATCAGTACAATGTATAGCATTCTTTACTCTATCAATTCCAAATTTGGCTCTAATTGTTTATGGTCTCAAAGTTTTAGCTATTTCTGGATCATGTGGTCCACATAAATCTCTAAAAGCTTTAACCTAAGATTACAATTAATAATTACAGCATTTTCTTATCTAATTTCCATAGCAATACAAGGACCAGATGTTAAATGTTCTGACATAGCTTAGAATTCAGGAAGTACCCCCTAAAAATAATATAAATAAATAATATACTTTATAGACTTCAAAGAATTCTTCACTAGTAGCTCTATCTAAATAAAACATTTATAGAGCAGAGATTTCAAAGCCTTCACTTAAGATAATATCTATAATTTATCCAGCTCTTCCTTCTAATACAATATGTGGTTTAATTATGGCACATGTACAATTATTAAAGACAGCAGTTGATTTTAGATTAGATTTATCAGAGAAAAAGAAATCTAATTCTCTTTATGCTGATCCAGCTATATAAAATAATAAAATAATAACTTACGAGCATCACTACCATGACAAGCATTTCTAACTCCTTCTGTACCATACAAAGCTCTCATAGAATTTGGTGCTTCTACTCTTGCCACTTAACATTTAGTTGGTCCAATAAGATCTCTCCATTTCTTTACACTATTATCAGCTATCAATTCCAATCCTACTATAAAATCACTACAAATAAATTATGTAAGCTCATCAAAAAAAGGTTTTCCCTAATTAAAATTTATTCTTGATATTTACTCTATGTTCTGCATAGAATTGTTGAGCATCTGCTATTTACATTCTTGTCATTTTCAAATTACCAATTACGAAACCGTTCCTTTCAACTGCTGTGATTATTTTACCAATATGTGTATATGCATCTGGCTTAATCATTCCAAATGTTCTATCATTTATACAACTTATTTACTTTCCTCTTTAAACTTCGAATTTAGATCTTGTAAATACATCTGCATAATCTACTATTTTTAATTATCTTGAATAAACTGTCACAATAGATCCAACATATAAATCCTTTAATTACACTGATGGATATTCACATCTTTTCAAAAATATTCTTTTATTTTTCAAATCAAACTAAATTCCTTTACAAATCTTACCATCTCGATAGTCTTGTCTGACATGAAATATGTTAAGTTATAACTCCTTATTAAAGATGCACTTGTATCAAACCATTCTACTATGAATACATATCTTTCATCATTCACTGCCATCTGTTAATAATAATAATCAAAATATAATCAATAACCAGATTTTTATTTCCAATATTAAACTTGCTATTCTAATTGCTTTTTCTCAACTTCAGCCTTCATCAATCAATTTTTTCATCCCTCTAATAGTCTCATTATTACTAACTAATAAAGATTACCAAACACTTTTATTTTTATTTTTATATCCTATTACATTAT